GACGCATTAGTTGGGAAGTTACTAAAATGTTGCAAAACAACTTCTCATCGCTGTTGGTAGTTCACAGTTGCATTAATTACCCCTTGCAGCTTCTTATGGAAAGGAATTTTTAAGCTTCTTGCGATTGAAACGTCTTGCCGATGACCTGCATTTTCTCTTCTTTGACTCACTTGGGCATTCCCGCGCCAATTAATGCGGTTCTTGCGCAACTATCATGCATCAGTCAATGCAACACATCCGCTACCAACCCCCCCCCCCCTTTGCCGTGAAAAGCGGTCTCATTAAGGAAAAGAGCCAGCCCTCAAATGCAGAGAATGTTGAACTTTTTCAGTGAGGCTTAGCTATTTTATTTCAGTCAATAAAACGTCTGGTTTGTTCAAGGGCTCAAATCATTACCCAGCACCTTGTCCCTCTTTCGTAAACAATCAGTTCTTTTAACACCTTTCTTTATCATGGCTGTCTCTAGAAAAACTGGGCTCAATAAACGAAGCCATTGAAGCTTTGTCCAAACGCCTTGACTGGCAAGACAAACAAATCGGAGAGGATCTCGTAAATTTGAATGTCACGAACACATCTCAAAGGACAACGGTCTTGGAAATGAAAGGTATGTATATTTAGAACTTGTAGTGGTGTTTCTTTAGTGAGGTTTTGATTGGTGAAAAGGTCATAGCTGGTGTGGAGGTCGTTGTTGTCATCTATATAGATGTGCCTGCTCTAAGTTGGTAAACCAGCCTTCCTTGTATTAAGAAATCAGTTTTAGGTCAGATGTGTTGACTCGTCTTTGGGAAAACTGGATAATTTGACAAAACTTTACAGAACTTTAATGTTTGCATTACGGCTGCTGGAGTATTTGGGCTGCAGTAGGATGGGCTAGAATCCTCACCGGGAAACCCAGTTTGTCCTTTGTCTTTGGCACTTAAATGGGTAATCGCTTGTCTTAAAATCCTTTTCTATTTGTCATGATTGTCTACAGAAAAGATGGACTCAATGTACAAAGCTTTTGAAGCATTGTCCAAACGTCTTGACTCACTGGACGTAAATATGGGAAGAAAACTGGATTTAGTAAATGCATATGTTAAGAACGCATCTCAGAGGACAACTGCTTTGGAAATACAAGGTATGCACTTTAAGTCGTGTGTATGCGTGTGCATCTGCACTCTTATTTCACTGCTCATTTAACGTCTTTGAAGAAACTGAAGGCAGTGAAACGGAAGCCTTTTCTACAAGGTTTGATGGTTGAATTTCACAATTTTTCTTTGTACAACCTACGTGTGTAATCAGCCATTTTAGCTTTTTTTCGTCGCGATTATCTACAGATAACCAGGACTCAATGTTCAAAGCCATTGAAGCTTTGTCCAAACGCTTCGACTCCCTGGGCACAAATATGGAAAGAAAACTGGATTTAGTAAACGTGAATGTTATGAACATGTCTGAAAGGACGACTGCTTTGGAAATGAAAGGTATGCATATTTACATTGATTTTCAACTTGGGTTGTATTGCTTTGCTTTACTGCGGTTTGTGATTGGTCTATGAAGGAATCTTGGGCCTCTCTCTCAAACAAGAAGATGCAAAACGAAAAACAAGTCTGACTCAATGATGAACATTTCTCCTACTTGTGGCCGTTCACGTTAAGTTACCAATCCTCCCTTGTGACATCATTTTCCTACACAGTTAAACCTGTATTTTTTTCGTCGCGATTATCTACAGATAACCAGGACTCAATGTTCAAAGCCATTGAAGCTTTGTCCAAACGCTTCGACTCCCTGGGCACAAATATGGAAAGAAAACTGGATTTAGTAAACGTGAATGTTATGAACATGTCTGAAAGGACGACTGCTTTGGAAATGAAAGGTATGCATATTTACATTGATTTTCAACTTGGGTTGTATTGCTTTGCTTTACTGCGGTTTGTGATTGGTCTATGAAGGAATCTTGGGCATCTCTCTCAAACAAGAAGATGCAAAACGAAAAACAAGTCTGACTCAATGATGAACATTTCTCCTACTTGTGGCTGTTCACGTTGAGTTACCAATCCTCCCTTGTGACATCATTTTCCTACACAGTTAAACCTGTATTTTTTTTTTTTCGCGATTATCTACAGATAACCAGGACTCAATGTTCAAAGCCATTGAAGCTTTGTCCAAACGCTTCGACTCCTGGGCACAAATATGGAAAGAAAACTGGATTTAGTAAACGTGAATGTTATGAACATGTCTGAAAGGACGACTGCTTTGGAAATGAAAGGTATGCATATTACATTGATTTTCAACTTGGGTTGTATTGCTTTGCTTTACTGCGGTTTGTGATTGGTCTATGAAGGAATCTTGGGCCTCTCTCTCAAACAAGAAGATGCAAAACGAAAAACAAGTCTGACTCAATGATGAACATTTCTCCTACTTGTGGCTGTTCACGTTGAGCTACCAATCCTCCCTTGTGACATCATTTTCCTACACAGTTAAACCTGTATTTTTTTCGTCGCGATTATCTACAGATAACCAGGACTCAATGTTCAAAGCCATTGAAGCTTTGTCCAAACGCTTCGACTCCCTGGGCACAAATATGGAAAGAAAACTGGATTTAGTAAACGTGAATGTTATGAACATGTCTGAAAGGACGACTGCTTTGGAAATGAAAGGTATGCATATTACATTGATTTTCAACTTGGGTTGTATTGCTTTGCTTTACTGCGGTTTGTGATTGGTCTATGAAGGAATCTTGGGCCTCTCTCTCAAACAAGAAGATGCAAAACGAAAAACAAGTCTGACTCAATGATGAACATTTCTCCTACTTGTGGCTGTTCACGTTAAGTTACCAATCCTCCCTTGTGACATCATTTTCCTACACAGTTAAACCTGATTTTTTTTCGTCGCGATTATCTACAGATAACCAGGACTCAATGTTCAAAGCCATTGAAGCTTTGTCCAAACGCTTCGACTCCCTGGGCACAAATATGGAAAGAAAACTGGATTTAGTAAACGTGAATGTTATGAACATGTCTGAAAGGACGACTGCTTTGGAAATGAAAGGTATGCATATTACATTGATTTTCAACTTGGGTTGTATTGCTTTGCTTTACTGCGGTTTGTGATTGGTCTATGAAGGAATCTTGGGCCTCTCTCTCAAACAAGAAGATGCAAAACGAAAGACAAGTCTGACTCAATGATGAACATTTCTCCTACTTGTGGCTGTTCACGTTAAGTTACCAATCCTCCCTTGTGACATCATTTTCCTACACAGTTAAACCTGTATTAGGTGGTCACCTACGAAGAATGGCTGAAGGGGGGCCACGTAAGACAGGTTCCACAGAAAAGAGGTCATATTAAAACGATGTAAAACGCCAATTTGAAGCGCGAAAATTTTACCAATATGCAAGTGGAAAGTACGCATCTAAAGTATGTTCAAGGGTGTGATGTAACGCAATCCGATCGCATCTAACCTTTGCTTGCGAATGACTTGGTGATCTTTGGCTTCATTTCTTCGAATATATTCCACACAAACCTTCTATCAACACACGTGGGGAACCTCCCGAGAAATTCAATATTATTTCCTGAAAGTAGACTTTCAAAAGTGTAAAAGATTTATTTGACGGTTCGATTTAATTTCATTTAAATATACTCGCGTGTCAAAATCTCAGTTCTTGGAAAATCTCAGATATCTTTTCTTTACACAGATAACCTTAATACCCCTTTTTTTTTAATTATGTGAAAATTACAATCACGCAGGGCAGTGTAACTTGGAAATGATACTTAAAACAGCGGTAATTTCTTTATGAAATTCATTTTGATTCCGTAAGAATCGAAATTTGTTTGAAAAAAGTTTCTTTTTGACATTTCGAAATTACACCGTGAACCAATTTTTTTTATCCATGCATTTATTATTGAAAGATTTTAAGATCTTTATTTATGTCTTTCAATTTCTTCAGGAAGACTGGCTGTAATTAACAAAACAGTCGATGCGTGGTACACTCTCCTCACTCGTTTAACAAAAGTGTTGTAAGGAAACTGGATGTCGTGATTAAGTCAATCGAAGAGCTCTCTTTGCAATTTAAGAACCCATGCATCTGAAACGATAAAGGCATCGGTTATGGAAGGAATGCATCTTTTAAATAATTTTCACTTGCGTGTTGTAAGCAATGTAGCATTGCTTGATTTTGCTTTACCGTCCTATGCAAACTTGCATCACCCTAGCTAGCCTGTCAACTATTATGATATAAAAATAAGCATGGTACAATCAGAGATGAGAAACTTAACAACATTTCTCAAGAGATTTATTACTTTCTTTATTAATCTATATTGACATATTTATATTCATGCGTCTATGTATTTACATGTATCTGTCTATTAGTCAGGAAAACTTGTCCTTTGTTGAAAAACCCGAAGAATGGTTTTTCACACAGTCACAAAAACTGCACGGGGGAGTTTATTTCATTCAGTTGTAACCGTAGTTACTGGTTAAATGGACCCTCAGAGCGTCTCTGCCTGAACAACGGTTCATGGACGGGAGTGCAGCCAACTTGTGAATTTGGTAAGAGTTTCACTCGATGATTATTTAGAGTGTCTTTCGGGTAAGGTTAGTCCTGAAAAATTTTTATTAGCCTTAATAAAAACCGGAGACGAAGTATGTCATTAAAAGTAGTTAGATCATCTAAGGATGAAGATGTAGATGTAGGTGAATGTAGGTGTAGATGTAGATGTAGATGAAGGACTGGGCAAAGTTCCAGTCAATAGCGTTGTTTGTAGGTTGATGACGTTCAGCTATTTGATTTTTAACATCATCGCTCGTTTATGTTCAGTCAGTTTTCCGTTGAAGTACCTGCAAACCTCTCTGATGTTACAGGAAGCCCAGAAACTGGAATCCCTAATCTCGCTTGTGTGTATCTACCTTTAGTCGGTGAATGTCAAAAGGCAATCATCAATTTGATGGTTTTTCGGACGTTGTGGGGTTGTGATTCGCAAGATACTTCCGGACATATCTGTTATGTATTGCAGGATCACTGAAAAACTACGAGTCCCGTTGTAGATCGAATATGCAATTTTATTACTTTTGTGGATGTTTCGTTCCTTGATGAAGCGTCGTTGAAGTTGCCCTGGAAATAATTGCAAAGTGCATGTAATATTAACCGGATAAATTGTCTAGTGTTTTGAAAAATTAGTTGCGCTCGTCTTGTTAGAGTTATAATTGTCATAGCTTTATGGGGTGTCAAGTTTTAATAGAATTTGTCTTGAAATCACTTGGAATGTTAGATGTAACAAGGAATATTCTTGATTCTGTGATATGTTACTATTCATTCTTAAAGGGAAGAGCTTCAGACTTTTCTAGTGGGTAGAACATTCCGTTAAGATGGTTATAAAAACTCGATTTCCTCACTAAATTTCCTTTCGTTTGATTTCAGTCAGCCCGAACTACTCTTTGTTATTTCCATATAAGAGTAAAAATGATTACGTAATCATCACGCATGGAATGCCAAGCCTTACAGCTGTGACAGTTTGTATGTGGATAAAGACTAATGCTACAGGAAGTAATGGAGCACTTCTCAGCTATGCTGTGAGTGGAACGGATAACGAACTGTTGTTATAAAGGCCCGGAGATTTTGGGTTCGGTGTGCGATCAGTTGGGAGGTACGAGAATACGGTTTCATTGGGGAATAGGAACGATACACTGCGCATGATGTGCAGAACCCGTCCTGTACTATTTGAATCGTGAATCAGCAATAGTAAATGTTGTCAGAGCTATTTAATGAACCATATTTGGTTAGTCCTAATGGCGGAGCCCTGAATGCTATTTCCTTACACTTATCATCCATGAAATAAAGCACTATTGGACAAAGCCGATGATTGAAAACTCTCGGCGTTGTGCGTTTTTCTTTCTCTAATTATATCACGTCTGAACATTTGTGGTAATGAGTGAATAAAGGGAGAGGTGTGAACGTACGATCATCAGTTGCCTTTTTTTCAATCAAATTTTCTCAAATTGATGGGCTGAATAGACTTTCGAGTGAAATTTGAGAGTTTTAGAATCATGAGAGGTTTAGAATTATGAGAGGTTAACAATAAACCATCTCATGAAAATGGTATCAAATGCCTTGCAGACAGAGCTTGATGATATTTTAGCATTTCACCTCTCTACGTGCAGAAAGAGATAGAAGAGGGATACAGGTTCAATAATTATCGCACCAGACTCAAAATCTATCACACCAATTATCTTTAACTACTTTATCAATCGTTTAACCTTTTCAAAATGGATTATTAAGGAAAAACTTTAAATCATTTCAATGTTCATTATAGTGGTTACACCCGTGTATCTGCCAACGATGGAAAGTGGCATCACATCTGCGCAGCATGGGAGAATACCGCTGGATCGTGGAAATTGATCAAGGATGGTTATTTGGGGGCTAGTGGTAGAGGATTATCAAAAGGTAAGTTGTACTCAGAAAATATCGAACATCAAACTAATTCACAAAATTTTGCCGCCAGGCAGGTCGAGTATTTTAACAAAAAATATGAAAATTTTCAGATTAAACGTTTCGCTTACTAAACTTTATTTAAATTGTTTGTTCTGGTATTACTAAAATACCTTTAAAAAAACTTACACCAAAAAAAAAACAACGACTACTTTTCCACAAATTGGTTTAAAAGCACGACTAGCGAAGGAATGGAGACATATTCTTGCTCTTAATTACAGGCCGATGGATCCGCGGAGGTGGACACCTTGTACTTGGACAGGATCAAGACAAATTGGGAGGAGGCTTTCAAGAACGTGAAAGTTTCATTGGTGAAATGGCAGATGTCAATATCTGGAATCGCGTGATTTCAGACCAAGAAATCAGGCGCATGTCCAAATCGTGCCTGACAGGGACGGGAAATTTGTTTCAGTGGAGCGACTTCAAATTCCACAGAATGGGCTCGGTGCAGATAGCTCAGCCTTCTTGCTTAAATTGAAATGCGTAATGCTCTACTGAAGTTGAACTTTTAATCGTATTTAGTTAGTTTTAGGATTGTTTCATTAAGTTTAATTTTAAAGTTCAAAACAAGCGAAAAAATGATGGCACTAAGTGTTAAGTACTCTTCTTTTTCAATGTGAAACTTCTTAAATGTTATAGAAATGTCGTTTCCGTTCTTAAAATTTCTCTTATTATTTTGCAAGTTTGAGTTGCTAATTTGCCGCGTGAAGAATTATCTTTCCGCTCTGGGAAATAAGTAACCCTGAAATCCTGTAGGATGTATGAAAATATTAATTGATATGAATGGAAAATACAGCCAGGCCGTTAACTTTAAGGCAGCTTTTCAAAAACAAAATTTCTAGGCCGATTAAATCACACAAAAAAAAATGAATTGAAAGGGTTGAAACTCTAAGGAAGTACCTCTTTAATAATTTTTTAAAAATTTTTTTTCTTCCTTTTTCCCCTTTTTTCTTTCTTTATTTGTTATTTTTGCCCTTTATTATCCTTTTTTCTTCAAGTTCCAGGCATTCAGTTGGGGGAGACGAACAGGAGAGCGAAAAATTTTTCCTCGCGAAAAAAAAAATAGAATGTGCAAAAAATGGCATGCAAAAGAGCACTCTCTTTCTATTGCCGTATTCCTAACAACCATGGTTAACCGCAACCGAAATGCGCCAAGTTGCTTGCCATTTTTAGCCCGTCTGTTTTCGTTCCTCTCTCAACTAATGTCCTAGTCCAAGAGAGTCAATGTGTTTCTTGCTATCACCAATGACGTGTCGTGATTTTGCCTAGTAGTCGCGGGTCACGGGTCGCGACTCGTAAGATAAAATCGGTAACAACCACTGTAAAAGAAATATTTTCAATCACGTTTTTATTCATTTTCCTGTTTTTTTTGTAAACATCAATATATCTTGGTGTACGTGTCCCCTTTTTTTGTGGTACTAAATAAATGCCCGCCTCGGCCTTACAGGAGCAGACGTGGACATCTTTTTCATCCTTTCATCACGTACACAAGTTACTCGAGAAGCGCTGGCACCAGCTTACATCGGTTGACTTCTTATTGAAATGAATTTTGAGCCGGTGATCTCACCGAACCAGTATCTCCATAATTTTCAAAGTTGAAGACAATTACATCGAGCAGATCCTAAAAAGCACCATATTCATTTACCTGGGAAACATTCTCGCCCTTAATCCTTTCCGGTAAACTATAACCGCCACTATTTGTCTCGTCATAAAACCTTTCGCAACTAATTATGCCCTCCTGATGAAGTCACTTCTAATGCGAATCGAAGACACAGCCTTCATCACGCGATGTGATCAACTGATTTTATTAACTTCTCCCTATGAAGTATAAACAGTAAATTTTAATATTTTATTACGATTTTTGATGTGTGTTCGATAATAATTATTATCACAGTTATATCCTGCTTAGCGGTGTCTTCAACTTAAAGTAGAACGCTGAATAAAATCTTAGCTGGCTAAAGGTATTGGGAAATCATCTTAAACATTTTAGTCAGTGTCATTGTGTCTGCCCATCTTTCCTCTTCAATCGTTATGCAATGTTCTTTTATTATAAAGCAGTTTTTGATACGTGATTGAAGGTATTGCGAGTTTCTTTACAAATTCCGAAGCGGCAATTCGACTGGGTATGAGGGACTTACATTTCTGTGGAATAGTTGTAATAAAGTCGTTCTAAACCGTGGCATCTGCTGGGCGTAGATCACCGGATTTATTAATGAGTTTGCGAAGTAGATGGTTTGCCACGTCATCTCGATATGAAACTCTGACTGCCGAGAAAGATTTAACTGGATTTCAAAAATAAGCAGAAATTGATATATCATCACCGGAAACCATGTCAATAACGACGCGAGGGTTACGAGAAAGAGGGTATGGGTCAGTTTTCTATCTCTCTGACTAACTGCACCATGGTTTTGTGGATGACCGCCGTAACGGACCTTTACAAAGATACTAATATAAGAAAACAAAATTACACAAAGTGGAATAACGAAGTACGAAAAATATAAAATATAATAGTTGAAGTCGCTTAGAAGACGCAGTTGTTCTGGTACTTGTATGCCTGCAATCGTCAGCCAAATGAAAGTGATCACAATTATATATACCTGTTTCTTGACTAAAAGATGCCTGAATGGAAAAAATGTTGCGTGTAGTCTTTCTAAGGAAATAACAGCGAGATTGATAAGCGAGATAACTGGAAAAAATCCAAAAACAGATTTTTAGGTGAAGTAACTTCGGATTCCCATTGAAATCGAACTTCCACAGATAACAATACTCTGCTATTCTATGTTCTATAAAAAGAGGTCCAGAGGCTGCACTGGCGAGGACATCAACAATCGCCAGATGGATGATCAAGTATGTACTCCGGCGCCGTTGTTCGCGCTGCTTCACAAATACAATAATGGTGATGATATTTAGGATGACTATAGCCAGACATTCAGCAGTGAGTACAATTGCCCATGGAATACACTCTGAGGGAGGAATTCGAATCCAATCTTGTTGGCCGGAGGCCTTATGAGTATTGTTGCTGATATTGTTAGCCATTCAGTTTCGACAGCTTTGCGTAGCGCACAAAACGACCTGGAAATGAAAAAGAAAAGGCTTTCAAGATTTGGTTGTATGTGATGCGTCTTTTGTGAAACAAACTAGATCAAAAAATGTTAGTCATTTTTAAATCTCTTTAGTATTTTTGACTTGTTTGCGATTTTTTAACTGAAACTTTCCTATGTAATTTTGAAACTCTAAAACTTCCCACCAAGGATGTGTGAGTTCAACTTGAAAGTTGAATTCTGTTTTTTGAAACGCACACATAGGTGAAACACAGTCAGAAAAGCACGGTGAATTTTTTATGGCTAAATTAAATGGGGAGTTTTGAGAGTTTTGAAACTGTTTTAAAATAAATATGAATGTGAATCTTTGCAATTTTAAAATCGTTCGTAATTTTCTTTCGCGATCATTTCAACCGCTTTTGGGTGATTTGCATTTGCATTTTGTAACATCATTAATAACAGAAATTGTGCTAATCTTTTTCTTACATTCGAAAACTACGGGGAACCACAGAAGTTCAAAAGTCGAGGCGATGCAATTTATCTTTTACGTGAATTTTTAGATGTGCCCTTTCTCAACCTACATGGGAGAACAAAGTGATGTGAAACCAACTTTTTTTTCTTTAACGAGTTGAGAGGTATATTTTTTGTATGATTGTTTCAACAATGTGTCTTTTGTTCCTACCGTTTGTGAACCCAGCTACATCTATGTATTTACTGCTTTGCGGTATCGAGATACCATTATTTTTCCTTGGTTTTTCTGTCAGAGAAGAACTCCTTGCAGTGTTTGTTTTGCTGAGAAAATTAATTGCCATATGGATGTGGACACCCTTCTTCATCTCAATATAAGTTACTGATAATCAACCAGCTGGAAACAGTCGACCAGCGCACCAAAATTAAATAGAAAGTTAGTTTTTCTAGTTAAATAGGTCTACGTGACGTTACTTGACATTTAATGTGAAATGAAAGTGGTTAATTTGCATTAAAAGGCGCAACAGTTTAAAATCAAGAAATAACAACTTATAATCTACCCGGATGAAGTTGCCCAAGGATAAGTTTAATTAGCTGGGCCCAGTTGCTCGAAGGCTGATTAGCACTAACTCAGGGTTAACTTTTAATCCAGGTTTCTTTATTTCAAAAGTTCTTAAGACGGGCAGACGTTTTTCAGCTCTCTCGACGTTCTTCAATAAATTAAAGATATGTCCCGAAATGCATGCAGTAACAAAAATGGCAAATTTGACGAAATTTTGTTGACGATTTTAACGAATTTGACGAAATTTGTCGTTCTGTAGGAATTTTATCAAAACTGATGATTGTGATGAAATTTCGCTAAGGTCGTGGACGAAATTATACGAGCAAATTGAAATGACCTGGCGTGAAGGGCCCTAAAAAAACGACGAATTTGGCGAAAGTGAAGTCAGTGAAGGTTTATGATTAAAACCTGTTCGTGTTAAAATGTCATTTATTCCTTGGAAGTGTCTCAGTAATACCTGTGCATATTTTGAACTAAGGAAATATACATTGCTTTCCCCTTTCACTCGGGTAACACGATTTAGAAGGTCAGGGAAATATATATTGTTTTCTGTTCCACTCCGGTAACACGGTTTTAGAACAAGGAAAATATATCGTCGCTTTTCATTCCACTCGGGCGACACGCTTTAGAACAAGAGAAATATATATTGCTTTCCGTTCCACTCGGCTATCACGCTGTTAGAACGAGCAAAATATATTTTGTATACATTGCCTAACAGGCTCTGATAGCCAGGGAAAACATACTGCTTTCCCTTTCGCACGGGGCTAGGGCAACATTCATTGATAACGAGGGAAATATCTACTGACCAAATTTACCCAATTTCGTAGAAATCGTCATATTCGCCAACATGTCAGGTTTGTCTCTGATGAGATAATTTGCATTGTTATGGCTGGCGAGAAGGCGTCAAAATCCTCAATTCCGCTAAGAGAAGTCGTCAAAATCCTCAATTCCGCCAAGCTGATTTCGCTTTCACGAATTTGACTAAAATTCGCGAAAATAGTCCAATCCACGAACATTCACCTGGTTCGACGAAATTTCGTCAAATCTGTCATTTTCGTTACTACGTGCATTTCTAGACATAAATTGGTAATTTTTACATATTTACATATTCAAAAACTGAACGAAATATTAAGTACATCCAAATATTGTCCTATTTATGTGCCTTTAATAGATTCAAAGAATACGTCGCATGTTATGAAAATATCCGTTTACAATTCAAACAAAATGAAACATGATATTCTTTAGCTACCTTGGGCACAGGCGGTGTTAAAATGAGATCTTTTCATCAAAGTAAGCGGTCAGATAACAATTAATACGCCGTGGAAGTAAGGTGAGGTATTTTATTGAGAATTTGACCTATTTTTTAATTCCTTAAAGCGGTCGTAAATATTCCCATACAAACTCTTATAATTCCGCCATGACTGTTATTGCGCAAGCTGATCATCTCACATATGGAGCTTGGGTCGCCTGTGCCTCAGGTGTTTTTTTATTGCTCTTGGAAACGCTTACAAATGGATGCATCCAGACTTAAAACAACCGAAAAACTCTCATGGAAGAAAAAATACATGAAACTTTTTTTTTTTATCAACGTTTTCAAAAGTCTGCGCTTTCGTTGTTTTTTCAAAAATGGAGCCTTTTAAGAACGATGTGTTTGCAAAACATTAAACTTTCAAAACTGAACGGAATCTCCCCGGTGTGAATGGGGCCCGAACCAGAGGAAAACTAACTGTGGCTGTTTCATAAAAGTACTGACCAATTCGTTTGACAAGTATCGGGAATAATCAATTGATTTAAATTTGGCGATGATATTGACTTTTTGCGCATTGATGGAAAGGAGGACTGTAAAGCAGAGGGCTTTGAACTAAGAACAATGGCACAGTCCATTTTCGTTTCTCCTTTGACACTGTCTATCGTAGCCGACGTGAGGGGACTTTCAAGTACAATGTAACCAACTGTCTAAATATCGCGGGATATTTGCATCGTTTCCTGTGTTTGAACTCTATTTAGTGCAGTTAGAAATTAATTAAACTTTTTCCTTTAAATGAAAAAAACTCCCCAAAACTCAAATTTCAACTCATGAACTTGTTGATAGTCAATACTGAAAGATGATTTAATAACGTGCATCCCTTACGTGATTCTTCGCGTTTTTTACTTAATGCAATTCTAATACTAAATATTTTTGTATTTGGTCAACCGTCAAACAATGAGCTGTTACTCTTTTCAACAAAAGTCCCTCTACGGACATTCTGTTTTACCAATGCTTTCAGCTGCTTAAGTCATGACACCTTCATGACAAGGCAAAAAGGTTTTCGGTTCCATGCTTTCCTGGCAAGTAGCCAGTCTGACTATTGGAAGCCCTGCAATCGCTTTTACTTTCTAATTCATTAAAAAAGTTGGTAAGATGATCTCCTTTGCTTTTTTAAAAGGCGAATTTAAATATAATGAATTTGTCACTTAAAGTTAAAATCTCTTCAACGTTAATTGACTCAATTGAATGTATCTGACTTTATGTTTTCAAAGGCGAGGCAGTATTTATCTACCTCTTGGTGATTTTCGCATTTTTTTTTTCTAAATTTCAGATCCCGATGCGATACTGACTCAGCTGCAAGCTAATAACCTTACAGTAAAAAGGTCTCTAAGACGCGGGAAAGGTAAGCTACAGATTTTTTTCGCGTATTAAAATGAATACAATGAAATTTCATGTGACCTTAAGCACTGTTATCTCCGAAGGTCACAACTACAGTTGTAAAACTCATCAAAAAATTTCCATCGTTCTGTTTGGTTACTTTCTTATCACATTTCGAATTCAACCTTCAATGGACACTGGTGAGAGATCGCAGGCAAATTTCACGTAGTATTGAAACAAAGTATTATTTATAGGCTTGTTGTTCGCGAGAAAGAAGTTAGCTAATTATGTTTAGTTTAACACCTACATGTAAAAAGGGTCAGCAATGAACGATAGGACCCTACGGCCTTATGGGTTTACCTAATACAACCGATCGATGCACCTGGTAAATGGTAGAAGCCATACATGCTTTCCTGAAAGAAAAGAATAATCTTAACAAAGATTTTGTATGAAAAAGTAAAGCACTAGTTATGATTTTGCTGGGTCTTATTTCTCTTGTGCTTTTTTCGTTATTCTACTGTCCTATCTCTGTATATTTGTGAAAGTTCGTTGCAATCGTCATCCTGAACACCATAGTGCAGCCGGTCAGATAGAAAGAAGACTAACCAAAACCTTGTTTCTTGTTACTATCGGATCTTTGTTCACCTGGCTTCCAGTCATAATTTACCAAGGCCTGATTAATTTCCACTTTCACTTTTTGTTGACTGAATGGGTTTTTCATGCTGATATTACAATGCATGTTATCTACTTTGCAAATTCCCTGATAAATCCCATAATCTACGCCTTGTGGATGCCAAAGCTGAGAACTGGCGTATCACAACTATTTGGATTAAATCGAAATCGTTTACTCACTGTTGATTTGCCGCTTCGTAATCTCCATCATGGGGTAAAATTAGAGGCTAAAGAGACGGCGCTGTAAATTCTCTATTGAATGACCGTCAAATTTAACACTAATTGTTCACTTTGGACGTGATACCTACGCAAAGTTAAAATTATACTTTGCCAACCCTGCATTATTTGCCATTATTGGGTAATTTCCAGATCAACATTACTGAACATTACTGAACATTATTGAATATATTTCAGTAATGTTGATGTAAAAGTAGCATTTAACTTTAGTAACTAATCGATCACGATTTTTTCATTTCCATGGCCTGCAAGAAAAAGCCACAGCTAAGAAACAAGTAACAATTTTTTAGGTCATTCAACTTTAGTGTGGGGATTTGTTTGATCAGTGAGTTTGAGTTTCATGACCATAATGTCGTAATTTATTTTACCGTCCAATACTCAAGATTATGCAAATATGTGACATTACATAAACAAAGAGCCATGGAACGTTTAGAACTTTTAAATAATTGAAAAGGTCTGAAAAGCTACACATACGTCTACAATTATTCAGCTCAGTGTAAAACAGCTAAGGTAGATATGAATGGAGGTTAATGGGTTGAACTCTGCCCTCATAAACGAAAGTGACTATTCCAGCTTTTCTCCCTTATGACCCGCCACAGAACTTGCACTCTCTTGTAAGAATCGTTCAACAAAAAAGTTTTCCGAGTAAAATCGTTTGTATTTAGTGTGCATCTGCCCAGGTTATTTTCCTGTCTTTGCCAGTCGCTTGGAAGGAAGGAAAATGTCAATATATGTGATATAATGATATATGTGCTTATATCAAAGGTTATTTGTTGTTATCCTGAGCCAAGCCTCCCTCCCCTCCTCCCCTCTCACAATCCTAAAGAAACAAAACCTAACAACAACAAAAGAAGAATTGCTTATCATGGAAACAATTATGTGCAACCAAAGGAAGATTGGTGGCATTTTTGTACAATTGATCTTTGCTGCACATCAAGGGAGGGGTGGGCATTATGGAAATGAAGATGAGAATCCCAATGGAAATAAAATAATATATAGATTTAGGCAAGCCTAAAAGCGGAGCTCGCATTTTTTTTTCCCGCACGTCTCTTCAACAAAACTAAAGCCCTTACTATGGATAAAGTGCGTGGTAATATTAATGGATATTCATTCGAAACTTCTCCGTGTCCGTGTAGAAGACTGATTATAAGGTAGTGCCCGTGGTACAGTTGGCCGCGCATGCTAAAAGTAGCGCCTTATATGGTCGTACATCCAATTTTTTTCGGCTTGATGGGTTACTACAATTATGTATAATTATGGGGCTACGTTTGCGAGCTCCACTATGGTGTTCTTCAGCAATTTTCTCATGCATATTGGTCGTTCGGTTTGATTACTTTATATTTTTGCTTCAGCTTGCAAAGCATTGAGACCATCTGGCTTTAACAAATCCGAAACTGCATGGGTTAAAAGACACGTTATCTTTGCGTTTATAAAATCAAGGCAGTTTTGAAGTTTTTATTTTTCGAGTTTTATCGCGAGTATTTTTGGAAAATACAGTTGACATTAAACTTTAAACTTCCATAACTGCTCCTTTCCATTTTTCTTGCTATCAGAAATCTTTTTGAAATTCACCGATGACCATCTGGTCTAATGACAGAAAATTTATATTTTCTTATGCAAATATCCTCTCTCAGAAAGTACAAGTAGCTCTGTAAGTTAGACATAAAGTCGTGTTTAAAATTATTGGCTCTGCCTCAAAATCACAAATGAGTCCTTTTTGCAACAATTTTCTTTTCCGTTCTAGCACATAAGGCGAAAGGCTAACGACACGATAAAATTAGTACGACGAAGACAACAACAAAGCAAAACAAATGCAAATAAGAGTAAGTTTTCCTGATGCAGCGACGGCTAGACAAAATATGACATGCAAAACATCTACCCGTAAGTAAATTTGTACAAAATTTGTAGTTTAACACCACAATAATATTTTCATTTCAACTAGTCTCTATGATTTGCGCTCTTTAGTAATTTTTTTCATATTGCTTTCAGCTTAATTTATGTTAATTAATTCGTGATGCATTTCTAACGATGCGAGTGAGTTAAGCCGCGCTCGCCTGAAAAGTAGTTTTTCTGGACCTCTTCTTCGTATAAAGAGAGTAAGTAAGGTAATCTCTCATGCATTTTAAAAGGCAAACTTAAATATTTTCGATTATAGCCACTTACGTGTGAAGACCTCTTTATTGACCATACCTTACTTTATGTTTTCTAAGGTTAAGTAATATTTCGCTATCTCTTGGACATTTGTGTATTTTGTTTATTCTAAATTTCGGATCTTGGTGCAGTACTCACCCAACTGCACGCTTATAACTGTTTATAAAATATATTTAAAGGCCTTTAAAGCGCGGAAAAGGTAAGGAATAATTGTAACCTACTGAATTATTACACTGCAATATCATGCGACACAAGCTATAGACGAGCGTATCTCAGTAAGTTGAAGATCACAACCACGGCCGAAAGAAAATATTTCATGTTATCGCCTGAAACTCAACTATTCCGTCGGTTTGTTTGTATGTAGTTAATCCGTTAGCAGATCTGGAACTCAACATTCACTAGATGTTGGTACGGGATTGTTAAGTAAATATCGCGTGTACTTAAAAGATTCCCTTTCTTTTCATTGTTACGTTAGTATCTCGCACACTTTAAGGCTATGTTTCATTGGATTTTTACGTTAGTGTCTAGCTCATTTTATTCATAAACATCCCTGAAATAGTTTACTTATATGTCAAAGTTTAGACAGGTATTGGTTTCATTTTCGTTTTTGTCGAACAAGGCAAGCCGGTTTCAAGTTATCGGAAGAACTTTTCAGTAAAACGACTAAGGAATTAATTCCGCTGTTCACATTTTTGCACCAAAAGAAGCACTACGTGCCTGCATTCAGCCAATCTTAAAAGCTTTTTCTCGATTATTTTTTAGGTCATTCCTTGTTTTGCAAACGTCAACAGAAGCTAAATGGATGATAAGATCAGCAACAATACTCAAAACTTCTCCAGCGCATGGGAACCCAGTCTCCTCTCACATTGCATTCCCTGGATTGTAGTGTTCATCACTGAATGTCTGGCCATAGTCATCCTAAATATCATCACCATTATTGTATTTGTGAAGCAGCGCGCGCTTCAGGGCCGGAGTACGTACTTGATCATCCATCTTGCCGTCGTCGATCTCTTGGTCGGTGCATTCAGTGGACCTTTGCGAATAGAAAATAGAATAGCATTGTTTTGCAACCTGTGGAAGTACGACTGGGAGACCCAGTGGCTGAATCACACAAAGAGGTGTATTATTCATTTTTCCAGTCGCCTCTCTTTTTGAATCTCGCTGCTATTTCATTGGAACGAGCACACGCAACAGTTTGTCCATTCAGGCATCGTCATGCTAATAGGAGGGTTTATGTAGTTATTATTGCTGGCATTTGGTTATTGGCGATAGGGTTAACACTGACTGAACAAATCTTTTATCTCTATCTCATCCCTGTGGATAAAGTTTATTTCTCATATTTCTTCGCTGCTCTTTTTGTCATTTTTCTTTCTTATCTCTGTATATTTGTGAAAGTGCGTTGCAATCGTCACCCTCGGCATCATAACGCAGCCGGTCAGAGGGAAGGGAGACTAACCTATACCTTGTTTCTTGTTACTATGGGATCTTTGCTCACTTGTCTACCAGTCATGATCTACCAAGGCCTAGTTAGTTTTAACAATGATTGTTTTTCAAAAGTAACTGGAAAAGTGAGCTTTCATGTTGATATTATGATGCAAACACTCTTCCTCTCCAATTCTGTGATAAATCCCATAATTTACGCCCAGCGGATACCAGAACTAAGAGCAGGCGTATCACAACTATTTCAATTAAATCGAAACCGTTTAGAGTTCGATGATTTTCCGCTTCGCAGACTCCATTTAGAGGAAATTAGAAACTAGAGAGACAGCGCTGTAAATATTTCATTTAATTATCGTCACGTTTGACACTTATATGACAGCACAGGCCTAAACATCGACAAAAAATAAAGCAAACCAGAACCAAAAAAAAAAAATAATTAAAAAAAAAAAAAAAAACGCAAAAGTGTAGGTTCACTTTGGACATGATGTCCTCACGCGAAGCAAAAATTATAATTTTCCCAGTCCACAAGGGTGATCCCTATTGTTTTCCATTATACGGTTATTTCTAGATATTTAGGCTTCACTCCTTTTATTGATGTTTAAGTAATACTTGATATTAGTTGGTAATTATTTTTAGAATTGTTTATTTCCATGGCAAGACAGCTTGGAAATATAAGTAACAATTTTGTCAACTCTATACTCGGAGATTTGTTAAATCGGCTAGTTTGAGCTTCATAACTAGAAATTTCATAATTTAAATGGGATGATTTCCTGGTATTCAGGCCCAAGACTTGTGGTTCAGGTGTTTGAAATTATAGAAACAAAGAGTCACGCGACTTTAAAGCTAAGGACACATAAAATCATTTTTAAAGGTCTTAGAAGCTACATATACGTCTACAATAATTCTTCCCTGTCTAAAACAATCAAATATATATAAAAAGAGTTTGATTTATTAGAGTGTACTCTAATCAAATCATTTTAACAAGATGAATAAAATAAAGGCGATAACTGCAACTGCAGCTGTTAGAATCTACATTAATTGTCTCATAAAATAAGGATATGTGAGTGACTTTTTCAATCAAAGGGTCTGCTACACTCCGGCGTTTTGACGGTTTTAGCCAATTTTTTCTTTCGGTTTGCGGTCGCAGTCGTACGTATGATAACCTATGTCTCAGCAGTCGGGAGGTCCATATAGGGAAAAGCTGTTCCCCGCTTTCTTGGACATCGGAAATCACACTGGATTCATACTTAAGTCCACTAGGTCGCGTTGCCGAACGTCTTTGAATCGGAGCCTAGGCCGCCCTCTAGGTCTGGTTCCTTCTTTCGAGTCGCTGACATGCTTTGGTTTTAGTTGTGAAGAGAGTAGTCCAGAGTTTGTGATTCCGAACAGTTCTTCATTTGTTATCTTATCCTCCCATCCAAGGAGAGATCTGAGACATCTGGTGTGGAACTCGCCAAGGTATGATTCCTTAGGTCTGTATGTGGTTCAGCATTCAGCACCATATGGCAAGATGCTCGGTATGCAAGCTTTATACACTCATACTTTGGTTCTAGTGGTGAGATGCTTGTTCTTCCACACACGATCAGTAGACGACTGAAAGTTGTAAAGAAACTTTCCTAAGTATTATGGATATCTCGTCCTCTAGAGACATATTTGGCGACATAACGATGGTTTTCTTCAGACTGATGAGACCAAACACTTTGCATGACTCAGAGAAACAGGCTAGAATTTATTGAAGCTACTCCTCAAATGAGGCACAAAGAGCAGCATAGCCAGCAAAGAGAAGCTCGCTGATGACAACTTCCTGGACTTTTGTCTTTGCCTTGAAGAGGGAGAAGCGGAAGAACTGAATTACCATCATCGCGAAATAGAACTCAATACTTCACTGAAAGTTTTATGACCAACTAACTTTTTGGGAGGATTAAGATATCAAATAAATGAAAGTTACAGTAATTGATTTAATTGTAGACACATTGAGTTACTTTTGATGAAAGCTCATTAAATTACAAAGGGTTTTTAGGCCGCTTGTCAACCAATTTTTTCCGAAACCATTTATTTTTTGTGATTTGAGTGAGAAAAAGGAGAAAATTCTTTGCTTAAAATGCTGCCCAGCTGGCAAAACACCACATGTTCATGAAAAATCACAACGAAGTCAGAGATCGGATACCACGCACTGTGAGAGAGTATGATGGAAGAATACTGCCCTCTCTCGGAGCCAATGAGATCGCAAGATTTGTAGAATCCCACCGCTCGTGCTTTGTGAAAGAAGTAAAATGAATTATCACGTGGCAGGAGCCCATGGGCCCCTGCACGCGGTTACAGAAAATTGTAACTTATTGCGAGGTTTTCAGATTTGCCGGTGTGATGGCGCCGGGTTTTGTAAATATAGTTAACAAACTTGGAAAACTGAGCGGCTTCTTCATTTTCTGCTTTCTGAAGCTTCTTCTCAAGCAAATCAAAGAAGATTGTATTTTGAGACTAGAGCAGTCAAACAGGGCAGGAAATGAAAAGGCGCAATTTTTCTACCATCTCTCCCCTGCGGTGACGAAATTTGACAGAAGGCCAGGCTTTAAAGTCAAACGGAGAGCGCTTTTAAGGACGGCGGCCACGAATCTGCAGTGAGATGTTGACGAAGTTATCAAATGCGTCTCCTTCTTTGAAAGCTTGGAGTAGTGCTCAGGAATATTCTTAGCAATGAAAAGTATGGATAAATTAAAGTTACCTCGTTTCGTACAGAAAGTCAGCGCGCCATTTTAACAATCCACTTCTTTTTTTAATTGGCAATTTGATTTCGAATTGAGTGTAGAGTTGGCCTCGTATGCTATACAGTGAACCCACTTAAAAAATATATCCAGTGAACTGAAATTTCATTGAGACTGAGGTGACTAAAGTCAATAACTTTATAAGTACAAATTTAATTATTAAAGTCAGTTTTCTTGCATGATTACTAAGTTCTCACACAAGTATACTTGATAATATGTCTGTAAGTCATCTTCGTTTCTTTTTTCTTGCAAGTCATTGCAAGAACGTGCAGTCAAATGTTTGCAAGCGTTAACATGAAAAAAGGACAGTGGTGTAGCTGGGTCAGGCCTTCTTCCTTTCTAACCCTTGTCGACACATGGGTTCACCCAGCAACAAGGGATGATTTTTTTTTGTGCAGATACTGAAGCAGAAGCTGATATTTTCACCTCATTAACCGTATTTCCTTTTTTTTTCCTATTTATATTAAGGCATGACTTATTACCGAATCACTTAAATTTCATTTTGTTATTTTTTGTGTTTTTATCTATACAACCAACCTTTTTTCGGTTTTTGGTCAACCGACAGAGATAACTAGGTAAGTCTCGAAGCAAACCACATGCTGGTACACAGCGGTAACGCAGGCTCATGTCAATTGCTATCTTTGTTGTGATAAACCATGAGGATCAACCTGATCCGAAACTGGACCGGTTGGCTCCTTATAGTCAATCTACTCTTCCTTATTTCGAGTTATTTCTGTCATTACATGGAATTTTAATATAAAAGTTGACTATTGAATATCAAATTCTCCTCGCTCTCTCTTTTGTTTTATCCTCAAACTAAATAAAAAAAATATAGTCAAGATTTATGCATCTTGTAAAGATCCTCTCACGAGAGGTGCAAGCAATTCTTAAAACGAATGAATGAATGGAGGTGAGTTTCTAAAGAACCTGTGTCACAGCTTTCAGAGCGAATATGACGAAAGGGTAACACTCGAAATGTCTCCTTTAGAATCCCTTAGCCGCAGTTGATTCATATCATCAACTTAGTTTATAAAACCAAACTCTCGACGTTAGTTAAGCTTCAAGGTACAAAAGATGTGTGGAAGTACTTGACTGAAAATAATCTTTTCAGGTTTATGAACTGACCCCTTTCGTAATAACTGAAACAAAACACCAAGAAAACCAGAAGAAACTCAAGTTCCAAAAATATCAGTGTCTAAGATGAGGTTGCTCATAATTTCCTCCAATTAAACAAGAAGAAGAAAAAGAAAAAAAAAACGGCAACTAAAATAGCAACAACGGAAAACTAATACTAAGTTTACGTTTTCCAGTCGTAAAATTAACTTTGAGTACATTGTCTAAAGTACCGCACTTTAGACAACGTACTCAATAGTATTGAAAAGCTGTGAATATATGAAAATCATGTGTGTGAACAGCGGATTAAGAAATGAATATGAAAGCAATCTTCCCAGTGAGCTTTGTTTGCTCAGTTGGTAGAGCACTGTACCGATTGAAAGTTTTTCCAGACTTTATTTTCGCTACTGTTTAAATAGTGTTCATCATAGCGAAGATCACTTTTATATTCAGTACTTATTAAATTAAACAATTCTGTTTTGGGAAAAACATCCAACCACTAATTCATTTAGGTTGCTCCAAACTTTCGGCGGCAAGAGGATCCAAACTTACTTATTCCAAAAAAAACAAAATTAAAAAAATCTTAAATAGCGTGTTAGAAATTTACAATAAAAAAGTTTACAAATTATTACAGCGTGGAATCTCTAACAACATCAGTTCGTGGCAAACAACGTCACAATAGATCAACTTTGTTCGCTCTCTCATTTTCATGTTGTGGTTTTTGAAAATGGACAAGTCTATCCCTAGACATGAAACATTCAAACAGGGAAGATGTCCTTGATTAAAACCAAAGCACATCCAGAATCTAAAAATCGCAAACCTTGTGAATTTTTCTAATTAATAATATTAATATCGTGCTGAGAGTGACTTTGGTTCGTGGTTTGCCCAACCTTCGAACAGTGGCGTCGAATAAGATTTTTTCCCCTCGTGTAACCCAAACGAGAACGTGCTCGTAGAAGCTGACTGGGCAAACGTGACTGGAAAATTATCACTTTGCTGTGAGGTACCATTTTGCTTGCTGTGAACAGCAGGAGTTCTACAATATTATTCGCTTGCGGCTCACAGTGTGAGCCAGGTGCCAACATAATTTTCTGTGAGAGCGTGAAATGCCTCTTAACGATAAGGAGTCGAAAACTCGCAAAATGATTTCTAAAAATGGTATTTTCTTCAAAAAAATTAAAAGGGAAAGTAAAATTGACGAAATGTTGCGAAATTTAAACAGTACATGAACTGAATAACGAGTAACTCAGTTGTGTCGGCCTCCCTTTTCAAACAAATGCTCCCCTTTTTTGAGGCTTTGGAACGCAGCACGCTTGCAATTTTCGCGACACTAGAGCTTGACAGCTCTATTAAAAGAAAAACCAATGGTTATACGGAGAGATGCTTTCTGACCTAGAGGGAGTGACTTTCTTTCTATAACACTATGCAGTAACACAGCATCGGAGATCACGCTTGATAACGGATAAATTCGTCAGAATTGTGTTCAGTAATTTTACTGTTTATCGGCTTCGTTGGTATTAAAGGAGGAAAATCAAATACCTTATAGTTTAATCGAATTCTGAATTCAACAAAATTGCTAAGGATATATTATATACTTGTGTTTCCTGAAAAACAGTGTACCTACGAAGTTTTCTCCGGAAGATATCTGAGAAAGTTTGGAGCAACCTTAATGCAGACTCTGTTGGAGGTTAACTGTCAAACAATGAAGCTAACACATTTTTTTTTTATAAGGGGGCTCAATGATTGGGGAATTATTTTCCACATAATTTCTGTTTGACTTTGGATTTCACCTGCTTAATTCATGATACGATATAAACGTGGTGAGTAAGGCTTGCCAGTTTATTTGGCAAGCTGTTCCCGAAACATTGGACACCCTGGGAAGATTTTTCTGGATCTTAAAGAAAGTAAGTTAAGTGGAATTTTCGGCCGTATAAATGCCAATTTGATAGTTTCCATTTGTTACTCACTAAACAAAAACGCTTTAATAGTCGTATCTTTGAAAGAATATCATGTCTGATCCAACTTTTTCTTTCCTTAACAAAGCCATGTACCCCTATTTGAGAAATTTTATCATATTTGTTCTTATTTAGCTTTAAGTGGTATTCTCATACAACTGCGACCTGACAACAGGATAGCGCATAATCCTCCTTGAAACACCGAAAGGTAAATAACATTAATTTCTCATCAGATGTCATGCTCTTTTGTGCTGCTTCATCTCATAGAACTAAAGGACACAACTGAGAAAATCGCGTCATGTCGACCCAAATGCAAAGATTCCTTTGTTTTCTAAACTCAGCGAACTTAGGGTGTAGGATCCAAGACTTATAATTACAGTGAGCGCGTTCGTCCTCTTGCCATTTGAAGATTTGGGAATAGTTACAGAATCTTGATGTTGAATTCGAGGGAGATCTTTTTGTGTCGATTTCTGGCAATGAGTGGCACCCTCTTCTAAATTTGTAACGAATGTGCATTCAAATTTGCTTTTTCTGTAATGTCCCTCATTACTCGGGTCGTTTTAAAGTAGAAAAAAATGAAAAAAACGCTATTGAGACCAACAACGAATTGCCCGAAAGATCTATCAGGTCCACACAGAAGCAGAAGTTCGTGTGAAGCTCGAACATGGTCGAGTGCGGTCTTACTTCCGACTGAGCAGGAGGATTGCGGGCTCATTTCAAGAACAGTGGGTGTTAATCGGGCTCAACGTCTGTGATTGAAGGATCATCGTCTATGTTGTTATTGATCGTCTTAGTGTGATCGTATTAAAGTCTCCAGCGTCTCGAGATTTTTTAAAAAAAGATATACGCGAACTACCTAGTAGTATGGAAAAACGAAGCTTAACAATTTGACAGTTTCAAACTTAGTTTACAATAAAATAATCAAGAAGTGAAAACTTAACCATGAATGAGAGTTTCATACTTGCCAAGATTTGCATTTGCAGGTTTAGAGTTTAAGGGTCTAGAGCCCTGGTATTTAGGGACTATAAGGACATGCGCAGTTGACATAAAAAATGGCGAGCGCATGGTCCGTGTTTTGTGAGGCTGAAGTTCAACTATTACAGTTGATTTAATTTGTGGACCAGAAGACGAGATTCTGGCAAGTAATAAAGAAAAATCGTACAAGATTTTTCTACTTCAAGCGTAGGTAACATTATGCGTAATCAAGTCTTCAACTACCCCCAAAAAGACGTTTTAATGTTCATATTACAGTCCAAATCGTCTACTTTGCCAACTCGCTGGTAAATCATATAAGCAGTTTTGGTATATTATATATTGATCTTATTTGAAATTGTTCAAACTCTGTTGATTCATTGCTTCACGGAAATCTCTTGTTTAGAATTAAAGTTGAAAATGAAGTAGCTACAGCAAATGAATAACAAATATGTAAAAAGGTGAAAGGACAGAAAACAATTGTTTACCCTTAGTGTTCAATGACATTTTTACGCCGAGAGGAAATTTAAATTTATTATGTTATTTGAGATCTGTAATTTTCAATTCACTGATATTGCGGTCTATGAAGTGGGTAATTCATAAACTTTTATCTACGAATAAGATGTGTTATTTGAAGATGGTGACTCCTTTCGGTTCCAAAAGCGAAACGTAATTTATATGCTCTCTTTACACGATGAGAGTTGAGAAATTTATTATTTTTCTCGGGTATGCACAAAAGCAAGAAGGTTTGAACGTGCGGAGATATTTCTAAAAGAATTATGTTATTTTTCCAAGTACACGATATTCCAGCAAGTAGCCCCCAAAATGTTGCATCAAGGTTTGTTTTTCTTGTTATTTTTAGATATCTACAAACAATTCTGAAGTAAACAAAAAAAAAATCTGTCAAAACGAAAGTCATTACGCATTCTTTACGTATGTGGTGTTAAGAAACTAGAAATCTAGAATCCACGAAAACGTCCCACAGACATGGTCCAAAAAGGTTTTGTTAATTTTGTTGTAATCAGAATTTAAAAAGAATGACAGGAAGGAACTGTCATGCAAAGCACATTAACTAGTCGAAGAGGCCAGAATTAAGTTCTTCAGCCAACACATCGAGCTAAATGATATTTTGCAGGTGAACAGGAAGCCATTTACCAAGTTAAACTTCATTTCCTGTTGTATGCAAATATTGAGGGTTAAGCAAAGAGAAGAGTGCCTTAAATACAAGTCTAAATAACAGCTTAAGTGTTATGCCGGAACTAGTCGCTGAGCAAAACCTCCGTATTTGGCGACTTTGTGACTGTTTCATTTCAAAACAGTTTTCTAATGTCAACATAACAACTTCAAAGGCTTTAAGTCCTTCTTTCTAATAGGTATGGTTACAGCAGCAGCACTCTGTTATGTGCATAATGTCGCAACACCAATGCGCATGTGCCGAAGCTTTGTGCCTTGGCCGTTACGCGCGTTAATTTAGCCAAACCGAATATAACTTAGCATAAGGTTTTAGCTGAGTATTTCATTTATTATAAGGGACCTATAGATTTGTGCAAGAATACTGAAAGAAAATTCCATAAAATTCGCCCTATTTTACGAATTTTTAAAGAAATTTCGCCCGACAGTTTGAGCCATTCTTTACAGCGTTGTCTTATAGAAGAGAAAAATTGTTAGAACTTCAAGACCAAACGAGCAATTTTTCGTAAATTTCACCATGCAATAATCAAGAGACCCTTCTTTAGTGGAAAAAAAAACAAGGTTAATGCGACCATGTTTTTTACTTATCTCGCGAAATAGGCAAGGAGTTCCTGATTGGTTCAGTTTGCCAGCTTCTCTCATTCTATGCCAAAAACTTCCAATTCAAAGATGACTTCGATGGTTTGATTATTTATTTCAGCGAAGTATTCCTCTTTGTTCAGGTTAACCTGAATTGTAAACTAAGCGTCGAAATCGCGTGGTTGATAGAAAACATAAGCGCGTAAGTAAATTTTGTGCCTGAGTTTTACTCTCCAAGAAATCTTTTTTAACAAAAGAGAGCCATCTCTATATGTGGCAATTAGAGTTTGTTGTTAAAAAAATACTTCAGTCGTTGAGCGCTATTAGCTTAACGAATGCCCTGCATGCTGTAATTATCTTCATGCATGATTAAAAGAGACCGCTACCTTTCACCATAATGCATCTTTTTTTTTAAATCATCTACTCTATTTTCTCGAACCTGGGCCAATCTACTACTACTACTACGAAATGCAATATTCTAGAAGACGTTTTATTATCAACCCACTCTTTTTCCTTATCTAACAGCTGTGCCTAAAATAAGCCTAAATTCACCGATAAACGTCTGGCTACTCAGACTTTTATTAATCTTATGCATACATTGTGTCACGAACCTTGTCTTCATTGGCTTATTTTCTCTTAGTTCACTGTTTGACACCATGAAAAGAACAGCGAAAATAGAAAGGACAGGGCGCCTTAAAAACATCATGTTTATACGAGAGATTACGAAAAAAGGAAGTTATAGTTAATTTTAAGGGTACATTTTTCATTAATAGTAATTCTATTTGTGGAAAATACCACAGATATCAGTTGATTAATTGGTAAATGGTGAGATACCCATCTATAACTGTGAAGCAGCAACGCAAGCAAATTTTTCTGGTACCGAGTTTTCATCAAAGTGCTTTGAATAAAAGCATTGGTTTTGAAAAAAAGTTTCTCGTTTCTATTCTTTTCTAATTTTCTCTTTTCTTTCGACTTTGTCTTTATCAGAAGACTCTTAAATGAAAAGAGACGTAATTTAGACAAATGAAATTAGATGATAATGACTGTTAGTCTGTTTTGGTGTGTTTATCAGATGTTTTCAGCTGGTTAATCTGAACAACATAATAAGGCAAAAAAAACGGATTCCCATATTTACCTGACATGTCTCAACTTTGGAATCACTCCGTTTATTTTCTTGAACATAAAGAACGAAAGTGAGGTGTCCAGTCGTTCAAAACCAAACGTAAGAGATTCTAGCCTGGAAACCAGTATTTAAATGTCTTGAAATGTCTTTGAATGAACATATCATACAATGTTTTGGTGGGCCAGAAATTCTTCTAATATTTTTTTTTGCTAATTTTTGTAATGCGGTTGTTCTAAATTTCAGATCTTTTCGCAGAAGTCACTCATCTGTGAGTTTACAATCGCAAATATCAAATGCAAGGTAACGGTAAACGATATTTTCTCACCTGTTCCTATCGTGCTTCTGTAAGCAAGTTTTTTTTTTTCACAGAACCAAGAAAAAAAAGACAACTGTAAAAAAACTCATCGTGCCGACTGAATATCGATGAGTTTTTGTAGTCTTTTTAATCAGTACTCCGCGGCTATATTTCGACCAGCCAAATGAACTGAAAGTTTATGACACATGATTATGGTAAGGAACAAAATAGAAATGAGATTAAAATATGCCCGCATTCATTTTTGCTTCCTGAAAACATATACCGGAAGAGGCGTCAGCAAGTAACAAAGGAAAATTCAGGAATGTAGGTAAATTTCAGAAAGCTTTTTCTTCTTTACTTTAGGTAATTCTTTGGTTTCCAAGTAACTGGCGAAACAAAATGGCTAACAAGATCAGCAACAATACTCATAACACCTCTAGCCAAGAAGACTTGATGTTAGTTCCTCTCGCACATTGTATTCCATGGCTTGTTGTCTTCATCACTGAATGCCTGGCCATAGTCCTTCTTAATATCATCGCTGTTATCGTATTCGTGAAGCAGCGCAAGCTACAACGACAGAGCACATATCTGATTATCCATCTGGCCATAGTCGATTTGTTAGTTGGCGCAATCAGTGGGCCTTTACGAATCGAACTTAAAATGGCGTCATTTTGCAATCTGTGGAGAAACGACTGGATGAATCAATTGTCAATTCGCGTAAAAATCACATTCAGCATTTTCCCAGTTGTTTCCCTGCTAAGTCTTGCGGTTATTTCTTTAGAACGACTGCGTGCAACATTTTGTCCAGTCAGGCATCGCCATACAAAAAAATGGGTTTATATGATAATTATAACTTTAATCTGGTTATTAACCACTGGTTTACTGGCGACAGAACAAATCTTTATTTCAGACCCTCTAAATTCGGAAATTGCTTACTTTTCATATTTTTTTATGACTCTCTTCGTTATTTTAGTCTCATATCTCTGTTTAGTTGTCAAAGTGCGTTGCGGTCGTCATCCTCAACACCATGGTGCAGCCGGACAGAGAGAAAGGAGACTGACCAATACCTTGTTTGTTGTTACTTTTGGATCGATGGTAACTTGGCTTCCACTTATAATACACCAAAGCCTAGTAATCGCTTTGCACATCGGGGAATCAAGTCAGTTTCCTTTATCCCAGATAGCGAGTTTTCATGTTCATATCTTAGTGCAAATCATATACTTTGCAAACTCCTTGATTAATCCCATAGTTTACGCCCTGCGGATGCCTGAATTAAGGGCTGGTATATCGCAACTATTTAAACTGAATCGAAAACGTTTCAACTTCCTTGATTTGCCCCTTCGAAATCATCAGTCTAGAGAAACAGAAGAAACAGTGCTGTAGATTCCTTATTCAAATTCTACCTTCACAAAATTTCTGCTTAAACTAACTCTTACTCAATGCTTACTCAACGCAAAAACGAGTTGACACATTTACCGCTACAAGTACTGAAACTTTGTTTCTTTTGCATTCTTTTGTTTGCTGTTTCTTTATGGATTTAAAAATGATCATTACCTATGCTTATGACTGACGAAGGCTGATGTGAGAAAAACCGCAACATGTTTCGCAAATTATTAAATCGAGATCTCATTAAAAATTGTGAATGTAACGATCCGGATATTGTTACAAAATTTAGGATGCAGTTACTTGTTATTTATATTACTAAAGGTAACGTTGTCATAGTTTGGCAGCCTAACCCTTTAACTCCCTTGAGTGACCAAGACAGAATTTCTCCTTACAATGTCAATACAATATCAACCATATAAGTGATGAGAATAAAGAAAAATATCAATTTGGGGATAATTATTTGATCCAATACTAAATTCTCTGAACTAACATTATAAGAATTGTATGGTTGACAGTAAAGAGAGTTGCAAATTTGATCTGGGAGTTAAAGGGTTAAAGAAGCCTTTAGATAAAAACATAAAAACTTCACTAATATGTATAGCATACCAATGTATTCAAATTAAAAAATCCATCAAATTCTTGTTATGAGAAAGAGTATTAATCGTTGTTGTTAGGAGATGGCCATGAACTAAAAGATTAACAACTTTTATGGTCTGCCCACCTAGTTTCTGTTGAATACAACCGAAATACAACCTTATTGACCCGATAGGACGATCGACGAATCCACTTTGTGATAAGGCTGAGAAACCCTTTAATTGATGGCTTGGGTGAAAATCAATTCAAAAGTGGGAGTCACAATTATTCGGAAGGAATAAAGTGAATTTCAACTAATGGATTTGTTACTTTTTAATCTTAGGTACAAAATTTTAAGATTTTGTACGTATTTCATCCACCTGCCGGGGTCGATATGAACACTGACCCAATTTTACGAGAACTCCCCCATCATATTCTTTGTATACATATGCCGGCTAGTATGTACCAAGTATTTCTATCGGTTAGCGGTGCAGTTGACTTTAAGATAATTGGATATGCAAAATCACCCAAACAAAATCAAACAAAAACGCGCGAATAACAGGGTACTTTATACTTCTTTTGATCAAACATTTTCAATTTTGTAACTCTAACTTTATCCTCAATTCAGGAAATGTTGCACAACATTATTCCAATATTGCGCCATTTAACCATATTAGGGCGACGTTGTTATATGGCAAGGTAGTATTAAGTTAAATCCTAGCTTTCTGATTGCTTCTTACTTTGTCCATATTTTGCCATACTGATCATTTCGACGGAAACGTTCATAGGCCGAAGGCCAAAAAATAAAAAATAAGCAAGTTTGGTTCAGCGCCACGTAATAAAATTCTTACTAACCTGGCTCGGTTGAACCGCACTGGGAAATATTGGCCCTTGGGAATATTGGCTGCGCTCGGTCCGTACTACTACATCGTCAAACTCCGATTTTTTTACTTTTTGGAGGACGAAATCGTAAATAATAAAACTTTCTTGGTTTCTTATAAAGTAACTACCATGATTTCGTTTGTGCTGTTTTTGTTATGAGCACACCTTGCATATTTGATAGGAGTCTCATTATGCCGTTCGATGTATTTGGAAGGCTAAAAAATGAAATAATATTAGAATGATAACCCCTTTACTGGACACTGTAATGGTTACTACGAGCGCGGGACATTATCTCATTGATCGTGTATGATTTCATTTGAAACCAGCTTTAACTTTTCTCTCCACCAGACTAAACGATAGACCCCTGAAAAGCTTACAATGTGGCCTCCTTTATGCAAAAGAAATGCTTCCTGTTGGAATGGCAAGTCATAAATCCAAATGTTCTCCTTCTCCTCTGACTTTTTAGTTTTGCAAAGAGCTAATTCATTGATCGGTTCTTTGCTTCTTCATGTATCTTCATTCATCATAGTTTTTCTCCGTTAGTTTACTGACTAAACTCACAAAAGCACTCTTGGCCGTTGAGTCCATCTTTATGTAATTTACGATCGATCTGCAGATACAAGAAATGATATCATACAGAACACATATATTCCCTATAGATTTCGATTTGCTGCTTCGTAACCTTCCACGTCTTCATTTTTTTCTAAACTATCTCTTTCATTCTGCCTTGTTGCTAAACCCAGCCGACACATTCTTTTTATCATTCTTTGTTATTTCAATGGTAGATTTGGAAGAACTGTTGTCACAAAGTGCGCTTGTGGCCTCCTCATTAGTATGAAGAATTTGATTAAACCGAAGATAAAGTATGGCGTCTTCTAAACATAGTTCGGTTTCATGGCGTGCTCTTGTAAATAGAGTTATTGAAACCTTTTACAAACAATAGATCACTCAGTGACTCAGTTTAGATATTTTTCCTCCCACATATTGATTCGGGAAAGATGTATTTGTTACCATAAATTTATTACACAGGGTAAAAAATATACAAAGGGAAGGGCAGTCGTTAAGACTTTTTTTTAATATTCAGTCCAAAAGCGGTTCCACCAAACGGTTCTGTCTTAGTAAAAAAAAAAAAGAAAAAAAAAACACAAAAAATGACCTATAGTATCTAGAAGGGATTTCGATAATAATTAGCCATAGGTGTTGCTTTTTATTTTCACGTTTGATTATTTTAAAAGTCGAGACTCAAGAATGGACTTAAACCGCATGATCCACTGAATGTTATTGAAAGTTTATTTGCTAACTCTCGTCATAATTATCCTAATTAAAATTCAAGACTTCTGTGTGAACTGTTTAATTAATCGGAAACATCGTGAGAGATCAGATCCTGCCTATTTAGATTCTTGGGTAGAAAATATTTCTTTGGCGTTTACGATGACTTATCGGATTTCTTTTGTATTGGTCACTGTTTTGTATTTGTCAAGTACGACTACCGCATTTATGCAAAGTTCTCTATATCGTGACTCGCAAACAAAATATGGAAAATTCAAACGTAACCACAACCAAAGTCTCTTGGTATCAATAACAGAGTCACTTTTTGTTGAAGATGCATCGGATTGTTCATTCAGTTGTGTTGGGGATCCCAAGTGCTTGTCATATAATATAGCCAAATCTCCAGATTCTAATGGTATCTATGTATGTGAGGTGCTGGCCACAGACATGTACAGAGCTAAAGACAGACTTAAAGCTAATTCTAGCTTCCATCATTTTAGCCCCATGGTGAGTGGTTAATTTATCAGATGTAGCTCAATTCAGTGTAGTTTGAGTGTAGTCGTACGCGTTCGTGCCTTTCACGTTTGTTTCAACACAGTTATACGTTTGAGTTTTGTGTAATTGAGTGGAACTATCATTTATTCAAACAATTATTCTTGAATACAACCAGTGTCTTAAGCAATCATCGTTTTCTTCGACCTTGACAATTAAATTAAAAATTGAAAGAAGATGCTTTAATTTTTTTATGAAATAGTCGCCTTGTGAGAAATGGCCTTGCAAGAATAGTGGAAAATGCATTCCTGACTTTAAACAAAATGATCATCTCTGTAATTGTACAGCGGATTTTACTGGGAAGCATTGTGATACATGTAAGTATGCTCAAAATTATGGTCACGTGAGGATCCTGGAAGATCTTATCTTTGTAGCAATTCTCTTCCCAATCGTATAACCGTGGGCCATATTGCTGTGCCCTAAAAATTCCCGCAGTTACGAAGTTAGATCACACACACAGAAAAAAGTTTTTGGAAAACTAATGAATCAAAAAAAAAAAAATTTTTCTTTTTCAATTGAAACAATTTTTCACAAGTGATGGTGATTAAGACAAATTCAAATTCAAATTTTAGCCAGTTTTGGTTCTTCATTTCCCATTAATAATGATACTAATAATATCAATATGACAATGATGATAATTTTAGCGGCTAACATTCCACGAGGTGTAACCCTCGTCCAATGTTTCGAGTCGGAATTTGAAGAGTAGTGTTTCGTTGAGGGAGGAAAACCCGATAGCTCAGAGTAAAACCCTCAAAGCAAGGACGAGAGCCATCAACAAACTCAACCCACAAGTTAATCCTGGTCGAGCAAGCAGGCTGGCCTGATATTTACAACTTTGTGAATCTCATATACAGTTGCAGATTACGCCTTTGAATTTTCGCGTAAAGGAACTAGGACTATATCATCATCACAAGTAGTATGCTAAGCCTTACAGCAGTGGCTGTTTGTCTCTGGATGAAAACCGCTGATACCGACAATGAAGGAACACAACTGAGCTATGCTGTTCCTGGAACACACAACGAATTGATTTTGTGGAACTATAAGAAATTGGGATTATCTGTGGGAGGAAGAAGGTACAATGTTTACTTCTTTAATTGTTCGGAGAAGTTCATTCTTGATGAAATGAATGCAAGTCGGCGGAGCATTGGGTTGAAGTTAATACCGTTGATTGCAACCCATCGCATGTTAAGGTCTTCTTAAAAGGATTGAATGCACATCAGATTCAAAATCTGTCTCACTGATAAAAATGTACGTCCGATGGAGTTAATGATAATTATATCTTTGTAGGATGAATTTATTATTAAACGTACTTTTTGTGCTGTTCTTCTAAAGAAGTTCTTCTTCCGTCTCTGCCAACGATGGAAAGTGGCACCACATCTGTGTTACTTGGGAGAATAACGCTGGATCTTGGAAACTGTTCAAAGATGGCTCCGTTGCGGCTTCTGGGACAAGTCTCAAAACTGGTGAACTCTTCTTTAAACAGTTATTACAACACGAATAATTGACGATATTTGAGTGTATCAATCATGATAGGAGGAGTTTTTCAGTTTTTTTCCCCATAGATTTATCAATTTCAACATAGAACCAAATCAGGAAGGTGAAATTTACAAAACAAAACAAGTCTTGAACATGTAATACAGTGCTTAACACTATGGTAAATTATTGTGATTGAGTTAACTAGAAGGAAAGTATGCCCATATTTTCACTTTTCCATGCATAGTTCTCCCCAAAGACTGACCGCTCAGTCAAAGGAACAAACAGAACGTTTGACATACAACTATGACTGATTTTGAACTGTCATTGATCTCTCATATTCATTTAGTAAACTCGAAAGGAAAGTTTGTCCAGAACGTCCCTTGGTGTTTATGTGTCTTGATTCTTTGCTCAGTCAGATAAAAGCTAACTTGAATCATTATACTTAGTGTTATGGTACAAAGTTCCATATTTTTTCTCGATTGTGGTTTGACAGGTCATGTAATTCGTGGTGGAGGAGCCCTGGTACTAGGACAAGAGCAAGACTCAGTGGGGGGATCCTTTCAATCCTTTCAAAGTTTCATTGGTGAAATGACAGGTGTCAATATCTGGAATCACGTGATTCTTGACCAAGAAATCGCACGCATGTCGCAGTCGTGCCTGACAGGCGTGGGGAACGTGTTTCAATGGCACGACTTCAAGGCTCACGTGAAAGGTTCAGTGAAGATAATTAAGCCGTCGTGTTAAAGTGAAGAAACATTTGTAAAGAGATATGTAAGCAATGTGGAAGATGTGAGTTTAGAATAAACCTTGAAAACTGTGTTTTGAACATTTTATTTTATTTTTTTAAGAGTCGCGGGTGAATTGTAGCGGGCAAACTGAAAAATCATCAACCAAAGAATGATTTGGCCTTAAATCATCAGAGGGGTGCATGTTGATCTTGGTTTCACTCAAATAACTGTGAATTTACCACTTTCACCACATGGCTTTAGTAGAAGAGAGATTATATAGGCTCCCTGTACCTATTTCGAGGCTTTTTTTTTAGCCTCTTTAGCACCACTTTATCCACCTCAAGCACGTTGCGCACTGCTCGCACAAGAAAGGAACGCTTTTGTGAAAATTCTTCAACTTTTCACTATGATCTACCACATCCTACCAACAGTTATTTACCTGAATTGTTTCAATTGAATGGTTAGACAAACTGCTATCATAACCTCCCCTTGGGAGCTTCTTGGATTTAATTAAACAGAGGATAAAGAACAGCGTCTTCTTAACAGAGTCGACTGGTTTCATGGCGTGCAATTTATTAAAGTAAAGAGAAATAAGCATCTTTATCATGCCTCGTTTTTAAGAGGGAAAGCACTTTTGTGCAATAAAATAAAAGCATCCCAATTAAACACATTTCTTTATTGATTCATGCGGCCCACACTTCTAATCAAAATAAGCATCTTTTTCACGCCCCAATTTAAAAGGGAGAGCAATTTCGAGAAACAACGATTAATTTTAGCATCTACACACAAGAAGTAGCTCACCGAGTTTACTTTTTTCTCCCACATATTGATAGGACAAGAGATATTCTCCTTATAGTTACATACCAGACAGAGTAAAAATTTAACAAAAGCGAAGAGCATTCATTCAGCGTTTTGTTTCATATGCGCCTAAACAAAATTAAACTCACTCCTATTACAAACAATAACAAAGTAAAGAAAAATATTGACTTGCACCATCAAATCGAATTTTTGAAAATGTCTAGCTGTTAGAATTGCTTTACATTTTCAATTTAAATTCTTTCATTGGGAAAGATTCAAGTGCAGAATCTCACCATCTTATCCACTCAATTTTAACCGAAAATATGTTTGCTTACTCAAATCATTTTAATTAACTTTTGAGTCTGTGGTTATTTTGATAAACATAAACTCATGATAATTTTTCTTCTTAAAAAAAAAAACAGGTGTCCCATTTGATTCACCGTGAGCGACCAGATTCGACGAGAAAGCAGAAAGATTGACCATATTTCATCAAGACTTACGATGGCTAACTGTATACCTCTTGTTTTCTTAAGCGTCTTGTGTTTGTCGATCACTGCTAAGACACATGTGCAAAGTTCTCTTTACCGAGATTACAAAACGAAACATGGAAAATTCAAATCAAATCAAAACCAAAGCCTCTTAGTCACACTAACAAAGTCGCACTTTCTGGAAGATGCATTGGAGTGTTCATTCCACTGTATTGGGGATTCCAAATGTTTGTCATATAATATAGCAAAATCTCCAGACTCTAATGGCATCTATATATGTGAGGTGCTGGCCACGGACAAGTACAGAGCTAAAGACAGACTTCAAGCGAATTCTAGCTTCCATCATTTTAGCCCCAAGGTGAGTAGTTTTTTTTAAAGCGTCGCTCAGATCAGTTCAGTTTTGAGTGTAATCATTCGTTTTCTCATGTTTTCTGTCACTGTTGTATGCGTTGAATGCTATACCTTTGATGAGAACTATCAGTCAAACCCTCAATACAATACGAGGTATGGAAAAGCAAGATACGTATAAAGAATGATTGGAGGGAATACTCCTCTAAATAAGATATTTAGGCAATGCTGCCCCAAAGGACCTAGTTTTTGAACCGTTTTGATCTGAAAATGATTGCATATTTTTAATATGATGAAGTAAGAATAATTTTTCTTTCAATTCCAAACCGAAAAAATAGAAAGAGAAATGGCCAAATATATAATTCAGCTGAATTTTCCAACGGATCTAGCCAATGCTACATAAAAAATGCCCTTACAGCCATTTTCAGACGTCAGGTCTGTAAAAGAGTTTATGAAAAGTATCTTTTGTTCTAGAACAAGGCGGCAAACCCAGAATACTGAGAAGTGCTCCCCAATGAGGTCAAGGACTATGGACTTAAACCATTTCTTTTTTACACAACCAAGGTTATGATGAATTCATAATCAGAACCTTGAAGAGAAAAAAAAAATTAGTAGTACATTTGCATTCGTGCCTGTATCGAGAAGAAAGTTTCGATGCATTAGTTGAGTAAATACGCATTGTAAGGGCATGCAACAGATGGAAATTTTCCTCGACAAAGAAGTAAACGATTTTAAAATTATTTACTTACCTTTTTTATCCTAAAATATGACTTAAAAGAAGATGTTTATCTTTTTCTTTATGATACAGTCGCCATGTGAGAGCTCGCCCTGTCAGAATAGCGGAACATGTATTCCTGACTATGAAGGAAATTCTTATTCCTGCAATTGCCCATCACATGTCACTGGACAGCATTGTGAAACACGTAAGTATGGATTGGTACTTAGAATGTTATGAAAATTACTAGTATGGTCTGATTCAGTTCATTTTTCCAGCCACTTTTCAACATTTAATCTATCTAATATTGGTACGATCTTTATGACGGTAAATTTAAAAAGAAGACAGAGAATATCGTCGCTAACAAAGCCTAGGAAAAAGGAAACTTAACACATACAATTATGAATTACGTTCGACTTTCTACTGGGAGTTACTTTAACTAATTCAAGGAGTGGATGAGCAGTCTCATCTCCGAGTGTATTGATGCTCAGTCCGCCCAAGGTTCTCAGCCTGTGAAGTAGGACTTATAGAGTTTATTCCCAGTAATGAGATACATTTCCCGACTCGTTCACAAAACTCAGGAGTACTGGAGGACGTCTCCTCCCTGGATGGAAGGCTAGTCTATAGCAGGTTACCCCCCGGTATTTAGTCAGGTTTCTTAGACAGGTCGCCGTTGCCAGTTTTTACTCCTGGGGAGGGGGTAGGCCTAAAGTGTGACTTCTGACCGGCAGGCTCTCACCTTTAACTTAGTATTTGATGTTTTATAATTTCAGTTCCAAGTCATGTGGTTAGTTGGCTTCACTTTACACCTCAGTGGTGTACTGGAGCAGGAAGATCAACCAGGCTTGCAAATGGAATAACAGCAGACGAGTGCAAAGAGATGTGCACAGAGAACTGTTTGGGAATGGAGTGGTGGGAGGGATCTATGTCATGTTTTGAGTGTACAGATCCTTCTAAGAAGACCTCATACACCAACACAAATGATGGAGGCTACCCGCCTCACGTGTTCCTAAAGAGTTAAGATTAAGGGTACATCTATTCCTATCTAAGTCCTCTCAAGTCTTTCAACCTCCCCGAAGTTTTCCCTGATTTTACCCCGCGAAATATAGACTTAGGTTAATAGGGCTACACTCATGAATTGGGAAAAACTCAGTTTTAAAGTGTACATGAAACAAATCTTTTTTGCGTACTTTCCTTCCTTGGTATATATAATCAAAAAACTAATAATTACCCGAAAATGGCAAAAAATTAAAAAATTATTTGGTTTTTATATGCGGCCGAAATACGGTCAATTTCCCTTTAAAAGGGTTTCACGAAACTGGGGACGAGAACTGTGTTCGTGACGTCACAGCACGTAGTCATGATGTGATACTACCAAAATAGGTGTGTTATAAGCTTCCGGAATGTTAAAGAATATTTTGCGGATGTCCATAAGGACTCAGTCATGTAGTAGTAGTAGTAGTAGTAGTAGTAGTAGTAGTAGTATTTAGTTAGTAGTTAGTTGTTGTTGGGAGTGACCGACTCTTTAGGAACCGCTTTTAGGACCGAGAGAGAGTTACAGCAGAAGATTGAACATTTCAAGGAACGTAAACTTGCCTTCGTAAAGAGATTAAAAGCGGACGTTTCGAGCGTTAGCCCTTCGTAGACGAAGGGCTAACGCTCAGCGTTAACGCACAGTCAGCTTTTAAACTTTTTACGGTGGCTAATTTACATCATTAACTCAGTTTATAGTACTTAAAAACCCAGGTATTTAATAAAGGGATGTTACGCTGCCCATGCACTAAATTAAAACAATCTACGTAGCGTGTGGACCTGTTCGGACTGGCCGAAATTTTAGGCCGTTATTCGAAAAATTTGACTTGTTTTAACTGTAGGTTGTAAAAACTAACCAATTATAACAGTTTTTCCTATCTATATTGTGTCCTTTTAAAACTGTCGGAATATTTGTATATTTATATTTATTTTGCCTTGTGGCCAACTTGGTTATGCTATCCGGTATAGATAAGCTATGGACTGGACCAATGGACCCTTGGACCATTAGACCATTTTTGGACTATTTTGTTTTAACTTTAAGTATTCATGGAGGGGTGGAGGGCGGATACTTTGACGCTTGTACTAGTTAATCCGAAAGACTTAATTAGTTTATATCGAGCTAGAAGGAAAACAAATCATTAAAAGATATAAAGTAATATTTAAAAACGGTGAAAAACACCGCTTGCAGTTGATTGTGAATAACTTCAAGTGGCATTTTTTTTTCATATCTTCATTCTTTCAATAGAAGATTCAGAAGATCTGTTATCACAACTTTCGCTTTTATGTTTCTTGTCAAGGACTTAAGTATAGCGATGATAAAGAATCGCATCTTTCTAATAAAGTCTGGGTTCATGGCGCGTAATTATAATTTTAAAAATAAATAGAAATAAGCACCTTCTCATGTCTCATTTTTAAAAGGAGAGCTGGCTCGAGGAACAATGATTTGATTTAGCTTCTAGAGGCAAGAAATAGCTCGCTGGCCAAGTCTAGAATTTTTCTCACATTTATTGGTAAGCATGAGACATTTTCTATGATAACTTATTGGACAGAGTAAGAACTTAATAATAGCGAAGAGCATCCATTTCATTGTTTTGTATAACAGGTTGTCAAAAATAAACAAACTAAATGATGACTTACATTATTTACATCGGGTTTTGAAAATGTCTGGCTATAAGAGTTACTTTTCACTGATTTTCAATTTCAATTTTAGCTCTTTAATTAGTCAATTGATTGCAGACCCTCACCGCCTGTTGAATTTAACTGAAAACCTATTCGATAACGGACGTAATGGTGGGATGACACCTTATTAAAATTAACCTCTTTTGAGTGCATGGTTATTAATATAACATGCGTTTCATTCAATTAGTCGGAAACTTAGTGGAGACCAACTTCGACAAGAAGGCAGAAAAGTTGACCATATTTTATAAGCTTTTGCTATGGTGTTCCGTTTGTGCCTTATTTTCTTTGGCGTCTTGTATTTGTCGATCACGGCCAAGACACACATGCAAACTTCTCTTTACCGAGATTACAAAACAAAATATGGAAAATTCAAATCAAATCAAAACCAAAGTCTCTTGGTCACAATTGCAAGGTCGCACTTTCTGAAAGATGATCTAGATTGTTCATCCAGCTGTATTGGGGATACCAAGTGTTTGTCATATAACATAGCCAAATCTCCAGACTCTAATGGCATCTATATATGTGAGGTGTTGGCCACAGACATGTACAGAGCTAAAGACAGACTTCGAGCGAATTCTAGCTTCCATCATTTTAGCCCAATGGTGAGTGGTAACACGATAAGGCGTCGCTCAGAACAGTTTAGTTTTGTGTAGTCGACGTTCTTTTCATGCTTTTCGTGTTAGCTTTCGAGGGAACAGTGAGAGTGCGTAAAATTATTTTTCCTCTCAAGTTCCACATAAGTAATAGACAGAGAAGTGGCTAAAATTTATCATTTGGATAAATTTTCCTTTTTATCTTGCCAATGCTATCGACATCAAAGCCAATGTCCTTATCTGATGCTAAAAAGGGTTAAAAGGTAGAGAGCATATTTTGCTCTTAGATAAGGTCAGGATGTACTCGGGCGACACACCAGGAATTCTGAGAAGTACTCCCCGCAAAGGTCAAAGACCATCGACTCAAACCATTTTTTTGTTCAATGAAACCAAGGTTTTAATGAAAAATTGCTCTATTTAACGAACTTTGGCTTTGTGGATGCATTCAGGCGTACAGTTTCGTTTCATTGACTGGATATATTACACAACATATCATGGAGCTGAAAATTGTGTTTAACAACTGAATAAATAATTAATCATTTACCTCTCTTTTCTATGCTTGGAAACGAGAAACGAGACTTCAAAGAGGCTGTTTGAATATTTTTTTTAATGATACAGTCGCCATGTGAGAGCTCGCCTTGTCAGAATAACGGAACATGTATTCCTGACTATTTGGGGAATTCTTATTCCTGCACTTGTATGTCATATTTCAATGGAACGTACTGTGAAACTCGTAAGTATGCCTTATCTTGCAAATATTCTAAGTTATTTATAGCATTGTATGCGTAATTATTCCATTGTCGTACTCTGTAAGGAACCGTCGGCCATAAAACGGCCAAAAACTTATAAATTTCAACCATTAGTCGTAAATGAAATCAACCGTAAAAATGTTTCTGGTGACCACTATGGAAAGATATTAATCGTTAGCCGTAAATTGACCAAATGTTAAACTATTAGCCGTAAAAGCCATCACCCCATTGAAACTCTCTTAAGTGATTAATATAATTTGGGTAATGTGGTTTTGTAAGTGATAACTGTAATATACTGTATACCAACCTCTTGGTTTAATTTTGTTTCAATTAGTTATTGTGTAGCATTGCAACAGAATTGCAGTATGTAATAGAGTAAAGTATACAAAGGGAAAAGTGTTGCGGCAAAAAATTGCTACTTAGAGGGCCTTTAGAATTATTGATATGTCGTGATTCAGTTCCTTTACCCAACTCATTTTTACCAGTAATCTATCTAACATTGGTCTAATATTTAGAAAGTAACATTCGTCAAGAAGACGGTGGGTACTTAAAGCCGAAACGTAGTTTACCAAGTTGCAGTTGGTTTAAGTTTTGGATCGGAGAGAGGGTGCTAGAGTTAATGCAATCGCGGAAAACGTCTGGTCTCATCTTTAAATGCTATGACTGATTCAAAGATAAGCTTAGCAATCAAAATATCTGAGTGCATCGATGTTCAGCGTGTTTAAGGCACTCAGTGTCTCAGGCTCTCCGCATCTCCGCTTGCCGAGAGCCTGGCGCGAGTTAATGGATGTTTGACTGTCATGAGTCGACTTAAACCTTTTGGTTGCTTCCTGTATGGTCGCGGGACATAGCTTGGCCTGGGCTCTTGCGCCAATAAATTGTGGTCTGAAATAATATCAGCTGGGATTTTTGCAAATTCTTTGCTTCATCGTGTATTCGTAGATCAAAGTGCCAGTGCTTGATCACTGCACGAAACAATGATGATGATAATAATAATAATAATAATAATAATAGTGATAATGATAATAATAATAATAATGATAATAATAATAATAATAATAATCACGATTTACTTTTCGCTTAAGTTCCAAAGTTCTGATTTAAGAGATTACAATTTAAGAAAATAAAAAAATAAAGCTGATTACACCACAGTCATAAAGTAAACGCCCGTTTAGAAAGATACATCTTAAAGTTTCTTTTAAAATTACTTAAGAGGAACTTTTCTGAAAGGCTTTGTCACCATATGTTTTTTAGTTGGAGATTGGTATAAATAAAACTTGTTGTGAAGTAGATGTGAGGGGGGTAGCTAATGTTTGTGTTTGTTCGCTACATTTGGATTTTTTTTTTCAGCCAAACCCTGCAATTTCGACTTTGAAAATGGGATAGGTGGCTGGATAAGGAGCGGTACAGCTTTTAATAATCAGCCGACATACGGCGATAACCCTACGGCGCGCTTGAGAGAGTCTGCAAACCAACAGGGCAACTGGTGGATTGGAACATTTGAAAATCGTCCATCTATTGATACACCCGCGGGACACGTTCAAGACGATGCTCCTCAGGGATATCTCACTTCCCCGTCCTTTAAGATCAACGGAAAAAGTGTTAACTTTCTTGTCGGTGGAGGTTGTGACATTAACATAGTTCGAGTAGAACTAGTTGTCGGGATTCAGGTAAGCGAAAATACCTCTGATAGCTTTCTCAGGTTAATGAAGCGTTATTCAAAAGTGCTGAAGATAGTCGTTTTCAGGACTAGCTACCATTCCATGGACGATCGTGCACTTCCCTTGCCCTCACGAACCATTCATAAGATGACATGTCATGATACTTGTTGGCTGATTTTTAGCTTTGGGAATACAGATGCAATAGATTATCTGCGGATTTTATCGATATGCTCCAAATTTGCACAAATGGTTTGATCCTTACTCCTCCTTTTGGGAGGAATAGGGATCGCACGTTAGATTCGAACCACTTGTCTCGGACAAGATACTTTACTGTCCCAGTGTCTCCTTCTAACTTAAAAACAAAATTGACCCAGCGAGAATCTGTGTGAATGAGGTTCTAAAGCAAAAATCTTTCATCTTTTCCACGCTGTTGAAACAACTTGGCCTTCTCGCAATGTTAACGCCATCTGTGCGGTCCTTTGACAGCTAGGAAAGAAGTAAAATGTTTTTGATGTAAGTATGACAAGCTTTGCAACCCTTGTCAAGGTTTTTTGATACAACCTATTGTGCTGTCTACGACAAATTTTTCTTTATACATTTTAGGTTGTCAAAACTGTCACTGGTACTTGCTCTGAGACCATGAACCGTGCGACTTGGGATGTTGAGCAATTTATTGGTCAAATTGCACATGTCAGACTTGTTGACGCTGGCTCCTCGGCCTGGCATCACATCAATTTCGATGATCTTAAAGGAGACATTAGCTGTGAATAATAACTCATGATCTGTCCAGTCAGATATTAAATAAGCCAGCTGAGATCATCTGCTATTGCACATAGCACTCCAAAAGTTACAAATAACCTTCTGAGTAGCTTTATTTCTTAATGCAATTATTTGTATCGCAGGCCGACGGCCTTTTATACTTCCTATGATAGGAATGGCTTACCTTTTTTTTCGCATCTAAGCTAACAGCCGAGAGTGAAAAGTTGAAAACTCGGCCCCCATTCCAAGGTAAACGGAAACAATAATATCAGAAAAAAGGGCACTGTGATTTTTGGTAAACAGGAATCATACACGTCCTTCGAAAAAAACCTGTTCACTTCTATTAATTAAGTATGTTTTCGCTCAGGATGTCGAAAAATGACAAATTTACTATTTTTTTTCATGGGTATTCTCACTGTGACAACGGAAGTACATTCATCGTTATTCTAAATCGAGCCAGACCAAAATATGTATGGTCAGTACTTTTCGAAAAAAAACGTTTTCAGTGTTTATTTCATGTTGTTTTTCATTTCGAGATTCGTTATTTAAAAATATATGAAAACTTGGTTTTGCTTTCAACATGCACACATGCTCTTTAATTAACAACTAGGAAGGCCTTGAATTCTTCCTAACTCCCATATACTACCTGCTGGCAGTTTGTCTGATTAACATAACTTTGGGTGATTAGGGAGAATTAAACCAGATTTCAGAGTCTTACTAGAATGTTGCGGATTTTTATGTTTGTTGATTTCTTGTACTAGTTTTTCATGTGCCAACTTGTTCGGTCTGGGTTAAACTTAAGTCTGTGGCAAATATAGCCAAGGAGAGGATCCTCTGAAGGTGTGTTTGCCGTACCACCCCTTTTTTCTCGGTGCAAGGTAAAAAGAATCAAAGTAATTGACTAAGTTGGAAGTCTTACATAATGAGTAAACCTAATCTCTTGGTCATTGCACTAAGGCGGGCGGTTTTAATCTACCTGTTTTGCTGCCTAAGGCTACTGATTAGGTGGTACTGTTTCTTTGTTTTTTTAGTTCCTTACTATCTGTTTATGTTTACGTGACATGCAGTCCGTGACAATCTTGTGAAAGCAGCCGTGTCAAAATGACGAAATCTGCATTCCTAACTTTGAACGAAACTCTTATCACTGTCACTAAAAAGCGGGATCTGCAGTAATTCACTGTGAAGGTGTGTAAGTTGTGAACAAAGTAAAAGGAATGTGTTAAACAGCTTTTGCTCCTTTTTTCATACGTCAGATATTGAAATCCTCTCCCTCTCCCTCTGATTAATGAAGGAGGGTCTTCCTCTGTGTTCTTTCATAGCAGGTTGGCTGTAGTAGCGTTAGATTATGCAGTATGGGGCGCTTTGGGAAAAATTTTCATAAAAAGCAACAACAGCAAACTTAGACGGGGAAATTTGAGTAGAAAATTCCATTTTACTAAAATTGCCAATTCATCCATTCTAAAAATTACCCTAAATAGTTCAAAGTAAATGGATGTGCCATAAAATCTTTGTTATCATTGATGTTCTGCTCAGCAAATAGCGGCTATTTTCATCCTCTGCTTAGTCAGTGAAGAATAGTGAAAAGCTAAGTGCACACACAAAAAAAAAAACAATCGAAACCGTGGCGTGTCCTTGTTTTTCTTTTCCTGAAATGACTTGGATTATACCCTTACGTCTCTGCTCTATGATCCCTTGAAATAGCCTGCCCGTGACCCCCTGCGCTGAAAACTTGTGACAACTGTCTTCTGCCCAAGTACTGCGAAGCAATAGCCCGTTTGCTGTAAAATGAATAAGCTCTCATATTTCGCTGAAATATCCGAAGGTTGCGAAAAAAAAGCGATGATCCTTTAACGGCAATTTTTCCTCGTTAAATAAATATGTCTCGTCGATCATTTACTTCAGTGTATTGATGTTGTGGGAGACCTTTCTACGCTGCTGTTACTACAATGGTCGGTTTCTTGCATCCAAGATTTTTCGTATTTATGATTCTTTGAGCTTACAGCTGTGAGTGGAAAACTCTGCTTCACATACATAACATGATATTTCATTCAAGATGCGAGAAGTCAAAGAAAAATACATCTTAAAAAGGAATGACAGAAGTAAGCCCTTTGACGTGTCACTTTAAAAGAATAGGAAAATAAGAACGGAAGTCAAACTTTTAAAAGTGTCTCTGTCATTCAAATAAAGTTCATGTTGAGTGTAAGAATTTTCCTCAAGATGTTAAAAATGTCGCAGGCGGACTATGATCATAAAATGTGCAGCTGTTTTACATACAAGAAAATCCAAACGACTCAAAGGGCTTCCCTTGGAACTGTTTGTTGGTCAAATGTGGTCTGATAACTTTGCAGAAATGATTAAAGATGGCATAGCCCTTCAAGCTGTTTTGAACAATTTCAGTGTTCAACTTATTACTCATGCTTCTCTTCTTGAGGAGACAAACACAATATGTTCTCCTTTTATGGGTCACAGAGTATTTTACCACAATTGGCTGTAATTTCGCGGTCTGATTAGCCAATTTGCCTTCGTCGATAACAGTACAGCCAATGTTGTTCGCGTCAACATGTCACGCAATGGTTACGCACTAAAGAATTGTTTTATTTCGACGTTGATGTTGGGGTTAAAAACAAATCGATAGTGGTTTAGAGTGGTCTCCACTCTTATTTGTCATCACAGTGGACAAAATGTTGTGGACTTACAAGGCGCAGCTGTGATGACGAATATCGTTGTCGATTAAGAGTACAGCACTGCCAATTATGGTAAATTACACTATAACCCTTAGAACGAGAAATGATTGTGTTTGTTATTATAAAATGTCGGCGCAGATTCCATTTCTTAGTCCATACTGCTAGCTGATCGCTATCGTATGGTAGCTCCTACTTAAAGCGATTTTTTCAACATTTACCAGTTCCCGTCGTATCTTAGTGTCATCGGCGAACATCCGAGTGATTGTGGAGATGTTTGATGATATGTCACTGACGTATGTTAAGAAGAGAGTAGGATTATTTTCGCTCCGGAACGTTACAAATAATAGTCTTTTTCAGCGATATCGTTACTGTAACACCAAACGATGTATATTTATTGCTAACATAAATCAAACAAGACCAAAAGCTATAAAGTTAGTGGCTACGAAAAAATCTGCTTTTTTTTTGTTTAACCTTTCTTATTTTTTTTGCTGTATTTCATTCATTACTTGCCTCCTTCATTCAAAATTAATGAAGTTTTTGGTAGTTACTACAAACACACTCACTAATTAATATCAACAGAGTTCATTTCAGGAATCTCTCTTCACCCTTGGATTAATTAACAAAGCTAGCTATTGTAACAGCTGCATGGAAGACTTGAGCAGATTTCTAAGGTTTTCCAACAAAGTTATCCTTCTTTTCCAGTTATGGCGGTCATCAGCTTTGTTTTTATTTTGACGTTCCTTCTGGTTTTCAACGTCTCTGAAAACGGTCGATCCTTACAACCTGGCGCTCTTCACCGAGACAAAAACCTACAGATTATGTATGGTAACTTTAAAGCTACACTTCATAAGCATCTTTCCGCAACAGTAATCGCAACTATCCTAACTAAGGACGAATTTCTATGCTCGTTCAAATGCATCACTAAAAACGAATGTTTCTCGTACAACTTGGCAACATATCCAGATAATGGTTTCTACATTTGTGAATTGCTGGACACAGACAAATACAGAGCCAGAAAAGAACTGAAAGCGAATTCTTCTTTTCACCATTTCAGTCCAGTGGTAAGTTGTAGTTCATTTAAATTGCCTTGATATTCCTAATTATTGCTGTCTTTAATGTGAAAAGTAAAATCTTTATTACAGCTAGTTTCATTATTGATTCCATGGCAGATGACTGCTGGTAAAACTTTTAGGTTCCCACAGAATACTCAGAAATGTTATAGAAGCCGTCGACTATTAAAATAACCCCAACAATTTTGGGGACCAAGCTTTAATCAAGAGACGTGAAAAAAAAAGAAAAAAAAGAAATGAAAAACGATGCTGTTTGATGTCTCCTGATAACGAATAGACACCTACAGTCCCTAATATGCATATCTTCAGTATGCATGCTATCTTCGGGCGGTTTGTATGTACTCTAACCTTGGGTGATTAAGAGAGAACCTGATTTTGTAGCATTACCAGATTAAACTATGAACACATTCTGCGAAATTTGTTTATCGCAGATTTTATGCAGATTGTCCTCCATCCGAAAAATTATCTCTCCGAAGAAAAAGATCCTACATGACATTAAAGATGTCGTAGAAGTTCACCTTGTTAAGTCCGATAACTTCTCATTTGAGTCAAAATATATCCGTGCAAAATTTTTGTGGTACGGGTATGCTATCTTTATGTAATTAAAAAAGGAAACTGTAGAGGTCAAAACTTTTGGAAGATTTTTATAACAGTAAATGTTAGTAAAATGACGTGTTGATACTTCAAAACCAGACTTGCATATTGTGATGAGGTGCAAATCAGGATTACATGTATTACCGGTCGTTCATTTATATTCCCCCAGTGTCAGCTTTGCATATTATTGTCTATTAGGGGAAAACCACTCTAGCTGGCGGTTTTACGTTTGCTGTACGGCCATAGTAAGGATAACCGGGAGTAAAATCTTTGAAATCCCTGCGGAATTCTTGACCCATAATCTCCTTTCAACTGAGTACAAGTTAAAAAGAGCTGAGGTGATTATTCGTTTCAAAGGTCCTTAATACCACAGCTAAACCTAATTTACCGTTTACGTTCACATCAGCAGGTGGTGTTAATCTTCCTCTTTCGCTTTTTCAGGTTACTCTATGAATGGTGTTGTCTTTGTTACTCTATGAATGGTGTTGTCTTTGTTAGTGTTGATTTTCAGTTTTCTTTGCTTTTTGTCTCTTTTTACCCGACAGTCATTATGTGAAAGCAGCCCGTGTCAAAATGATGGAACTTGCATTCCCGACTTTGAACAAAACTCTCATCAATGTGACTGTAAAGCAGGATTTGCAGGAGTTCACTGTGAAGGTATGTGAGTAGACTGGAAGACATGTTTTAAAAAGACTCTAGCAAAACTAAAGCTGAAGCTTCAACTTGCAGCTTTTGCTACTAATATTTCATACCTTAACTTGTGGAATCCTGTATCTCCCTAATGTTAGGATCCACTTTGAATATCAATCCAGTTGTAAAACAGAGTTGTACGGTAGTAACTTCAAACAATGCCGCACCACAGTTTCTTAAGTTTCTTGCCCCTTTTACACTGAATGAGCGGTTGTGAAAGGAGGTCTAATATCTCTCACGAAATATTCTCGGTGAAATCTACCTATTCAAAGAATCGCCAGCACAATTTTGTGAAAAGCCGCTGAAAATCTTCTAAAGTCTGTTTTTTTTTAAAGCTTGCAAGTTTGACTTTGAAGATGGCATCATGGGCTGGATAAAGACAGGAACAGCATTCGATAATCAGCCGACTTTTGGCGACAACCCAACGGCTCGTAACAGAGGTCAACCCTCTAATCACCAGGGTGATTGGTGGATTGGTGGAAGTGAAGATCGGCCAACCATAGGAACACCGGCAGGACAAGTACAAGGAGATGGACCCCAGGGAACTCTGGCCACGCCTTCCTTTATTATCATCGGTCATTTTATTTCTTTTTTGATTGGGGGAGGCTGCGATATAAATGTTGTTCGTGCGGAGTTAATCGTTGACAATCAGGTGAGTATTGGAGTATTGGATCGTAATATGAATGATGCCTGTCTGTCTCTACACATTTATCTCTCGCAATATATTTGGCAAATGTCGACGTTCGATCGATCAGTAATAGATCGCAGATGATGTCAAACGTAGCAAGAAGGAAAAAATGGCAAACGACGCACAGCCGGGTGCCTCTCTGATGTTCTTGCAACATTTTGATGTCTGTTGTGATATTGCATGCGACATACAATCTATCTGCTTTATTTAATTAGAGGCGAAATGTAGCTGATGGTGACGCCATCTATGATCTCACACACTTCATCTAAGTAATCTCAGAGCCGGAGAAAGAATCAATAAATTTTTTTTAATAATGGTAAGACGTTTGACATCAGAAATTTTTAAGGACAACGTAATAAGATAACCAACAACAGGCTTGTTGGGATGAACTTGTATTTATTTATATATTTATTCCATATATATATATATATATATATATATATATATATATATATATATATATATATATTCTAACGATGAACGGCAGAAGAGGATCTACAGGATACAATGTCTCGACGTGAATTTGTCCTTAAGGCCTTCTGGGCCTCATTAATGCAACTCTGATGCTCTGGACGGGTTTAATGGAGGCCGTTCGGCTTTCTTCATAAAAATTAAAACATAAAAAAGTGATCTACAATGATTGCGACTTATATCATCTAAAATTTTAACATTGAGGTTAGAGACAACAAAGGTCTAAATTTCAAACTTTGACCTTTTATTAAATAATAATAAGACGTTTGACATAAGAAATTTTAAGATCGAGGTTACGTAAGACAACGAAGGTCTAATATATATATATATATATATATATTTATATAAACAGCGTAGAATTGGTATTCCTAACGATGAACTCATGTCATTAGAATGGATGGCCAATTCACAAGTTCTTTTGTTCTTCAGCATATTCGACTTGTGGTTACGAATTTTACTTTAAATTCAGTCGAGGTGGAGCCTACGTATTGCAGGTTGCATTTGTGTGTGTGTGTGGCGTTACCTCAACTCTTCCGTTGTTTTATTCGACCTAAAAGTTATGAAAAACCTAGAGTTGGCCAAACCCATATTTATTTAAAGATTGAATTATTTTCATTGGAGCATCCTTATGTAACTCACTTTATAAATGTCTCGATTTTCAAGAGGGTGAATTCACCAAAAAAACAAATTAGCCGGCTTTAAACATTCGCAAGCCTAGAGTATTCTCAGATTGATTCCAAACTTTCTATCGCATTTGTTAAAATTAATAACTATTGTCGTTTCACAGGTTGTGAAACAAAGCACCGGAAGATGTATCGAAACCTTGACTCAAGGGACATGGCATGTACAAGACTTTTTGGGAAAGCGTGCTTTCGTTAAGCTGATTGACATCAGCTCTGGAGCCTGGGGCCACATTAACTTTGATGACCTTAAAGGGAATATAAGCTGTGGACAAGTATAAAGCCGCGAGTTAAGATAAGATCTGAGAAGAGCTTATTTACAGCTTCTTTTCAACAGAAACACAGCCAAGACACTGGAAACCCCATACATATTTCATTGTACGGGGAAGTCCCTTTAGTTATCACCGTAGCCACATATAATCTGGCCTCCTCAGAATAATTTCGAAAGCATCTTGTCAAAATAACTAACTTGATACCTATTATATTAATCCTTGTTTGTATATATCACACAAGTTAATGTGGCTTTTCACGCGCACTGATTGGCTAGTTCGGAAATGAATAGCAAGTACTATTCATCTTCACTTTGGTGAATAATTGAAATTATTATAATCGTTGCTTTTATTATTATTATGGTTATTATCATTATTAGTGTAATCATTATAATTATTTCAAAGACCAACGTGAGTCAAATTCACTGCAACAAAAACTGGCTGGTAACCCATAAGCTTCACAATTCTTTTCTGGTCATTTCTGAATTCTCTTGGGCTTTCCTAAACGGACCTTGTCCCAGATAGCAAATTTCGTGACACAGAATAGGCTGTCTCAATTGAAGATCCCTCAAGGATCTCCGAGAACGGGAAAGTTCTAAAAACAATATTGGTACAGCGATTTCGTTATGGCTAAGGTCTCTCATGAAGGATATGTCTATAAGTTTGATAGTCTCTTCGATAAAATGCTCGACCAGTGTAAATAGATCGTTCTCAACGACTTCGTTAGCTATATTGGCTGCTTAAGCAATGGTATGGAGGCCATCTGTAAGCACCAAATCAATCCGTTGGGGTTTAAAATGATTCTTAACAAAACACAATTTTTTCCAATGGATTTACACAGCTTCTCACCTCGAAAAAATAAAAATGTTCTGTAGTTTATAGATGGTTTCTAACTCCAGCATCGACTGCATTTATCCAAATGCTTTCGTGATTGCAGAGAATCAGAGAGAAATAACCACGTAATGATCAGTTTATATTCTTTTGAAATGATCACTGTTGCTGATTAACATATTGTCATTTGTTGTAGTTTAAGTGTGATGCGTGCCTTAGCTTTGAGAAACTATGAAGTTCATAATTAAAACATGCAGTGATTATGAAATTTTGCCAACCTTCGATCAAAGCCGATATTTTTTAGTTGAAAATTTTCAGAAAAAAGAAGGAAAAAAAGACTTGGACTTAAGAGTCGGTTTAAGCTGACGATTAGATGATATGCTCGCCGTCTTTTGAAACAACCATTGTTGAAATCCTAATTGCTAAGTAGTTGGTATTCTTTCGAACGCCACTGATAAGAAAAAAAGAATACGCAGTTGACTTTCAGAATAAAAAATCACTTTGGTACAGACATGTATCTCACTCACGACTTCTTCTTTTGTTAGTTTCTGCACTGTTTTCGAGAGATGCGAATGGAAAAAATATCTGCTTCATTGCCTTTTGTACAAGTAATTTCAAGTAAATAGGTAAGTAAGCGGCCGCTAGACTGAAAACTCGGTTGTTTTGGCATATGTTTTGAGAATCAAGATGAAAGAAACAAGGAAAAAGAAAGTAATAAGAGAATGTTGTGTAATAAAATTTAAATTCCAGAATGTCATCTGGCGAATTTCAACAGCGTTCAAGCCAACAGTGGCCAAATTTCTCGGACTTGGCGGTGTACCGGGGTACAATTGTTGTTGCAAACAAGACACGGAGCTGGGTGGCAACGCTTTGAGGGTCACGAGAGCACTTGCAAAAATTCGCAACAATAAAAAGCACGAAAACAAAATATTAAAAGAAACGATCATCTGGAGCGAGGCAAATATTCACATCAAAGTATCTTTTATAAGAATCCTTTTTTGTTTAGTTAAAATGGTCGTCCGTAGGTCAAACAATGATGTATTTCATTTCCTATTATTAACCAAATTTTTTCCTGAGCACCAAATGTGAAAGAAGATTTTTACCAGACCAGGTTCACAAAAGATTGTTGAGGAGTACTTATGATTTTTGAGCTTAATAAAAATTATAACCATTATTTTCTCGCCTTTCCTTTTTCTATTTTCTATTTCCCATGTATTATCTATGCAAATTAGCGTTGTTCTCCCTTTGAATATGTAATAAAGGCAAATAATTAATAAATAAATGGAAAAAATTGTAGACTCATGAAAAATCTCTCCTCACGTCGTATCCTTGGAAACTGCCTGTCAAAGTTTTGTTCAATTGGAAAACTGCCACAACCCTGTTGTTGACGGTGGCGCAAGGTGCAAATTGTTCATCATGGTTGGAAAATCTTTTTCACAAGGAATTCGAAGCGATCGCATCATTTTAATAGTTATTGCACTGTGTTTATGTGTGTGGATCTCAAACCAAGTCTTGGTACGATATTTTTCCGGAGGTAGGTTACAACACTTAATTTGAACCCTTCCGTTTTTAGGCCAAGGACCAGCCTTTAGAATATGTAAAAGATTTATTGTTCAATATGTGTCGAGCAACTTCAAGAGCATACTGTAAAAATGAATAATATTGTGAAAATATGAAACTTGTTAACGATAACTGAGAAATTGTACAAGTAAATTGTGGCCAGGTTGAGAGATATTAAATAGCAAATGAGTTTCATCGAAAGTATTACATTCAGAACAAAACCTTTGATCTTTGTGTAATAAAAGTTACATTCCAGCATGTTATTCGGTGAAATGAATAATATTGTGAAAATATGAAACTTGTTAATGACAACCAAGAAATTGTATAAGTAAATTGTGGCCAGGTTGAGAGATGTTAAATTGCAAATGAGTTTATAGATGTTCATGAGAATCACGTAAGATAATCAGAAAATCAATTTATCATCGAAAGTATCACATGCATTCAGAACAAAATCGTGGATATATGCAGAAGATACAATATTCAACATATTAACGAATGATATGGCCATGTTTAAGCACCAAATCAATCCGTAAGGTTTAAACTGTGTCTTAACAAAACACTATTTTTTCCAATGAATTTACACAGCTTCTCACCACGAAAAAATGACTGCATTTATCCAAATGCTTTTGTGATCGCTGAGATTCAGAGAGAAATAACCGCGTAAGGACCAGTTTATGTTCTTTTGAAATGATCATTGTTGCTGATTAACATATTTTCATTTGTTTTAGTTAAAGTGTGATGCGTGTCTCAGCTTTGAGAAACTATGAAGTTCATAACTAAAACATGAAGTGATTATGAAATTTTGCCAACCTTCGATCAAGGCTAGTCGATATTTTTTAGTTGAAAATTTTCAGAGAAAAGAAGGAAAAAAAGACGAACTTATCAGACGGTTTAAGCTAACGATGAGATGATATGCTCGCCGTCTTTTGAAATAAGCATTGTTGAAATCCTAATTGCTCAGTAGTTGGTATTCTTTTGTACGCCAATGATAAGAAAAAAAAGAAAACGCAATAAATACAATTTTAAATAAAGAATCATTTCTTTATTTAAAATTGTCGTCCATAGGTCAAACAATGATTACGTATTTATCATTAACTAAATGGGAAGTGATTCGAATTGGGAGATGTTCCTATTAGGGCTCTAATTTCATGAATCCATTTCGGTTATCGTTTCCAAACAATAAGTCACTGAGATCTTCTGGCAGCTCCGGGGGGTCAGCAAATTGTGATGTGAACTAATTACTCCTCACGTGGTGTCCTTTCAGATCGTTTTTTCGGTTTTTCGGTTTGGTTTCGCTCTTTCCTATTTAGGTACCAGTTTGTCTTCGACCTGAGCGGCAATTAAGCGCCTCCACCAATCTCGAACAGCCGAGAAACGCGAATGTTATAGAGAGGAATGCTTGACAAACCAAATGTGGCTACATTCTCTGAAGTTAAATATCGTTTAATTAATCCAAGTATCACTTCTCTTTCGATCTCTAACTAGGAACGGAACTGATTAGCTTTCCACGTTTTTACATCAAACTTTAATTTTGAAGTCTATTAGATGGTTTTTGTTCCGAATAAGAGAAATTGATAAGGCAATTTGGTCACATTTGATTTCTTACGAAAAGATACTGTTTTAATAATATGTAAAAAAAATCAGTTGGAGAAAAAAATTCTTAAGCCTCGAAATTCTTTGGAGGGTCACGATCCGGCAAAAAATTTTGTTAATTCGTGTTGCTCACGTACAAATCATTCTCAAATTGAGAAATGTGGTTTCCGTCTTGTCACAAGCGTGGGACAAAGAAAAAATTCTGAGTCCTCATGAGGAATCCAACCTCAGACCTTCGGATTCCGCGCTCCGACGCTCTGTGGCTCAGGTGTAGAGCATCGGAGCGCAGAATCCGAAGGTCTGAGGTTCGATTCCTCATGGGTATTCAGACTTTTTTCTTTCACCCACGCTCGTGACAAGACAAAAAACATCTTTCTCTATTTCTTTACCGAGCTCAAAACTTACCATCTCTCTTAATCTATTTACAAATAGTATCAAATTATTTTCAGACTTTTTAACTTAGTACACGCGAAAAGAAAACCAAAAAAACCAGCGCTTCGTCGTTATTTAACACATTTTGCTAAATTTTCGAATTTTTTGCAAAGAAAATGCATCTTTTTTTTCAGCTTATGGTCAAGAGCAAGAACAATTGTGGTATTTATGTTGAAAACATTAAAATTCCATCTAGTATAGGTAAGGTTACCCTGGAATCATTTGTTCCGTCTCCTGCCACGAAGTAATAATGAGCGAAACGCAGAGCTTGTTTCGAACCACGCTTCAAAATTCAAATTCGCTTTATTCTTCCACTGCTATTTCATGTTACGCAAAAGGTCGCGTGGGCGCGCAAAATATGCCACCGTGAGACATTTTAAAATAGTGCAACAATAGCGAGGAACAAAATGGCCGCACTGAACGTGCGTATCATATGTTAAACCATCGAATAAGGTGTTTTTATTCCTTTTTGGATACTTTCATTAGCGCGAATCTAGAGTCATGAAAATTAGTCAGAAAAAGTTGCCTTCCGTCATCTCCCGAAAGTCAAACTGGCTTTCTGCAGGTTCTTTATGACTATCATGGTTGCTCTGGAGACGAGGCTGAATTTATAATAACAAGTGTGCATCGTCTATTTTGTTCTATTTCGGGGCCGTCGTAAATTTTAAAGAATGATGAATCGATATTGGTACTATGAATATTCGACAATCGTCGGAGACCGTCGTGGTGATCTTAAAGGACTCCCACGCTAGTTTTTTTATTAGAAATAACACTCAAAATGTCGTGTGAAAAGGCCTCCCTGACGGAACATTTGACCGCGTGCAGTAAATGTGGAATACTTTATGGGAAGTCTTTCCGTATGGTATTTACGCATCAGTCGGAATTTTCTGAAATAAACTGACGAGTGCGTAAATACCACATGCATACCAAGATTACATCCTTGTTTAATGAAATTTATTAAATGACCGTGAATATATGAGAATCATACATGTCAACTGCGGATAAAGACGTGAATATGAAAGCGATCTTCGTATTAATGTTCATAACTGCAAAGATCGCTTTCATTTTCATGAAATTTTATTGTTAAAAGATATTTAGGTCAAAATCTCATAAATCTCTCGTGAAAGATGTATTGCCTTGCCGATAGAAACGATTCAACACTGCCGACAGCAAGTGAAAAATAACAAAACATTTCTCAATGCTTGAAACAAAGCATCTTAAGCTTGAGCTTTCATTATCTTCCCTGTCGTTCCTTCGAACACAGTGAATTAATTCTTCAAGATACATATTTAAAATCCTTGTTCTTTCAGTCGGAAAAAATTATTGCGCAGGTTCAAATCTCGCCGCTTCGTTTACTCATTGTTTTTCTCTATGAATTTTTTTTATCCTGCTTGCTTTCTATTCCGCATCATCCTCCACAGACGCTCCTCAGTCACCTTTTTTGAGAGCGCATTTCATAATTTTTCGAAACGATTTGAAAGCAGAACGCTGAAAGTTACATGAGAATCGCTTTGAAACAGTTCACACGTGAAACAAACTGATTGGACATATAATTTGAACGTGTCTACAGAACTCCTAAGACATCTTTCTCTAAGCAAAGCACATCCTGATTTAATAAAAATGCTTAACAATTACATTGGCATCGCCTTTGCCAGTGCAGTTTTCATTGATTTTGTGCATCTTCTCTATCATCACCATTGGCAGCACTATAGCCAGTACAGCGGCCATTGCCATCTCCCTGGCCTCTATATCAATCACTGCCTTGACCAATTATTTTATTGCTACCTCGTGCACTTATCACTATTTTTGTCCGCTTTTCATAGGCTTCACATCCAATTCTCCATCGACGTCGTTTAGTTCGGTTATGACAGAAAGAAGACAGCGTCTACGCGATCAATGCCTGAAGAAGCCACCAAATCCTTTATTTCTCCAAGAAGCTGACTTTACTCGTTTCATCGTTATTGAAAAGTTGAAACTAGTGTTTTGCTTCATCCCCAAAGTTTCATGTACAACTTGGAAGCGAATCCTTTATAGTGCTGAGAATAATGGCGAAAAACTAGAAGGAGTCTCACACCGAAAGAAACTATTTTCTTGGCTTCAGGACTACAGCATTTTAGAGCGGCAGAAGATATTGAGCACCTACTACAAAGCTATGTTTGTCAGAGAGCCTTTTGCGAGGCTGGCATCAGCATATCGAGACAAAGTTAAAAAGACGTGGTTCAGTAGATTTCTTCTCCCCGACAAAACAAAGCGAGAAATAAAAAAAGAAAAAGAACATCCATTTTCAGCATTTGTAAATAGAGTTATTGAAACCAACGCAACGCAACAAAAAAATCGTGGTATCGAGGATCAACATTGGCGATCATACGAGCAGATATGTCCATGTGAAGTGGACTATGACTTCATTGGTCACTTTGAGAATTTAGACGAGGAGGCACCAACGCTCCTGAAGATTATTGGCGTCGATGGCTACGTAACATTTCCTGATTATCACCCGTCTAAGACTTCGCCTTACATGTTGGAGTATTACTCCCAATTGACGGTAGATGAAATCTTTCAGCTGAAGAAACTGTTTGATTTGGATTTTAAATTATTTGGGTATGACTTTCCCGGGCCTTTAGAGGGTATTTTAAAGAAAAAAGGTCTCTCAGAAGAAAGCTGAGCAAGTTGTTAATGCAGTATTTAGAGACTGATGAATTGACTTTAAAAAAACTCAAAACGGAAAAGGGGCTTCAATGATGGAACAAATTGTTTATTGACAGTATGCATCTTTCATCCCAGGTTTACCGTTGCAAACGTCAGGTAAAACCTCAAGACTAACGTGGATTTTTTTGAAGAAAGACTTGATTACAAAAGACGTTGAACACTGCTTAAAGCAAATACCTTACAGAAAAAAAAGTGGGAAACGAGGAATAGTTCGGAGTAGTAAATGCATGAAATAACAGGAAATTTTCAACCAAAAGACTCGTTTGCTTTTATAATGTCAAAGGTGTCAAGGTTTTTCCACTCCAAGCACCAGTTGGTAAAGTCCGTACTTGAACCGAATGGCCTATCCAGCCATCCAGAGCTTTTTCGGTTTCCATAACATGAAGCAAGTTCTCTACCCGCGCGGACCTCTCTTGGTAATATGTGGATCTCACTATCTCAGGATGATACGCCATAATTTACACAACTTATGTAGAGAACTTTGAATAGCGGGCCGCTGGTTTTTAGCCATTAATGGCACTTTTGTTTTAGAAGGCTCTCGAACACTTTCCCTGGAAAAATAAACTTCGAGTAATATAAAGCCTGTGTTTATCAACCTGTTTTCCTTTCGTGGCTAATACAGTTAATGACATTCATAAACTATTAGAATGTTTAATAAGAGAATCGTAAACTCATTAAGACTCGACAGCGAGGCAAATATTTACATAAAATTGTCTTTTGCAAATATGTTTTATTTATCATAGTTGTTCATAAGTCAAAAAAAAAAAAAAAAACCATTCACTTCATTTTATCGCGAAGTGCGTTTTTTTCATTTGGAAAACTGCCACAGCCCGCAAGTGCAAGCTGCAATTTGATCATCATGTTTGGAAAATCTTACTCAAGAGGCATTCGAAAGTATCGCATTATTTTGGTAGTCTTTGCATTATGTTTGTGCGTGTGGATCTCAAACATAGTTTTGGGTAGATATTTTTCTGGAGGTAAGTTACGATCATACAGGATTCGAACCCTTCTGTTTTTAGGCTGAACACTCAGTTTTGATCCCGCAGATTATTGGAGCGTCCTGTTTCAAAAATGAACCTACTGAAGATTAAACAATTAGTTAGAATACTAACAGAAATTCATACCAGCTCTTAAAATATTTTGCAATTCTGTGTTTGACCACCTTTAAGCGTTTTATTTTGGCCATTCGTTTGCTCAGGTGTAATGTCACTGCGAGTATAAAGAAAATTTACCCACGTTTGGGTGGCTGAGTTGGATATATTTAATCCCCAGTCATTTAAAACCCTATGGATACAATAATTTGCTTTCAGGCCGTTATTTCTCAGATAGAAGTTGCACTGAATTGAAATTCTCAATATAGAGTTTTCCGCGTTTGTCATTTTGGAAAGGGCTCACTTAAATATCACTTCGCTAAATATAACCTCACGGAACTTGTTCTTTTCCGTTGATTACATCTAAATAGTTGATTATGGCCCAAATCAACTTATGAACATCGGCCATGTGTCGATATGTAGTGATAGCAAACCGATGGAAAGATAGTAAACACCCATCATGATTAATAACTGTAGTCAAATACATGATAGCGTTAAGTTTGGCGGTTTTCGTTTATGTTCAAGTTTGTGTGTAACACTGCGAGACTTGAGACTTATTATGACGTCTGCTTGAGAGGAAAACCTTTTTTCTTGAGTATCAGTTTTATAGTAGAACGATTGTGATTTTCTGGAGGACTTTGAGTTTATTGATCATTAGTTCGTTCACAATTTTACACGCTAGCTGTTTTCAAGTGGTAAACTGTTCTAATTGTCCTTTAGAGAATCACAAGAAAAAATTTCTTTATTTCATCATGCTCGGGTAATAATCACTCTAAACTTATTTACTGCGCTCCGTCGGCGGCTAAAATCGAGCGATAACGCGTTTTTTTTTTAACTAAAAGGCGAAAATGAAAACAGTTCTTGTATAAAATGTTCAAACCATTAACATTCCGTCAGGTATAGGCTTGGTTGCCCTGGAACTCAATTTCTTGCCTTGAAAGCAATAACCGGCGAGCGAGATGTAATTGTGAAATGTTGCATCACCAGAAAAGTCGAATCAAACTTGGCAGGGCTTATTTTAAACCACATAGCTATATTAAATAAGTGTTATTACTTGTAAGATACTTTCTTCGGCGCAAATTTAAAGTTATGAGAAATGATTGGAGAAAGTTGCCTTCCTTAATCTACCGAATGTGTAAATTTTCCGTAAGATCTTGACTGCTGTCATGGTTACTCGGGAGACGAAACTGAACTTATGTTCCGTCTCATTTCTAGGTCGTCGTAAATCTTGAAGACTTATGAATCGATGTTGGCATTATGAAAGGGTATTATATTCGAGAATCTTCCAAGACCGTCACTAATTTTCTACTCCGAACAAATCATTAAGTATCGTGCCAAATGACTCGCTAAGCCTTCTATTTTTCTACTTATATGTTTAAAACATTTTTACGTATTTTTGGGGTCTCTAGCTGAATTGTGATAGCAAACAGGAGCAGATTAGTGTTAAACCAAGGGAAAATAATGTTTCATCATTTCCTTTTGATGAAACTGATTAATCAACACTGAAGACGTGGGCTCATATACTAAAACAACTTTAAAACCGTGACTACCTTCTTTGGTCAACGCTTTGACTAGGAACGTTTTCACGAACCAGCTAAAACTGATTCCAAAAACTCGTTCAAAAATGTTTTATCCGCATCTGGGCTCATAACCAAGTTGAAAAACGTTTTTGCTGAAGAGCTTTTACCTCATATTTTTTTATCACTGTCACTGTTAGTGATGGTTTTCGTTGTTGTTTTCGTTCCTGTTTCCATCACCATTATCATTACCACTGCTATATTTACATTGGCATCGCCATTGCCAATGGAATTTCCACCGATTTTCCATGTGCTACATCACCACCATTGGTATCGGCATTGCCACTGATAGTGCAATGGCCATTGCCATTGCCAATGCTATATTTATACTGGCATCGCCTTAGCCCATGGAATTTCCCCTGATTTTTCCATGTGCTACATCACCACCATTGGTATTGGCATTGCCAGTGATAGTGCAATGGCCATTGCCATTGCCATTGCCAATGCTATATTTATATTAACATCGCCATTGCATATGGAATTTCCATTGATTTTTCCATGTGCTACATCAACACCATTGGTATTGGCATTGCCATTGGTAGTGCAATGGCCATTGCCATTACTGTCATCATAGCCATATCCATAGCCACTGCCTCGATCACCACCTTGATCAATCATTATATGGCTTCCTCGTGTACTTATCACTATTTTTGTCCTATTTTTATAGGCTTCACATCCAATTCTCCATCGATGTCGTTTAGTTTAGTGATGACAGAAAGAAGACAGCTTCTGCGCGATCAGTGCCTGAAGAAGCCACCAAATCCTTTATTTCTCCAAGAAGCCGACTTCACTCGTTTCATCGTCATTGAAAAGTTGAAGCTCGTGTTTTGCTTCATTCCCAAAGTTTCATGTACAACTTGGAAGAAAATCCTGTATAGTGCCGCGAATAATGGCGAAAACCTGGAAGGAGTCCCACACCGAAGGAAACTATTTTCTTGGCTCAAGGACTACAGCATTTTTGAGCGGCAGAAGATATTGAGCACCTACTACAAAGCCATGTTTGTCAGAGAGCCTTTTGCGAGGCTGGCATCGGCATATCGAGACAAAATTAAATTTGATTGGTTCAAAAGATTTATTCTCCTTGACAGAACAAAGCGAGAAACTAAGAAAGTAAGAACGCCATTTTCAGTATTTATAAATAGAGTTATTGAAACCAACGCCACACAACTAAAAAATCGTGGTATCGAGGATCAACATTGGCGCTCATACGAGCAGATATGTCCGTGTGAAGTGGACTATGACTTCATTGGTCACTTTGAGAATTTAGACAAGGAGGGACCAACGCTCCTGAAGATTATTGGCGTTGATGGCTACGTAACATTTCCTGATTATCGCCCGTCCAAGACTTCGTCGAACATGTTGAAGTATTACTCCCAATTGACGATAGATGAAATCTTTCAGCTGAAGAAACTGTTTGATTTGGATTTTAAATTGTTTGGGTATGACTTTCCTGGGCCTTTAGAGAGTATTTTAAAGAAAAAAGGTCCTTCAGAAGAAAGCTGATTACATGCTTTTTATGATGGTTATTATTTTTGGCCTAGATACCCGGTATATAATTCCAAATATTCCGGAATCTATATTTTAAGCTTAAGTACCCGGCTTGTACTTTGTTAATTTTATTTCCTAAGCTACGTCGTGTCTCTATCATTTTTCAACTTCTACAATAGGGCCTCAGCAACTGTTGTAGTGACGACATAAAAATTAAAAACACAAGAGTGTCATTTTATGTTATTTAAGTTAACCATAGGATAAAATGGCCAAAATTTCAACCGTTAGCCGTAAAAGCAAATTGAGGAATACATCTTTCATCGGTAATGGCTTCTACGGCTAACGGTTAAAATTTTGGCCATTCTACCGCACGGTTCACCCAAATAACATAAAATGACACATTGTTGAAAGGAAAACTTGTTACGGTTAACTTTTTTAACGACAAACGGCTTAATATTGTCCAGTTTGCACGCCTAATGGCTACGATTTTTGGCCGTTTTACGGCTAACAGTTAACTCCATTTAAAGAGTTTTCACGACGCTGGGTTAGCATTTGACTTGGGTGAAGTCTTCTCAGTCCTATCCAAGATAGTTATATAATAGGAATTTATATCTCTTATTCACAATTGTCCGCTGAAACGGCTTTAGGGAAGAAGCTCAATTAAAGTTCTCGGCTTTGGATGGACTCAGAAATCGCCTAATTCTACTCCTCTCCCGGTCGAGAAACTTGATCATTATTTATTAGACAAAGCGTCACTTTGAGAGAGACAAGAGGGAGTCGGACAAGAGTGTGGTTCTCAGTCGACTTCTTTACTATTAATTACGACATGGCTACAACTGAAATATGGGGAAAAATCTAAAAGCCGATGAACAAATGTTTTGATTATGAGAGTCAAACTAGGACATTTCTCAATATTTAAGTTTGTTCCATTCGTCTACAAAAAGGTAAAAACAAAAGTATTTTCTCCTGTTTGATAAAATACATCCTTTGTAAAATGGTTCACTTTTCTTGTAATATTTCTATCAATAATATTCAGTCCAGGTAAAATGTTTTAATTGTCTCAAAGGCCTCATTATTCAAGTAAAGTTTCGAAGACCTGAAAATCACTTAAATAAGGAGGGGTTATTGAAAAAGTTTTCTGCGACAACTAAAAGAAGCATGACCAAAAGCATTTTCAAAGTTAAACGCATGTTCTTCAAGCTTAACATAACGTAGTCATATAAACTTAGCCGGCACAGATCTTTTGGAGCGGATATAAAAGTGGGAAATGATCATGAGGTAAAGCGGAGAACCGGAAATGCATTGTGTAACGGGAAGCGTTCAAGCGGAGAAGGTTGCTTTCCTATTGTTAAATGTCGTGGGTGTCAAGTTTCCCATTCCAAGCATGCACTAGTACTATGAAACACCACAGGGACTAAACGTTTGCGTAAATGATATGAAATGACTAAGGTATCATTAAGGAAGTATACTGCAGCGAACTTCGCTGGAAGTGTAATTTGAATGAAAATTTAAAGTTCGATTTGCGATGCCCACCACCTTAACGAACCAAGTTCCCGAGGAGAAAAATTCCCATTCCCTCTCGAAAGTGACGATTCAGCATCACGGAGATCTTAGTAAACAACAATGACAAAAGCATACGTAAAAAAAAAAGACACTGGTAAGAAAGGAATTCAATTATTCCGTTTCAAGATAGATATTAAATATGTCGAGGTTTCACGCAAATTGATCATTATGTTGATAAAGCCTGACCACACACACACACAAACGCAACCACGCATATTTATATATATAAACATTAACAAAACGCCGACCATAGGTTGCTTAAAGAGCAAATGAAAATCATTTCGCAAGGAGTTTGGAACCAGGAGTAGGCAAAGACTATTATTAGTCCAACCAGCGGTGGCCTTTTCAAAACCTTTTAGAGTGGACTCTGTCGACTACACGGTTAAGAAAATGCGATACCGTACTTCAGAATGATAAAATACATGTGCTTGTCCCTCAGATGTCGGTAAGACCCTAGTGCAGGGCACCTTTAATGAAAATCCTGTGAAACCATTCTCTCCACTGCTATTTATGGCTACGCTTAACGATCTATTGATGCTTAGAGGCTCTTCGTCTCCTGGCTTTTCCACGGGTCACTTGTCAAGAACGTGACCCAAATCTAATATGATATTAAGTTTTTGTGAAACAGTTCTGAGCAGGAGAAACTTAGAGTACTGACAAGATGCCGTGTATCATCCTGTGGAAACTGTCACTGAAACATCATGATCTAAGCCAGAAGACAGTTTCCACCCAACTGTTACAGAAATATCACGATTTAACACACTGTTAAGTTCATAAGAGGGTAAGTTTCTAAAGAAACTGTCGTACTGCGTCAGTGGAAGAGTATAACAGTTAATTTAGTGTTAATAACTGAGTTGAAAACGTAAATTAACCTCCGTAGAATTTAAAGGCTGACGTTTCGAACTTTAGCCCTTCGTCAGAGCGATATCGCTCTGACAAAGGGCTGATGCTCGAAACGTTGTTGAAGATTTCACCACTAACTGATTTTTGCGTACATGACCGTACATGGAATTTATTTGCACTTGTAGTAGTATAGTCAACTGAAAAATTAAATTAATATGACAAAGAAGGTTATTACACATGTCGATTTCGGTTGAAGCGACGGGAAAAATATTATACTTACAATTTGTGTTCCATATGCGGCTAGTAAGCTTCGAAGTGCGATCTGTGGTGACACTTTTGAAATGTAAGTTGCGTAACGAACTTCTAGGTTTTTAAATAATTAGTCACCTGATCTATTTTTGCCGCGTTGCGCTAAGATAATTAAATATTCACAAAAAAATGACAAACGGCTTGAGAAATGCAAATCAGTGGCTAATTTACGTTTTCAACTCAACTGTTAAGTTCAGTTTGTTCTGTTAATAGAAACCTAGAATATGACGTGATGCCGTGCATCACCCTGTGGAAACTGTCACTGAAACATCATGAAAGTCAAAGGAAGATGTTAATAGGGCCAGCCTCTTTATTGTCCCATCCTGCTATGAGACAAGTTTGAAATCCAATATTTAGGCCTGCTGTTTAATTATTAGTTCCCAGTGAAAAGCATTTTTCAGATCTTTTACAACGCAAACTGATACAAAAAACAATCAGCAGTCCGCAAGGCAAATAATTACTCATTGTTATATATTTCTATTCAATGAAAGACTGTTGTAAATGATTGGCAGTCACACCGCTTGTTTGGCGCCAAAGCCTGCCTTAGCGGGCCTTCGAGCGATTTGTTGTTGGTGTAAGATAAGCGTAGTGTCCCAGACCACATTCAGCCTGTGAGTACGATCTCAGCAACACCACACGGTTTCATTAATTTCAAGGATTAGTATCAGACGCATATAAACCAGGTAAAATAATTCTTTTAATATCTGTAGCAGCTGTAGTATATTGAATATTTGTGGTGGTTGTAGTGACAATTCAAAAAACCTGCTCGGGGACATAATAACTTGTCTAACACGAATGCTAAACAATTGTGCAAACTTCCCGGATGTTAACGATTGTAATACAAGATCTCCCATCAACTGTCAACCAACATGAAGTCAGCTGAGGACTCTTTGGGCTTAAACTAGGGAAGTAAGAGATGTTTTCCCTACTGATATTGGTTTCCTTAATCGCGTGTGGGAACGGTATGTTTTTCAATGTTTACTTGATTTACTAGGGGATATAATATTTTCCGACAAGCTATCGTTTTGAAGTTGAGTTCGGTAAATGTGTTCGGGCACCTTTTCTCTGTGTTAAACTTTATTTTTCTCCAAGGTTTTTGTTTTTCTTTAAGGCAGGTGAGTTCACTGATTAACAGTCGAGGCTATGAGCTTTCACCTTCAGCTGTAATTTAACACGAGCATAGACAGGGTTTTCAATTGATGTAAACTCTTTGATTTAGTTAATTCTGGAGGGATTCAAAGAGACATCACAGATGAAGTAGGAAAGTGTGGGGCTATGGATAATCTAATAATACCCCATTCCTGCACGGCAAGTGGACAAAGAAAAAACAGAAAACAAAAAAACAATTCATTCAACATTCAACATGTAGTACACATGTATATTCATGCATGATTTACACACTCATCACAAAGCCATATGTGTCTGTATAGTCATGTTACACACTAGCGTGTAATTTGTCGAAAGTGGATTTGCAGCCAGTTATCGATGAAATGGGTCCTTGCTTACACAATCAATAACTTGGTGTTTGAGTCTGTTGTAAAGTTTGCAATCCTTGTTTCTTATTTTGCAATCCATCTTTGGCATGTTACAAGATTTTTGCCCCTCAGATGAGGTTTAGAATTTAGTTCAAACTAGGACAGCACAGTTCAGTGATAATTATATCAGGGTCCATTGAACAAGAAACACAACAACATAGACAATTATGTTTCTCAATACACCATAGCTTAAACAATATAAACAATGCACACTGCTGTGTTCAAAATGACTGAAACACTGTAATGTGAGAATTTATACACTAGAATACCTGCTTTAAAGGCTGAGCAAACCAGAGCACGGCATATCACTAGATGTGCACAGTCACAGTGCTGGTATGCTGGGAGTGATACAATAATTTTTTTCTTTGCTTAGGGAGCAGTTAAACATGATTGTTGTATTCCTAATGACCCAACAGAAATGTGGAAAAGTAAATGCTTAAAAGGATTTTTTGAGGATTTTTACAAAATTTCAAAGCGAAGACTTACTGAAGAAAGGCTTGTTAACTGAAAACAAGAAAGAAGTATTCAAGAGATTATAATCATTTGGTATTATTTATAAAAGAAAACATGTTTATGTTAATAACCGTTTCATTTGTGTTTCCACTTTCATTCCATTCATTCTATTCTACTGCATTTTGTAGCCCTTCAATGAAAGGATGCATGTTGACATCCACAAGAGGAAGCATGGAGAAAAGCTGATCTCTTTGTTGTGCAGTTTTTTAGAAGCACTTCCCATGATGTTGCATTCACAAGTGAAACACTTTCATTCCTTTCATTCTATTCTACTGCATTTTGTAGCCTTTCAATGAATATTCAACCAGACTCTTCTCTTACATTTTTACTCTTTACCAAGCTAGAAGAATTAGTGCAGAATTTTGTTTTAATTGTTCTATGTTTGTGTTATTACAGAGCTCTTTCACTCAGTTATCTCAATAAAACTTGTTCTGTGCAATGTTTCACTTGTGAATGCAACATCATGGGAAGTGCTTCTAAAAAACTGCACAACAAAGAGATCAGCTTTTCTCCATGCTTCCTCTTGTGGATGTCAACATGCATCTTTTGTTTCACTTCTATTAGAACTTGCTTGAATACTGCAGAAATGTAAATTTAGTCAATGTTCCATGTTTTTGTTTACCTTTTTTCTTTCTGTTCATAGCTATTTTTATTAACTCAGTTGTTTGAGTTTTGTTTCTTTTGTGGGTCACAATCATGCTACTTTTCCTCTTTCAAGTATTTTATGAAAATTGCTGAAAAACATGAATTCATTCAGTGTTTAATGTGTGTTAACCTATTTCTTTATTTTTACACCTTTGCTATTATTCACTTTGTTGAGGTTTGACTTCTGATTTTCTATTAAGCTTTATGTCTTTTGTTTTTTTGTTTTTGTTTCTGTCTCTTTGCTGTAAAACAGCTGCAACAACATGCGAAGAACAAAGAGATCAAGCCTCACAAGAAGGGTTGGTTGGAGCGTTTGTCCCAGAATGCAATGCGGATGGTAGTTTCAAGCCTGAACAGTGCTGGGGATCAACTGGGTATTGTTGGTGCGTGAACGAACATGGCGCTGAAGTACCGCGTACTAAAGTACGAGGGAAACCAGACTGCAGTAAGAAAGGTAACTTGAAATCGAACTGATTGGAATCAAACTCACCCCGAATCTTATTTTGTTTATACAAATCACATTAGCGTATCAAAACACTGCCCTTAAGTAAGTACTACATGATAAACACCGCCCCCGACTGAGCGTTGAACTGTAATGCAGAACATAAAGCTGCGCCTTTTTCCAGAAAAGGGCTGGAGAACGGTGGAAATTTGATAGAATAATGAAATGGTAAATTTCCTTTGCTTGATAGGTAGTAGTAGATAGATAGTAGTGTAGTTACATCTTTGGATGTATCTAGGGAAAGAACCCCTTACCTTTCATCATTCACCATTAGGCCCGTTAACATTACCGCTTAACTGCTTGGGTTCGGCCTTTTTTTGCTTTTGTGGCGAGATCGTTTTTCCGCAACGAGATATTTAAGAAGATGGTTGATGCTCTCTGTCAAGAAGACATAATCGAAAGTTTGCTAATGCTCAAATCGAGGTCTTTTTTACAATCGTGTTTGCTTTCCAACCTAAAATTTACATCACCCTACCAAGCTAACGTTTAATACATTTTACCGTTAGTTTCCGCCTTGCTAACAATCTGCCATATTATAATGCGTACACAAGGATATTTAAAACAGCTTACATTGTATAAAGTCCATTTTTTTAAACTTCACTGGTGGAAAATGCACTCTGACCTCTGCTTTAATCGTCAGCTAATCGTCGGCTTACTTCATCTTACATTAGTGAGAACCCCGGCTTCGATGTACGCCGCAAGTTAAGCTTGAACCAACCCCTAAGAGATTGAACTGTCCTTTGATACAGTAGAAAGCCATATTTTCTCTTTATTTTTGTTACCACAGGTGTCCTTTCTTTTTGCCAAAGCCTTCAAGCAATCATCGTCAACGTTCCCGGCTGGTGTGGACCTCCGAGATGCAAACCGGACGGAAGTTTTGAGGAAGTGCAGTGCTGTGCCAACACTGGGAAGTGTTACTGCGTGGACAAGGAGGGAAAAAAGATTGAAGGAACGGAAAAATCTGGACAACCAGATTGTGAATGTACGTTTCCATCATTTGCTGTTTTTTTAATTTTACAATGTGTTAATTGATGGGTCTGTGAATGAAAGGGTTAACGATTAAGGGAATTAGTGAATAGATTGGTGTAAGCAAGCGTTCATGCTCGAATTATCAAATAATTTAAGAGATAGATTAATTTAGAAATAACTGAGTAACTGTAAATGATCAATCATTGCTGTGAGTTTCCTGCGATCAAGTTGACTTCACATCTAGTCACTTCTTTCTCTGATGGAAACTGGAATTAGCATCGACACCTAAACTTGGAACTATGCACTGTGTTTCGGCTAGTTTTTTTGTAGTTGCATTTCCAATCGAATCTTTTCTTTTTTATCGTACTTTCAGCTGTCACATCGAAGTGTGAAAAGACAAGACTGGAGGCTTTAGCGAAAGGTCCTTTACTAGGACAGTTTATTCCACACTGCAAGGAAGATGGCTCATTTGAGTCAGCGCAATGTTGGGCCAGCACTGGATATTGTTGGTGTGTTGACGAGAAAGGCGAGAAGAGGGACGGTACCACGGTGCGGTTCGAACAACCGAACTGTTGAAAAGTCAGGTATAAAGATATACGTTCTTTGGTACTGACTTCCTAGTTGAATTTAGTCTTTAAACTTGTTTGCATGATTAATAAATTTGGTATCGATGTGATATTAATTGATATTTTAATGTTAATTCGTAGCAATCTTTGACCGCTTCCCATTAAATAAACGCCTCTCGTGTCGGTCAAATTTTGAATTCGCGCCAACTCTCCCCGTCCCATTCTTCTAGACGAGTGCTTGTGTTCGCCGAACTATTGAAGAGCGTGATTGTAGCATAGAATTTGCACGTTTATACCTTACTTGTTCAGCGTCATATTTTGCCCCTCACACTGAATTGACATTTTCTCAGCGCCAATGAGCTCGCTACAAATAGTGTGGGTATCATACCTCTCGTGAAGCTCCGAATTTCGGCTCAGGCGTCTGTTTCGCTCTTGGGGCCCAATTTCACACTGTTTTTCAAAATAACAAACACTACATTAAACATTGCAAACAGATAGGGACATTCATGAGTTTTTTCTTGATTGCAGAGTTCAAGAGGAAGGCTTTCGCGGGAATGACTACCCAATTATTCAGATAATCTGTGCTGGGATAAAAATTAAACAAATAGTGCAATATTAGTTTCGTTGAAAACGAATGACATATTTGTAGAAATAAAATGACAATAGTACAGAATCCTTGCTTCATTACTTTGGATCTCGTTGTGGTAGAGAAACTTGTAGGGAGTGATATATTATTATGAATACTTTGTCTTTGTCCCCATTCGTGGGTTGGAAGGCTGAGGTGAGAACATAACACAAAAGAGCATTCGACAATACGTTTTATGCCTCCTCTGTCTCCCTTTTCAAGTGTGCGTAATCTTGATGTCCTCTCTATTAGAGAGTGATGGATTTTATCTGGTGTTCTTATTCATGATACATAACAACAGTCGATCTCGGATCATGGGATCCATTTTTCATCAACGAAAGTGTCTTGAATGATTAGCTTCTGGTGCTAAGTACACGAAGGCTTGCCTTTGTTCACAGTTTGGGAGAGACCTTGAAAAGTTCCCTACCTCCTTTTTGCGCGAATTTTCTATAATACTTAAAGCGACAAGACAGTCAAAGTCCCTTGCTTCAGACAGCTTTTATTGGGCAATATTTCGATCCACGTGAAGGAAACAGCGAAGCTATTATAAACAATTTTGATTTACGTACAACACACGTTACTTCGAGAGTCCCCTGATTGAAAAATTCCCTGTACATCTGGTCATATATTCCAGTTGGGAGCCGTGTGGGAGATTTATCATCATGAACCCCACCGTTTCACTTCCAAGATCAACCTATAAATTTTCTGCATTGTATATCAGACATCTTTCATGAGATTTTGGTGTATCAGTATTTAATAATCTTCCTTTCTGTCCCATTTTTGTTTTAAAATAAATATCGTACGGAGAAACTTCTTTTCGGTCACTGAGTAATAAAAGGGCGAACTGACCAGCTGCAACATCTAGACTGTTCTCTGTCAACGACGTCTTCCGTAATGACACAAATATCGCAGATGTCTACGTTGCTCTTTACATTTTCGCAATCAGCTTGTCAATATTTCACTTACATAAGTAGATAACCACTTGAAAGTCCTTAGGCATGAAAGAAACTTTCTCTAATGACATGGTATTGACATCACGTACAACGATCTAACTTTATGATTGCTAAAATTTGTACAAATATCATCATCTGGAGATAATGGAGTAATCATGTGTTTATTTACAAATTTGCACAAGCATATGGTGCCAGTGATAATGCAGCGCTAATGTCCGCTCATTAATTTTGTGTTTTCACAGCAAGTACATATTTTTTAAACGGGGGTAACTAAAATTGCACTCTCTTCGTCAAGATTGTATTCTCGAGGGGTTCCACCCGTTTCGAACTTCTTGTCACAAATGCCATTTTTCTTATCTCTTCTTAGCTTAACGACATTCTGCAACCTATTGGTAAACCGAGAAGAGATTTCCTTCAGCTCCAATCGGAAATCCTTAGACACTATTGAATAGATCAGCGGATCGGATGCTGAGTTAATTACAACACCAATAACACAGATGTTATAGATGAGCCAGAAGAATTTCTCGAAGAAGAATTCTTCCCAGAATAGTAGCAAAACTCGGAGAAAATTCAGTGGAAGCATCGAGATCGTGAATACTAGCACTATGGGTGTGAGAAGTTTCTTGGCCTTCGAATTCTGCCGCATTCTCTTTTCCTCCTCCGTAAAACGCATAGAATCTCGAACGTTCTTCTCCCTTGAACGCCGTTTAATACTTGATCTATGGAAGTTGTTGCTTTGTTGTATCTGTCTGGTAATCTTAGCATAGGTAAAAACGATGATTGCCAGAGGCAGCAGGTACCAAAAGATTGTCAAAGATATGATGTATACACTGTGCACTGCGTGAGACCAAACGACATCACAGTACGTCTCAGTAGCATTTTCCACAAAATTCATCACAAAAAGCAACGGGAAAGTCACAACGAGAAACGAAACGATCCAAATCACAACAATTCCCCATTTTAAAGGCTTTGTAGAGATATAGTTGCTGTAACGAAATCCGTTAGAAGTAGTGATTTTTCTGTAGCGTTCAATAGCTATAGCGGTAATGGACCAAACGGAGACTCCATGAAAGACTTCTGCTAAGGGATAAAAATATAAACATACCACTTTACCAAATGGCCAATGCAGTGGAAGCTGCTCTTTCACCACGGCAATAGGAAAACTGATAGCCAAGATCCCGATATCTGCCAAGGCCAGATTTCTAATGTAAAGTTTCAGCCCCGAGCGAAATTTTCGTTGTCTTGATATCACAAATGATACCGTTATGTTCCCAACAAGGCCCATGAAGGCTAACATCACCTCGAAAGTTAGGCGAGCGACCATAAGGACAAATGGCTCCTCGTAGTAAGCTTGGTTCATCGCAGGCGATATGTTGTCCTCCCCATCAGAATTATTGTTTTGAACATTCATCATGGCTAGAAATCCTTACAAAACCGTAATAAACTCCTGCTAAAAAGATCTTTCAACCTTTGTTAGGTTGAGGTCAGTCGTCAATCAGTGCCTGGTCGTATCCACCATCAGCTTTATGTCAATTTTTTCTTGAAGTCGTTCTCTGTTATCAAGATTTTTCTACTGAATACATCTGGTTTCAAACTCTTTTAGTTTCCCCAGGCGGTCTGGCTCATGATGGATGCAAAGCATTTCAGATCAGGTTGATATACAACAAAAACATTTTATCGTGTCAATGAGCCGAATCGCGATTATGATGTAGCAACTACTATGTATATTTGATATCCACTTCAATCCGTTCAACTCGCAAATATTTGGTTAAATAAGCAACAGGAAATCAAATTAACGCAACTTTTCATGAACCCTCTCACTCTCAAAAGTGATCAAAAATGAATTTCTCCCAGATGAGGTTTAAAAACATTTTGATTCAGAGAGGGGACGGGACTGTGGATTCAACATCAAACTCACAGAGCTAAAATTAGAAGAAAAGAATCGCATATAGTGATTTGTTTTATAGATCTTAAGTGTTAAAGGGTCGAATACTATTCTTTCTCTGAAACATCTCAGCACCGGAATCCTAAAGCCTCGACTCAGCTCTCATTGGCTAATCGCGCGCTCAGAACCGGTTACGCCTTTCTATACGAGACGGAGGACTATGGTTTTGATTTTCTTTTTCCGCGCCATTCGCGGCAAAGAGGAAAATAGGGAACCCACAGGAAAAGACCTCATGCATGGTTTTTTCCCATTCGGACCTCCAGCTTTGGAAATAACAAGCAGTTTGTCATCAGCATCGGTTGGTACTCGCCTAAATGGGCTGTTGTTGTTGTCATAGCTAGCCAATCTCTATGTTTCGTTACATTTAGTGCAGGGTTGCTTGACAGAGCGAACTAATGGTAGCCGTAAGCTGATAAGGTTACAGTGGTAGAGAGTTTATTTATGAAAGCACTTTGGGAATGGGCGGACAAGCTATCTCATGGCGATAAACTCCAGCGTACTTTACATGAAGTAAAAGACTTATTTGCCAAAGACCGCTTTATCGTTTTGAGTTCCACGTGACGATCTAAGACAATATTTATAAACATGGTGGTCGAGAGTAGTCAATCTTTTACAGCTTGAAACCATGGCTGATGACGGACTGCTTTTAAATCTTTGTTCTAATGGTGGAGGGGATGAAGAAATTTATCGGGAAAGTAAAGATAGCAAATCGAAGGTAAATTATCTTCCTAAATATATCCTTTAGAAAGCAAGGTTTTCTAGGTATCCATGCCCACGTGTACCAGCGTGCAAGTAGACCTTCTTTGAACATCGCGATCTTCTTTTGAATCAAGCTTAATTCATCAGATTAGCCTGGTGTTTATCCATTCCTTTTCTTCCTAGTGGAAAGAAAGAAAGTTACAGAAAAGAAAACAATATCTAAGGCCACATGCGAGGGGAACCTTTCACAAGAATGCAGCTTCTGTATCTGCTAAGCCATTACGACACCCTCAGAGGAGATCTACACCTTTTCCAAATAAGCCCATCCAAGGATCTGAGGAGGAAAAAAGAACTTCAGCAAATGTACGTCTCTTTCATTCATGCGGCAAAGTCTTGTTACTGCCATCACAACCCTCTAATGGATGAGCAATGAGGTTTTTCGGATAGGGTTTAACAGCACAGCAGAGTTTATGTCAGTGTGTGGTTCCAGGGAAATAGATTTGGTGTATTGAAATGAATAATGATGAGAATATAGGCCTAGTAACGCTACAGTTTTTACTAAAAGTCTGGTGGTCTGCCTCTTAATCTATGCTTACTTTATCTCAGTTAGCTACAAAAGGCTACCAGTAATATGCAAGAGAAGCTGCAGTGTATGTGAGAAATCTTTTTTCAGTAATATATTTTGTTTTCAAGGTTTCAAAATAGTTAAAAAATCATGGTTAGTCCAAGTAACCATTATTGTGCCCACTGATTGTTAATTTCTGTGATCCTTAGAATGAAACTAAACGATCTTTCGTAACTCAAAATGGCATCCTTCCTCAAAGACAATCAAAGAAGAAATTTCAGGTAATTATAGAAGTAACTGTCAATTTTGAAATGCAGTTAGCTCAGTACATGCATTCAATTTTAATAGACATATTTTTTGTTTCAGGAATAGCAAACCAAATTATTTCTGAGATTTACTTTTTTTCAATATATATAACAGGTCATTTCAAGTTTGTTTAACTACAATCCAGAAATACCCACATTACTGGCAAGGTTGGTTTTAATTGCAGTTTTGGCTAATCCTGCTATAGGTATAAGTACAAGTTTGGTGGACACCTATAATTAATGGCCCTGGTTTACATCACACCTCTTAAAATAAGTTCTCTCATCTCAGTGGTAAAGTGAATACATTTCAAACACAAAATGAGATGTTCCAAGGCTTAATTATATTGGGGATGACAAAATTTTCCGTCACTGTGTACCATGCTCTTGACTATCTTTTGAGAAAGTTTGTTTATATGAAGTACTTGGATAAGCAGGTCAACTAAGTACCTTCTGCATATTTTGTATGTCTGTTCAGGCTGTATTTGTTTGACATACATGAAGTTGTATAATGGCATGAAGCACAATTATAATTGACACATAGTTTTATTGTTGTAGTAATGAATCATCCAGTGCAGATGGGACATCATGTGAAAATGTTTTTTCTGCTGAAAAATTTAGTGACTTAGATGTTTCTCCTTTCATGGTAAGACATGCAAAATTATTTGATATGTAATATTATAACTAACTTTTAGTTATTTAAAAAGATATCTTGATGTTAATGATGAAACATTGCTCAGTTGTTGGTAAACTAATTACAAACATTTTTGAAAGGGGGCCAGGAAACAAAAGACAAGCCATGATTAAAAACACACTTTGAGCAGAACTTGATTTCTCTGAAACTGGCTGGTTCTTATAGTTTTATTAGGTGTACTTAATTCCCTTTACAGAATTGTTTATGGTTAGTTCTTGGGTGTGGGGGAATGTCAAAATTTTCATCTTATGGTTAATTGTGTTTTGCTTTCTATTTATAGATTTCCAATCTTGAAAATAATTTGAAACTCACCACCATGACAAGGTACAGAATATTAAGATATTTCACATTCAGGTTTATTTTGCTCTGAGGTATTTGTAATAGCATCAAAATATGAATGTTTGTTTGAAATGTATGCTGAACTATTATAAACAGTGTCATCAAAACTAAATTTTCATGAGAATTTTTCATATGTTTACGGAAAGTTATTCTTTTAAATGTAATTATTTTCTTGCTTTAAGTGTTCAAAAAGCTGCCATTCCCCTGTTAATCGAAGGAAGGGATGTTTTTGTGAAATCGAAAACAGGAACAGGTAAGGTCTTGTAAATGTGCCAAATTGTTCTTGAAAAGTACCCTTTTTCGACTCAGAAGCAGGTATCATGTATATTTGATAGATGAACTTTAAATTGGATATTTTTTTATAAATTTAAGGGGGGTCCATCTCATCATTGCCCCCATTTCTGATAAAATGATTAATGCTGTCTCAAATCAGCAGCCAATGACCTATATTTTGTGATAATGATATTGAATTAACTTATATGTTACTGTTATTTTTAGGAAAAACTCTCACTTATGCAGTGCCTGTGATACACTCACTACAGAGTATCACTCCAAAAATTTCTGTAAGTGACTAATGAAAATATTGTAGTTCAATAAATGCAAACTGCTGTCTTCTCAGTGCAAATTAGATTGTTATTTTTATAAAGTCATTTGCATTGGTTTGATGACTATAATGGTTTTATGTTGTTTCATCCTAATTTACCTTTTAATGAAGATCTCTCCTTGCACAGTCTCAGTTTTTTGTCATTCTTTAGAGAAGTGATGGTCCTTATGCAGTGATCTTGGTCCCCACAAGAGAGGTAGTCATTGCACATATCATAGGAATTAATTTTTTTGTAGACAGATGCATACATTTTCATACATTATTAATAATTATTATTTACTGTTATACATAATATGAAAATCAATTGTAATTGTAATGGTGAGGACCATTTAGTAATTGAATTATAATTATCAATTATTTTGATTTCGTTATAGGCATGCCACCCTTATGATTTCTTAATTTTTCTTGTTACTGTAGCTTGCCATACAAAGCTTCAATGTGCTGCAGAGACTTGTAAAGGTATGTCTCATACTTGCACAAGGGCACACTATGTTTTCTTACTTGCATTGTGTAATATGCAGTTTTCTTTTGCTTGTGTTAAAAAAAAATTGTATTCGTTTTATTCAATATTGTTTTTTTTTTGTTAAAACGAGTTTGTGTAAAATGACAGTATTGCTTTACTTGCCTGCAGCTTCTTCTTTGCAACATTGTCTCATAACTTCGTAGTTCATTCTTTAGTATGCTTTAGTATACTTTAGTATGCAATAACCAGGTTGTCAATAAAAGCCAGTTTATAACAGTCTATTGCTGCCTATAGGACCTCTTACAGCCATCTGTTTAGCCTGCTCTTGTGTTTCCCCTCACAGCCCCTTTTGCGGGCACAGCGGCATATTTCATCATCGTGAGCTGCATGGATAAAGTAACTGAAAGCCCTGCTATAAGTATTTTTATTGCCATTGAGAGCCCTTTAACTCAAACATCATTGTTTTCTTTTATAGCCATTTCAGTGGGTTGTACCAGGAGTAGTCACTGGAGGAGAAAAACGAAAATCGGAGAAAGCCAGGTAGATATGTAATGAGTGTTTTTTTCTCACTCTTTCCCAGTTGGGCTACATTTCGTAAACATGGAAGCTAATGAGCATCAAATAGAATCCTCTTGACTTGAGTATCATGGGTCTTTATTCTCAGATTAAGAAAAGGTGTCAATGTTCTTGTCGCAACTCCAGGAAGACTACTGGATCATATTGAAGTAAGTTGCTTGACACACAGTTACTCTGATCTCTAAAGTTCTCCAAGCTGAAAGCTATCTAGCAGTATTGCAAAAATCCCAGTCATATGCTTGTTATGTGTAAACTTATTTACGTGTTGTTCGAGTAGACCTTCGGACTATTTTTCAATGTAACTGAGGTCCAAGAGATTTCCCTTCCTATGTTAATGCACTCGAATTTCCGAAAATTTACCTGCGTACATGGCAAACGCTGTAGATAACTTTCTGACGCTTTTGAGGCTTCCGAAGATGTTCCGAAAATTTCTGTAAAACGCTGATATGAATTGTAGCTAAATTACTCGCTAGCCGTTAAATGGAAGTTAGAACTAAAATTTCACTCTCGTCGCGATTGTCTAAATCTGGTTGCAGCTGCTTAAAACAAGCGTCTTTTTAGTTCTGAGCGACTGAGAGTTGTTCACAAAACAACCTTAGGAAATAGAGGAGATTATGGTGATATCACTTAGTCAGATGCTTGACTTCATGTCACCTTGTTTTTTTTTCTTTTAGAAAACCAAAAGTTTGGAGTTGAAGAGACTTCGGTGGATCATCCTTGATGAAGCCGACAGGTACAGACCTATTCTTTGTCCGAGAATCCACTCATGTTCCAGGTTCTTTTCTTCTCCTATGGCAGATTTCGGCGGTAACCCGCATCGTAAGCGCTGCTTCCGAGAAAAGATGTTTTTCATCGAGCAAATTCAAACCAGTTTGAAGACATTTCGTGAGAACAAATTCATCTCTAGGACGAAGACGTAAACACAAATTGTCTGTGTTACAAGAAGCAAGTTATCATTGCAACAATTGGCGTGCTCCGGCCCAAGATTGCTATTTATCAGGACTAATTGATATTTCTATTTGTTGTAGGTTGTTAGACCTCGGTTTTGAAAAGGACGTGTCATCCATTCTGACTGCTGTTAAGGAATCTCTACTCAGCGGTGTAAGATGTCAGACTGTTCTGCTTTCCGCAACACTCAATGAAGGTGTGTTTTTCTCACAAAAATGTCTTCTTTTGTTGTAACACACTTGAGCGAGTTGATGTGAAACTAATCATAGGAACGGAATCTGTCACAAAAACCATCGAGAACTCAAACCATTCAAAGCGCGAGTAAACGAGCGTGACCCACTCGCAATTGGTTTCAGCTGAAGTTGTATCTGATTGGTTTAGAAGGTAGCAGAAGTTCTCTGGATTAATCCTGAGCGAAGTAGAAAAAAACCAACTCAATCTCAGATTACCCACACACTCTTTTAAAAAGTACATTGAATTTAATTTTCCCCCCCCCCACAGGAGTTGAGAGACTGGCGGGAATTAGCCTTTACAATCCTCTATCTATTGATGTTACGACAGAGGATGGAGGCGGCGAAAACAAAGAGGCAAGTAACGCACAGGTAAGGGCTCGTTGGTGAAACTGCCTCGTAAAGTGTACGAAATTTCCTTATATGACAGTTTTTTAACTTCCTTTCGCCTTCCTCTCTTACACGCGCGACATTTACTTACAACACACATGTAAATACCATTAAGGAAAAAATCGCTTTAGGCCCGTGCCTAGATGTTGCTGTACACGCCAGCAGTTCGGTAGTGTTGGTTATTCTACGCGCGGCGTGGTTTGTTCTTGCATTCTCTGCAGGCCATCAGCCTTCATTAAATTTTTGGGAATAAAATATCTTTGGGAGAATTATTTCAACTGTATTCATTTTTTTCCTCTTCAGAGCTCAAGTGATGTCAGTTTTACAACTCCTCAACAATTGAAACAATTCTTCATTATCGTTCCCAGCAAACTGCGCTTGGTGACATTAGCAGCGTTTTTGCTGTGGAAAAACCAGCAAGAGGTATTGATTGACTTTTGTACAATTGCCATTGTGAAATTTCTCTGTAAAGTAAAGTAGCTCAGAGTATTACGATCAACCTCGTCGCCACCCCGCGTCTTTGTTCTTCCCATCATGAACTAGGTTTGTTGTGACGTACGCACATATCCATATTTAACTGTGCAAGTAACGTACACATGCTGCCTCTTTTCCATCCTTGAACTTGCCTTTTCGTTTTGTAGGAATCAACTGCCACGAAGATGATTGTTTTTATGTCAAGCCGGGACTCAGTGGATTTTCACTGCGACCTTTTTGACAAGTCTTTTTCTTCTGTGGCCAGTGAGTAATTTGGTTATTTTGTTTCCCTTTTTGACCCAGCAGGGTTAATGCACTACTCTTAAACCTTTCGTTTTCTTTTTTGCTGCAAGTAGACGACATTTATATTGTCTGACATTGACATGAGCATCTTTTGATTTTGCTTGCTTTTATTTTGTTAGAGTTACGCCTTGTATTCTTTAAACTTCATGGAAGCATGTCTCAGTCGGTAAGAGAAAGCAGAGACTTTGAGTTCATTATTTGAGAAGTCATTCATTAATTTTTTTCCTTTTTGTCTATTCTTGGGCGGATCCAGCTCAAGGCCAAATTATTCAAGTTGGCCAATCAGAATAGATTTAACGGAATCTCAAATTTCCTGAAACTTAAAGTAAACAATATTTTGCCGTTTGGTTTTTCGCAGGAAAGGACTTCCGTATTCAAAAGTTTCAGTGACGCAACAAGAGGGATTCTGTTTTGTACAGTAGGTTGACTATTTGTTGCTGAATTTCTAGTCTTTTTTAACCGGAAACCTTATGTAGTAAAGTTAAGTAAAACTTTATTTAGGCCGGGCAGCTCATTGAGCTCGACGGCTGGTATCCTCAGGGGCCTGTATCAATAGAAATAGTTTTAAAGTGTACCACAACTACGCCTGTTGAGGTGTAGTGACGGAAAGAAAACTTTAGCAAACTGAAATTTCTTGTAAGTATGTTTAGACGCAAGATGGGAAATTGGATCAGTCGAGTCGGAGCTGGAGCTGAGACTGAAAAAAGATGATTATGTTTTCCTTATTTTTAGTTCAGAGAGGAGCAAACGAGCCTTTTTCTTGCTCACTACATGCTTTATAACCAAGTTAACTTATTTTTTGTATGTTAGGATGTGGCAGCAAGAGGATTGGATTTGCCTCATGTCAATTGGATAGTTCAGGTATAAATACAAATAGGATCTTTCCCGTTGTTGTTTTTATTTTAGCCGCGCATGCGTTCTTCGCATGTCACAGTTTCTTGAGGAGACAAAGGAATTGGACATGAAAGTATGAGTGTAATTGCAATGCACTTTCTCTCGATTTCGCAGCTAAACACTTTCGAATTAATGGATTGAATTTATCTTTTATGCTGTTTCTGGGCTAGTAAGCCTCTTTTATTATTTTTGGATCACTGTCTGACTGGTTTGATTAATTATGTTTCTAGTACAATACTCCAGGGAACCCAGCAGACTACGTGCACAGGGTTGGTCGAACGGCAAGAATCGGACTGAAAGGGAACGCCCTCCTTTTTTTAGACTCCCGCAGAGGTAAGTTTTACTTTTTATTTTGAGCTGATGAAATTATCATGTGGAAGGAAGTGTGTGTAGAATAAGTAACATTAAACGAAGACACTCAGTTGAGTCAGTTCTTAACGTTTCTCCATTAAAGCATCCTTCACGAAAAGGCTTGGAGTATGTTTTCCCCTTTCGCTCCCCCATCTGAAGCTGCAAGTTTCTTATAATTTTTGTTAAATCCGTTCGTCTCCGACCACGCGTTCTATCTTGATGTACACTCTTATGTAAACGAAGGCAATACAATCTTAGTCAGCCAACATTTCATTCTAGGTCGAGTACTTGGACATTTTGAAACAGCATGGAATCAGGTTTGTATAAAGGGTAGCTACCAGCGATTGTAATGGTTTTGCTTTACTTCGCTCGGCGATTGGTCCTGAAAACTCGAACCTCTCAACCAATCAGGTGCTATAATAAAAGCAATTGCGATTTGGCTAGTCGGGTTCTCCCGCGCAGTTTGCTAGTTTTAAGTCTGTGTTCTCATTGGCTTCTTGTGATTTCATCCTTCGCTGTGATTGGCTTGTCTAATTTGTCTGGTGTTGGCTTTATTGCTCTTAATCGAGAAGTGCTCTTTTTTTATAACTAAGTAATACTGTCTCCACACGATAGAATAGTGCATAGAAGCTCCTTCCGTGCTGAAAAACGAGAATGTTAATGTATGAGACTTGTTTGCCATCTGGGTGAATCATTGCAACATTCAAGCGATACAGAAAAATCGTGGTTAATTTTTAAGCTTCCCCAACTCCGACGTAAAAGTTACAAATACTTCAGCAGGAAATAATTCGTAAAGCAACATTAGTAAATTAATACATAAACAAGAAATTTAATTGAAAAAGTAATATACAGCTAATTTGTTTTATTTTTTGCGTACTTTGTAGTCCAGAGGAACTGCTCGTTAACGACGTCCTTAAAACGCTCGCAGTATCCTCAGGAGACGCGAAGCTGAAGACAGCGAAGGTAAGTACTATAAAACCACAGGACTCTTGTTGGTGTCTGTGACGTCAAAATTTAGATAATTGCAAAACGCTATTTTACTTTTAAAGCCGCAAACGGAACATTGAGGGTGATCAAATATTTTTTAAATCTGGTCGTTCCAGGTTGATATTATGATTAACTACCGGAATAAATGTATTACAAAAAACCAAACAAACATCAACAACAAAAAATCAAACAAGATGAAGAAAATTCATTAAAAAAGATGTAACCTTGGACTGAAATTGCATGTGCTACTGAAATCAAATTATTCATCAAGCTGTCCCATAGAAGTTTAATGTTGGTATCCGTGTCTATTCAATGGAGTTTTTCGTCATGAAAAGTCCATTTTACAGTAAATGTGAAGAGAAGGAGAAATGTGGTACTTGGGCTGGTGTCTGCTAATCATCGGATTCGCTGATTTGAGGTTTCAATGTATTTTGTGAATCTTCTGAGCCTTTTTCCCTTTTGGTAGCTTAACAGCAACCAATGGATTTTTTGATTATTAATTTCCTTATCTATTCTTAAATTATTATTTTTTTACTTCAGTATGTTGATCAAAAAACTCAGGAATCAGCTACTGAATTACAGAATTCATTCGAGGACTATGTTCTTTCGAATGATCTCTGTTTGAAAGCTGCCAAGACAGGTAATATTTTGTGTTTCATACTCGGATCTTCCTCAAATCTAACTATGTCTTATGTTACTGAAATTGCACCATGAAAGACAAAAATTTCAAATCGCATCATATTACTGCTACCTCAAATATATACTTCTTACACGAGTATAAAGAGTTAGCACGCGGAGACGTTGCGGAATGTGTGTATGTTCGCCATCCCAAGGGTTTCCTGTGTTCATATCGGGAAACCGCTAATCCTGGACATTTGCTTAAGTTAATGTGAGCATATCGTTCCAATGGTGTACGCATCCGACCATGCTTTTAGTTATCGAGCCTGTTCAAGGTGTTCCGTTAGTTAGCGGGGCGCGATGGAAGCTCAGAGCGAACAAAGAAGGAAGATTTGGGACAGGTTGTGTGAGGAACCGCCTGATATTTCGCTGTGCGCTGTCCCCGCGCCCCGTGAACTCATTGAGCGCCGAGAACATTCAATCGTGTGTCAAACTGATCATTAAGTATTTCCTCTGCGTTGCAGCATACCAGTCTTTTGTCAGAGCCTATGCTACATACCCCAGCAATCTAAAACACATTTTTCATGTGAAGAATCTTCACCTGGGACATGTCGCGAAAAGTTTTGGCCTCAGAGAGGCACCAAAAGAATTGTTTCAATCCAAGAAGCAACCTAGAGCACAAAAGCGGAAAAGGTTTGAGATCCTCTTTTTTGTTCGTTTCTTTCGTAGCCTTTCTGTAGGTTGTCACGCAACGCTTTGAGTTCCCCTCATGCCTCAAAACGAAAGTGTGGGGTGGGGTAAGTTACATCTCAGATAATGGCTGCGAGAGATTCTATTGTTTTTTATTCCCAACTCGCAGTTTGAATTCAGTGAAGATAAGTGTATAAAGTAATCTGCTTCCTTCCAACTCTCCAGTAACTAATACTGCCTTCAAACTACAACATATTTCCTTGAATTTCTCTCAAGATAGTTGGGTGTCCACAAAACATCCTTAGGAAAAGAGCAGTTTTCTCTGTTCACAACACCTGTTTTCTTGATACTGTTCTGTTTTGTCAGAAGAAGTTCTACACAGAATAAGATGGAGGGTAATTAGAAATAGAGAAACGTGTTTTTTTTGTTCCTTTCAATTAACCCTCAAATTCCTCTCGGTGATTCACAGGTAACTTTTGAAGAAAGGCAATCAAACAAAAGAAACGAACAATCGCATACGCATGTGATCAATGACCTGGGTGGACGAACGAATCAATTGAGGGGTTTGCCTTGGTATATATTAAGTAACTTGATGGGAAAGGAAAGATAGATATGAGAGAGAGTGGCTCGTGAAAGGGTTTGCATTGCAAATGACAGATACGTGAAATAGGGTTTTCAATCTACTCAAAATCCTACCAAACTAGTTCATACATTTGTTCAATTGTCAGTTGTCTCCTGCGCTGAACTATTCTGAACCTTTCTCCCGTAGGGGTGGGGAGAAGAAATCGGTGAAGGCGAAGAAGAGGATAACAGAGTATTCATCAGATACGGAACTAAATGGACCTTTAACAAAGAAACGAAACAAGACGAAGAACAAATCGTAGTGAACTGTAATTTATTTCGTTTTGTTATCTCTTTGTTTACTGCGCTGAAAATTTACTAACGAAAGGAAGCGAATGTGGATATGAATAACACAATGTTGTCAATGGCAATAAAATTTAATAAAACATGGTATATTTTTTAATAGCTTCGTTCGTAATCTATCTTAGCTTTTACTATAACGCAAACCTTCAGTTACCTCGTCACGCAATGTTTATATTTCGAAAGGGGAAAGATTTCATGGCATGACAATTACTATAATTTATTCCTCAAATTTCAAGTTACAAACTACAACGATGTTTGTTCGCTGGGCACCAGAGCTGGTCAAACACTGATCATCGTTAAAAACAACAGTAACAATAACAGAAATTATTTTACATTTGCTGACTTTATGCCATGCACGTGGTAGCTTTGATAGAAACTCGAGAGATGCAAATATAAAGTTAAAAAAATATATTGTAACATAACTGAGGTAATTACATGATATTCGAACAATACGGCCACTATCGAAATTTATGTTATTTTTATAACTCGACTAACTTGAGGTATAAGCTGCAGAGATTTTTGAGACGCCAGAGTCAGACTGAAGTTCTTTGCCCCCTCACTAGCAGTATCTTTCTTCTCAGTGTATAGTTTCAGTGGCAGAAAAGAAAAAAGTGGTCTTCGACCGACTGGTAATGGCCACATGTGTCAAAATGAGCTTCACTGTCTTCGGGTTGCTGTTCTCTTCTCAAGGGAGACCCACATTATTCACGACACGAGACGATAAGCCTTAAACCGCGAGGAAGATGAGAAGGAGACATACCCACCCCTCCCAGTCACAAGTTTGATACATCAAAACGTATCTAGCTCGATTATTTCATCCAGCGAAGTCGCTCATCAACACAACTAATGGGTAAAACTAACCGTATAGCTACTACATGTAACTCGGTTAGGCAAAATAGAATGACTAGAATGATTTCGGACCTCGTTCCTATGATTCCCAACCGCTTAGAATTGAGGCTCCTCAAGCACAACTACGGTGAAGAAAATTAAAACTCTGCGTGTTTTAGACCCATAAAATAAATAAGAAAAAAAAGATTTTTGAACGATTTTACATAATGCTATGAACATTTTCCGAGATCGATACTTTGCAAACTGTGTACACAGATAAATTAATAATCCCAAACCTTAAAAAAAAAGTTGGATAACTTCTGTTTTAAAATGCTTCGCTGTCTCGCTCCATACGTTACTCTTTAGTCCAGCACGCTATCTAGCATTCCCTTGGGTGCGTGGTAATGCACAGTTTCAGTAAAAACAAATAAATGGGTTTAATGGCGTCGTCCTAACTCATAGACAAGTCAACAAAATTATAGAACGCATCGATGTCATGTAATGCTTTCTCAGGAGTTGATGAGAAGTATATACTTGCAAGTGAGCGATCACATATCTGATTAAGCGCATCCTCAGTATTTTGTACACAGTCCTTTCCATTGAACTCCAATCCGATAACAGGACCTAGAAAAGAAATCACAGAATAGTCGTCAGTCATCTTTGAAAAAAAATAAAGCAATTTTCTTTAAATAAAAAGTAGGGTATTTCGTTCTGTAGAGTTTATACGCTCTCTAGATAATCTTAATGACCTTGCCGCATGAGCATCCGCCGGTGGTAGGTCTGCGAGAAGTCTGGTGCAGACCCCTCGTAAACGCCGAGAAGCCCGCGAGCCTCCTCGCCGGCTACCTGTAGATTGGCTGGGTCACGCCATTATAAGCCATTTCAAGAGGCGGGAAATGCATGCATGGAAAGTAACGGATGGGCAAACGAAGACGAGATAACCAACTGTAATTCCGTAATTTCCTACCAGAGGGTCTTTATTGACGCTTGAAAACACGCCTGACCTTATCATCTATGATACTCTTACAAACAAATTTTAATTATTTAGCAAGGCTTCTGACTAAGCTCGACGAAAAAAAAAAAAGTTGCTATTATCCAAATTTAGGACCATTATGTTCTCTGCCTAGGAATTACTACCCTGAAACTAAATTTTAACAGTTGACAAACTTCTATCCCCTGAAGAGAGAAGTTTGAGTTCCCTTAAAGACCAAACTCAACAACCCTGCCTATGAAAATTAAAATTCCAGTTTTACAAAGTACACAAACCACTATCTGCAGCAGCTCTATATTCTTCTGATTGAAATATTCTGGCTACGTCGTCTGGTTTCACACTAACTTCCTTGGTTTGGACAAGCACTTGATTTCTCTACAAACAAAACGAGATTTAAATTAAATGCTTGACAATATCACAGTAAAAGTAGGTAGCTGTTTGAAAAAGAAACAGTGGACTTAAAGTTAGTCCACTGGAATTCGCATCAAAAGGTGCATGTTTGAGACCTGCATGGGTCAGCCTGTGTTTGAATTAGACATTGGAGACTTTCTTCTCTAAGAGAGTTGAAATGGGTGATGAAAACCCGTCAGGAGAGCCTGACCACTATGCCTGGAAGAAGATGTGGGGGAGAGAGGAGGTGGGGGTACCTTTTGATGGTCTGGCATCCCATTCAGGGGAGAAACAATACTCCTGCTCACTTTACACAAATTTACTAAAGAAACCTTGATGTGCTCTAGTGCTTTGAGCCACTTAGCTTTTATTAGTGCAGACTCTTCTTCACCTTACATGTGGGTAGCATTTTTGGCATTCATTAGTAGATGCAAAGTGTATTATGCTGCATTGTTGGCGTGGTTTTTCAGTTTTTGGAGTGAACACATAGCACAAAATTAGCATGCGCAAAAAGTGTCCATACTTTCAATAAAGAGGAGAACATACCTCGCGCCTTTGATCAGAAATCAATCGTCTGACATGTGATTTCATTTCAGGATATTGGAAAAAAACCACAAGACATGACTGAAAATAACAAACAAATTTAGATATAATGATCAGATGTTGCACCAGTGTAAATGATGTGACAGTCATAGTGGTATGTAGCAAGTCAGATTACTGAGATTTGATCTTTGCAGATCAAACACATAATTATATACTATTAACCTGCACACCCAGTCATTTATGGCATATAGCCCACAATTAGACATGTGGTACATGTATGTTACGACAAATGAAGTAAAAACAGTTCTAAAATGCTTGGACCAGCAAGATGTCTTGAAATGAGATCAACTACTTTTACAGAGTATTAGCTTGTCAAGCCTCTTTTGCCAAGTGTAAGCCCTTCCACACATTCAAAAGGTCATTTGAATAACATTTGTCATTTTCTATAAACTTGAAATCACTAGCAGTGAGAACATTTCCAATAATAACCCACCATCCCCTTTCTCACTCCTGTCAACATACTACATGTACAGGTGAACACCGTGTATTAGGAAGTGTTTGGTTGGATAACACACTTAATCTTTTATTTACCTCATCATATGGCTTTCGTCTTGATCCAAGTGTAAGTGGAACAACACTCATAGAGGCATCACTTGATATATTCCTATCTCTGTATTGTTCTGGTGTTGGTATAAGAGTTTCAATATTTGTTGCATCCCCCTATAGAGGAAAGATAAAACTTTTAACTCTCCAAACTGATGATACTAGCTATTATTTTACTTCTTATTGATTAGTGAATTTTTTGAAATTTTTCTCTAATATGAATCCACAAAAAAACAAAAGGATCTGGCTCAACATTAGAGGGACATTGTGATTTACAGTGTAATGTCCATTCATTGTCGACAGGAATGACTAATTTGGTAAAACACTATAAGTGTACATTGCCTGGTAACCATGACTTTAAAGGGAATTAAAAAAAGATGCATTTTGTAAAATAAATTAGAAGTTTCCCCAATCCTATTGTTGCTGTAATTTTATTATTACCTCTGGAATTAAGCCCCAAGTTGTTTCTCCTGCAGCTGGTGTGAAGTCATGAATGTTGCTCCAGTTGTTATTGTATAAACTTAGTTTTGCTGCCTCAAACTGGCCTGAAAATTTTTGATATTGTATCAGTTGCTATACTGAAGTCATTCAACTACATGCAGCATGTTCCAGGCATTAATTTACATGTTGTATACAGCTGCATCACATATTGCAATGGTGGGAATCAAAAGGAAAGAGGATATGGGGGTTGGACGGAAGTCCTGGTAATAATTAATAACTCTCTTTCCATGGACCTGAGCCCTTCTGAGCAGGTTAAGTCTGATGATGGAGTTGGAGTTGACAGATGATGGTGTTGAAGTTGGAGGTGTAAAATGCAGTGATAATGTTTCCATTTTCACCTTATTCCACTTGAATCTAGAGATTGTGATCAAAACTATATGATTGGCAAGCAAAAGTGAAAGAACCAACCCATCACAAAGCCAATTCCCAGGTCCTCCCAGTGCTTATGACGACCAACAATCTAGTGTTAGCAAAATTGTAAGTGACAAAGTTATAAGGGCATTGGTGTGCTGATGGCATTTTAATCCCTTCAGGGGTAAACAAGGGTTTTTCTTTGTCAGAAAAAGAATTTTGTTAAGCTTTTCTCACTGACCTTCCAACTCAGGATAATAATACTGATAACAGCCAAACTTCATGCCTTTTGAGGATTCTATCACAGGTTGTGTACCACAACATAAAAAGAAGTCCATTTTCTTGCAATCTCGAGTTCTAAAGTATAAAACATGTGTCAAATTTTAATTCCTATAAAATAACCAGTGCATTAAAAGATTCAATTAAATTAGATTAATTTTTAGACTTACCGAAACTGTTGACAAGCCACCAAAACCTTACAGTCTTGACAATCTCGAAAATATACACTAAAAATAAATAAAAAAACCAGTTAAATTAAGTAAATTAAATATTAAATGATCAGTGTAGCATTAACACATAACATCTTGTACATGGAAGTTTATTAAATCTAGCTGCACACACTTTTTTTTTCAAATTTACTTTAACCTTAAATAACGAGATCAAAAGGAAAACAAAAATTACATTGAAATCATTGATGGCAACTTTTGCCTGTTTTTCTGAAAATGCCTCCTTTTAGAAAGTGGTAAACAAATGTCATAGTTAATCCTGCTTTAACTACAAAGAGTAACCGAGAATATCCTGACCTCCCAGCACATGGCCCAATCACGATCTGGCAATTTATACAGTCATCAATTGTTATGGTTTCTGCGTGATCCAAAACAAAAATCCTACAATCCTGCAAACACAAATCATTTTCAGAGTTGTGATGCATTAAAATAAATTAAATGCTTCCTAGATAAATGGCTTGTACCCATTTATATCACTGCTCACTCTGAGGCACTGCAAAAGTTTCGTGCTTTGACAAGAACTCAACTCAAAAACCGCGCAGTCTACTCCACTAACAATTGGATCATTACTTGTCCAGTATCTCCCCAGGGTAGGTACCCCCCCCCCCCCAATTGAAATACATGTAAGTTTTCTCTCTACCCAACCCTTCACCTCCATAATAATCACTCAGTGCAAACAGACACTGGCAGTATACTACATGTACATCCATGAAAGTATTTTGTTACAAATCTTTACGAGTTTAACAACTTTCCAAATGGTTTGATTTTTTCTTTTTCTTCGAATTTTATCATATTAATGGATCTGAGAACAATTTTGATGAAAAAATGAACAAATACACTTGATCTTTGGTCGACTAGTATTAATTTCATTTTTTGTTCAAGAGATCTAAGCCCTCGAACGGGTAGACTATAAAGTGCAGAAGATTCGACCAAAGTAATCTTATTTGACACCCATATTGCAAGCTCGTCATTCTAATTAAGTTTCAGTTCCTGGCAGGTGAGCCTCGTTATCAACCTTACCTTATTGTTTTGAATTATGAACTGCTGTCCGTTGATTTCGCCAGGCATTTTCGCGGCAAGTTCGCCTGTCAGATCACCGATAGTGTAATCCTTGGGATCTAAGCGGGGACCTTTTTCCCTATACAAGCAAAGAATTAAAAAAGAAAAAGAAATAAAATTCAAATATTGGTAATAAAAATGGAAAGTTACTGAAGTGACATCAAAGGGCTACGATTCTTCGATAGCAATGTCATCCCTTCCTTCTAGAGAATAAAACTTGCCAACTGAACGTCGGTTTTTCGTTAGTTTCTTCATTTGCGTTACTCTCCTCCTTCGAACCTAAGCAACCCATGTTATTCCCTGTATTCTTAGCCCTCCAAGCCGCTCTAATTATGCTGCAGCATTCGATAGAAGAAGTATCTGAACAGGCATACAATAAAAGTTAGGCTGAAATGACTTTGGAACCTGGCAAGGAAGGCGTTACCAAGGGTACTCGCGACGCCACTCGCATGGCACGCGTGTTTTCACGCGCTATCATTCGTTCCTCGAATTTCAATTTTTCGTTATTTCCTGTTGTTTTTATTTCCCCGTGTCTTTTATAAGAAAGAGTAACTCTGCTGCATGAGATTGAGTATTAATAGAGTAGTAATTGTCATATTTCTTGTAAATAAAATTGTTCGGCTCTTTGTGGCTAGTGACCAGGGCAGGTTGAATTTGCAACTGTATTTGCGGAAGAAGAAATTTATCAACAATCGATAAATCGAGCATTTAAAACTTTACACTAGCAGGAGACATCACATCGTGCAGTGCCTCAGGAAACTTAAGTGATGACTTAGTTTGGTTTTTGCTTGGTCGTCAAATTCATTTGGGAGAAATACTCCTTACTTGAGCAGCACTAGGCCCAAGTTTTTGATCGTTAGTAAAAGTAGCATATTATGCTACTGACATTTCTCGATTTTTTTCCAGATTATGCTTACAAGTTTGCATTATGTTTTTGTTTATAACATCGCTCATTTACCCAAAGTCTTGATCTTCATTTCGAGTTCAGTTTTTGCTTAACTGAGTTTGAACGGTTCTGATGGAGCCTGAAAACGAGGTTGGCTCTGATGCTTCAGTTTTCACACAAACAACCAGTACGCAAACTGAATGGACATTCATCGCTCCAATTTTGACGTAATTTATTTATTGCAAAAGAAGAGAGCTTTGGTACGACCTGTTGGGTGTACAATCCTAATGACGGCAATGTTCACGGCTGTTCTCGCCAACAAAGGGTAATCATATGTAGCGTGCAAAAAGAGATCTTTAAGACCAGGAGCTAACATCATTTTACAGTAATAATTAGATGTTTCATCTAGTATTCTGTTCGTTGGGATCTACGCTGCGTGCTCAGTCATTCGGTAAAATTACCTACCATACATCCTTAGTACCTCATATTCGATCCCACTAAGAAATATTTGGTAGAGAATGAGATTATGAAATAAAATGTACACCTTTTGAGCATCTCGTTACGTTAAAAAGTGGTTCTTTGAAAAATCTACCCACTGAAAAACGTCACAATAAACTGAACCAGAGACGTGAGTCAGCAGTAAGGTCTCTTTATATGCATTTAAAAATTCCCTAAGTTTAATTAAATATGTCACAATAAACTGAACCAGAGACGTGCCTCAGTAGTAAGGTCTCTTCATATGCATTTAAAAATTCCCTAAGTTTAATTTTTTCTATGCCTTCTTTATAATTCGTCAGAATGGTCCTTCTCCTTCCTTTCCCGGTTTTTACCACAGGGCGGGAGTCAGAGCGAAATATCAGTGAGTCATCAAGCGGAGTTCTTTGACATCTGCATCCTATTTTTCTACTCAATACCAGAAGCAAAAGAGGACAAGCAGGTCAAAGGTCCCGGAGATTATCATTTTTTTCCAATAGTAAAACCACTCCCATTGTGTCCCAGATAATCATATATTTCGTAATTCTAAATGTTGTTTTGACGTCAGCTCATGTAGATCTTTGATCGCACAATGTCTTTTTCTTTAAAGCATTCTGAGTAAATTAGTTTTGCCAAGTAGAGATGAAAGCCAACGATTAGAAAAGCTATCGTAACCCAGAACTTTGCCGGGAGCCCTGCGCGGCGATGGACATGATGATTCTTGAGCGATTCTAGAAAAATTGAAACATATTCAATTAAACAAAATGTAACGACAATGAACTATGCACCCCTGGGGAAACAAATACTGTACATCTTTGGGAATACATCTCACTAGACGGTTTCAACAGCATACTCCATTGATATTTCCCGTAATTAGAACGCGCTTAATTTTCAATTTGTAAATTAAGGAGAACCCTTAGGGTTAAACGGTTTCATTGAAAGCAGTTTAACTTCTTATCATCATGATGGAGTAATTTGGATTGGCTGTTGAAAGTAATGTGGTGTCACAACGATCAGATACACCAAACCAAAACCGACTGAGATTTGGTAATCTGAATTTTTCCCAGCTTGAAGTCCTTCAAGTACTTTTTTCCTTCAATTCTCATTGACTCTTTTTGATATTATAAAGATTTATTATTTCTAATATGCCTTCACTTGGTCTGTTCCGTCTTAGATCTTAATAAGGACTGTTTTTTTCATATGTCCATCCATGCAGGTAACAGTAATGTTCTACAAAGTTGTTCTTACCTTCATGTGCATCCTTAATAAAAACGTGTTTTCTAAGCTCCAATAGCTCAGACTTGTTATGAGATATGTACAGCAGCGGTGTGACAGGTCTGGTCATACGAACCGGGAAAGTCACTTCGGCCTCACTGAAATTAAAGACATGACATTTGTTCTGGTCTAGAAAAGACGACAAGCACATTTTGTGCTGATATTTGATTACTCATTAATTAAAAGGGATTCTAAAAAACCGAAAAAGAAAGAGTTCTATATCAAATTTGGAATTCTAACACTAGTTTTTCAAAGATAGGTTTCATTCGATATGCCATTTTAGAAATACAAACTTGTCACTCTAAAAAGAGCGATCCTTCAACTTTTTTCCTGGTCAGTTTATATCCACCACCACAAGTTTCTAAGATCAACTCATATTTTGAATTCAATTACGTTGTCTATCACAAACTCAAAATGCCAAAGAGTCTAAGGCCACGCGACATTCTCACAATCATTTTTTGCTAGAACAATTTCGTGACACATCGAGCAGGCTTTACTACTAACCCGACTTCCACAGGGTCATACTGGCAGCCTGCTTCGCATGCGTAAAGAGGCGTCTTGCCTCCCTTAACGGGTTTAACCAGAAGCTTTTCTGCATGTCCAGTTTCAGCATTCACCAACACGGTGAGATAAATGTCCATATCTTCATACAGGTGGATATGACGGAACACGATTGTTGTATGTAGTGAGGCGGGATTTGCCGCGAATTCAAAATGTCCGGCGGAGAACTGCAGGCCTCCAAAACTGAGCGTGATGGCTTGGTTGATACCAACGGCACCTCAAAAAGGATAAAGAAAATAACAAATAAATTATTGCAAAGAAGTACAATTGGTCAAGAGAGCACTTTGAGTACTTTGAGTACTTAACATTCAGCACTTGTTCCTAGCATGGAATACGCCTGGAACTGTTACCAAGGCTGTCACGATAACCTCGGCCAAGTGACCTACGTTATTGCTGTTTTCCCAGCATTTCTAATCCTTCTGTATGTGGTTTAAAGCCCATTGCACGCCTCCCCTCTCCTCCCACGGGAAAGAACAGAAAAAGCCCCCTAGGAATTAACCGAGTTCCCATGACAGTCCTACAGTATTGATCACTTTTCGATAATGTCCTTTGGGATCGAAAGGCAAGGAAGGGCGAAAAATAGGACAAACACGTTGTCAACGAAAAAGATAAAAATCTTCACCCAGTACCTGCTTTTACAAGTGCACTGCATCCATTCTGCTCCAACAGTCTCTGCCATAAGGCCGCTATTTTAGTAACACCTGACTCGGTCCGGGGCATGGGCCAAAGTGAAGCCGAGTGCCTGTGAAGACAAGGAAGAAACAATAACTGATATGAAAACTAACACGGTAGTCACATGTAGTCCTGTGTGTATCTCTCGTCTAAAGTGCACTCTAGTCACGCACTGTCACGGGCACACTTACATCGTGGGTGGGCCACCAAAGCAGTGATCTGGAATATGAAGAAGTTTTTCCATTTCATCCTTGTGTGCCTGAGGATTTGATGCTCCATTGACACGGGAAGGAAAAGACGACAAGACATAGTACATTGTAGTGTTGACTTCCAAACCAGAGGGTGTGTCAGGATCATGTCGAGGATCCACAAACAAACCTGTCTCAGTCAACTAGTGAATTAAAACAACATGGTACTGTTGGTTTAGCTTTTAACCCTTTACACCCTAACATCAGTATACATATTATCCAAACTATTCTCTATACAATTCCTATGATGCTAACCAGGAGAATTTGTTAGCAATCCAGAGCTCCTTTTGTTGGTATTCATGTCCTTTACTCTCATGATCCTAATGTTTGATTCAGGGGTGACATCGCAAGAAGAAACCAGAGAGTAAAAGGACTGAGGAGGAGGTTTCCCGTACTTGGGACAAAAAAACTTACATGATCAGATGATCATCAGCCCCGGCCCCACGTTTCATTTTATCTTATCATATGAATAAAGCGTAAATTAAAACATGAATCGATCTTTTTCAAAGAATATAATTTCTTGAGAAGTAAGATAAATGACAAATTCAGTTACAACGCAAAATAAGTTATGTTTTGGAGAAGATGATATGTGCATTATTTCAGACCAAAAACGGTAGAAATTGATGAGATAGTTCTTTACCTCTTTCCAAGCTGTGCTGTGAGATTCTCTCAATGATTCTGGACTGTCTAAGGAGACAAGAGCTCGGAGTTCCTGTAGCGTGAAAAAAACTGAAATGAATAAATTGGAAATTCACAAAAAATTCCTTTAGTTTTCACTGATTCCTTTGATTAGTTTTCAAAACAATCCTTACACCACATTACGTTCAGAGAGACCTTGCTTACCCACAAAGCAAGGTACTTCTAAACTTGTAAATAAACAGGAGTTACCGAATACATGTTAGAGACACGGGCGCGTAAAGCTAATTAAAAATGATTGTTAGTAAGAAGCTTGAGCATAAAAAACCCCCAGCGTTGCCATCTCTTAGTCTTGTGTTTGATTTCGTTACCTTTTCTGCGTCCTCCTGGAGTTTTTCAATATTCACACGCGGCGCCGGTTTTTGACCAAACAAACTTGATGTGTGTACAACTGTTAAGTGACGCAAAATTCCAGTACTACAAGGAAGAAAACGAAAGCACTCTTAGAATAACTCAGAAATTATCAGTTGCGAAAATTACAGGTATTAAGGTTTTTTGGTCAAACATTTTTGAAGGTATCTGGGTCTCATAGGAACATTTCAGTGTGGCTTCGTAGAAAAATTTGACAATGTAGAATGATGCTTACAAGCGGAAAACCAAACAGCAGCGCCAAAAACAAATACACGACTTTGTGAAATTCTACAACATTCGTGGATCACACAAAGAATCGTTGAATAAAAATTGTGCTTGAGTGGGGCATTTGAACGCAATTTTTGCCCGTAGCGGGGATTTGAAAGGACCAGTCTTTTAGAATTCAAATGCCAGGGGTTTACTGAAGCTTCGAATTGAGTATTACGGTCGGTCAGATCAGTAACTTTGGCTACAAGTAGTCCCAAATTTTTTTCAGCCAGGATGAATACATAGTGCAAAGGGACAAAGTTTTCGAGATTTTGAGACTTACAGGATGATTACTTGCGATGGAAATCGTTATCGTTATCTTGCAACCTTATGAATTCTTTTCAGTTAAAAATAATTCTTATAAATAGTATAAACAATCAATCATCTCATGATTTACACATAATTCATTCATGTACATTTATACCTACTATTCTCACTTATTAACTTATCACACAAAACCTTTTTCAGACCTCTGTCCTTGCACTGTCATTTCTGGTGGCACTCTTGATGTGGCAACTGTGACATTGATGTCGGGTTCTGATTTATCCACATGGGCTACTTGCCCATGAGAGAGAGTGTAGTGAGCTTTGGATGGGTCCATGGTTCTTTCAAAGCTGAAAGGAGAGCACATTAAGTCAGTAACAAAGAAGTCTTCCACACACTTTCCATGCGCTTGTCCAGATTCCAAGCGTGAGGCAAAACTGTAGAGGAGGTATATGTAACCAAGTGAATACTCCTTATTGTCATTTGTTGGTCTTCTGAGATACATACACTGAATGTGGCATATAAACACAATTTCAAAGATCAGCACTCCACCTTACACTAATGAAGACAGGCATACAAACACCCTCTATTAAACATTAGACAAATATAATATATTTTCATTTGTGAAAATTTTCCAATTTTTTCATGTAACCTTGTCCGATAAAATTTTTCTTTGCTAAGTTAAACACCATTCTCTGCAAAATAAAGGGGTTCGCAACAAATTTCTTCCCACACCAACCTCATTCTAGAGTTATACAAAGGATTCCTTTTCTTTCGAAGAGAGAATTTTTTTTTTCCTCTATGTGAATGCTGCCTCTGTAAAATGATGTTGGCTGCTCATTAAGAGAAAATGGATCCCACTTCCCTAAAAAGATACTCATCAAAGTCTTCACACTTTGCACAAAACTGGCAATTACCTCAAACTTTTAGTGGTGGAACCTTTCCATGCCTTTGCACCCTCATGTGTTAGCAAAACTTTGATTCCAGAATGCTGATTATTAAAAGTAGACATATCATGTTTAGACTATTTATTTCTATCCACAATTCCTATAAAATAAGGTTTTAGATTTATCTTAGTCCATTGTTCACGAGAAATGAACAACAATTTTCTTCACTGACAACCAGCTAAAATTGTGCCATCTTCCTTGAAAGTTATGAAATTGAAATAAAAAGAATGAGAAAGCCTGTGAAAGTGTGCTGTTGATCTCAAAATATGGAAAAGTCTGTATGCAGGTCTTTGCACTGATGGGAAAATGGGACGATTTTAAGAATCAAACAAAATATTTGCCTACAGACCCCATGATTAACAACCACAACTTCTTGGACCAAGACAGAGGATTGACTGCGATGAGCATATATTACATTCTCAACAATGACACATCCATGGCTCTGTCAACATAAATAATTCCAATACATTTTCATAATCAAGTTAAAAATATAAAAAATAACTGAAAATTACTCTAGAGTCTGTGCCATGTACCTTAATTTGTATGTTTTCTTTGGGAATGATAACTCGCAGTTTTACATGCAAAATAAGGCTAAATGTGTCCAAAAATTATTTTGTAAACTGAAGGAATAAAAAAATGAATAAAAGACACTTTTTAAACTCTTTGAGGTCATTGTCAAGTTACAGGTGTAATTGCTTTATTTGACTTGAAATCAAATGAGCCTCACAGTCATAACACTACATCTTGTTCTTTGTTCTATCATAATATTTTTCCAAATTTTCAGTCATGGATTTAACAAGTCATGAAAAACTGGAACTTGAAGAAGAAACATCAACAATGTTAGGGTAGATGTAAACCTTGGAATAATTTAAAAAGCTATTCATAAAATTGTCTCTAGTTATCATAACTGACTATAATAATACATGTTTGATACCAGTAAATTGTTTGTCATTAAATTAAATATAAACTAAGCAATTTGTTCACACTACATTTACTTACAAAGGAGTAGGTTTGAAGTTGATGAACCAAACCTTTCTTAAGATCAATAATTGTTGCCTCTATAAATAAAAAAATATATATAATTCAATATTTATTTCATAATTATATTCTAACACTTAAGAGTGAACTACTATTAAATTTTAAGACCTAAATCATTTCCAGTAGGTTGTATGTTCGCTAGCATGTACAGAAAATCTGAAGGATGCTAGAGACCTTGAGAAAAAATAAAAAGCTAGGTGCCCTGACTGTTTTAATTATAATAGATTAAACTTAATGCAACCGTTCATGAAGAAATGCATGAATATGTACAGTACATGTACCTCTTGGTTTAGGAACATTAGAAGCTTTTGCAGTTACAATAGGGAAGAATGGCAGCTTAAGCCATTTCATGCTGGGTTGAATTAGTGCTATGTGCATAAAAGAACTGTCTGTAGCTACAACTCCAACATTACCATTCCCTGAGAAGAAAAAGACAAAAAAACTGTCTTATTATAAAATCATTAAATATGCAGGTTTGTGTTGTCACCTGTGGTAGTGACACAAGAAGGAAGTAATTTTATCAGCAGCAAGGACCTGTCTCCATAAAAACTGAACCACAGCAAAATCTCCATGCTGGTGAACAATCAACATTGATACCAAATGTTAATTGTTAACCAGCAACACAGTTTTACTAAAGGGTACATGCATCTAATTATGTTTCAAATAATAGAGAAGGCAATTATTAGGTTCCTTATCTGTAAAACATATGATGGTGTTGGGTAATAAAAATGTATAAAGATGAGAGACAATAAATACAAGTAATAGACAACCATGTTATATTTACCAACAAAAGGTAAGTATGGATTTTCTGATTTTTCACGTGGTTTGTGGATTATCACCACATCACCATCTGCAGCTGCTTGTTTCCACTTTTCCAAAACATCACTAAGACAGACTTTATCATATGCTACATGAAAGAACAGTGTATAATGTACATATTAAGAAACATTAACAATTATTTGAATGTTTCATGAGGTACATTAATTTTTTTATACCAAGGTAAAGGAAGTAATATTCAAGTTCTTGCCAATCTATCAGACTGGTACAACATGTGTTTGAACAATGCATACTGTTTTAATTCTTTTTAGCCTTAATTTCTTTTAATGCTTTTGAGTCATTAGATATGTTTTCCATGAACTTCTCCTCTCTTTATACATGTATCTCTGATTTCAGCCAGAAAAGTCTCAACTTGCTCCGAGCATTTTTAGCAAAATTAATATGACACAAGAGCTTTAAACAGCATGCACATGGTACTTTTTCAAAACTGGTGTCACAAACACTGTATGGAATGCTTTGAGATGGTAAAAATTCATTGTTTTACAACCATGTTAAAAAACAGTTCCATGAACAATGCTTGCACTCTACACTCAGAACAGTTTTTATTATGATTTTGTTTCTATTGTCTCTACTTATCCTGTTACTTGGTGTATGGTGCATTAATTTCTATCATTCTGAAATGTAAGTTCTACTATTACCAGCCTAATCCTTTATTGGAGAGTACTGTAATTCTTTGCTTGATTTGCATTAATTTCAATTTCAAGACTTAATTTCAAATTCCATTATCCTTAAAAGAAATAATTAGCTGCAAGATCAAAATCTGATAGGTATGCTTACCAGGTGCTTCAGGAAGCTGTCCCTGTCTATGGTGGGGCATGAATCGTGATATGGTCCATATAAAAAACACAGTAAAAATAGCAATGACAATTAAAGTATTCCTACGTGACCTGCAAAAGAAAATTAAATGTGATTCAGGATACCATCCTAAAATTGAAATTTCTATCTAACTCAGGGAGAAAAAAGAAAGATGTTTTTCTTTTATACATGAGCACAGAACACAGAAAGAATTCTGAGGAAATGGATCTGAGGCCTTTGGATTTGACACTCCCATGCTCTATCATTGAACCACATGCACCTTGCATAAAACTGCTATGATGAGCAACCTTCTATTGAGTCACCCTTTAACCCCCAGAAGTGATTTACATGTATTTTCTCTTTTTGATATCCATACAATATCCAGCAAACAGGTACATTGTAATAAGAATGCCCAAACTTATCAAGCATAAGTTGTCATCTTGATCTAACACCAAATTGTCATAAGTAATTTAAAAGGAAAATCATAGCAGCTAGAAGGGAGAATTAACAATCAGATAAGTAATATAAGAGAAATGGTAATTTTTGAGCTCAGTTAACAAATAGAGTAAGATGTTTGTCTTGTCATGAGTGCGGGAAAAAGAAAATTTCTGAGTCCCCATGAGGAACTGAACCTCAGACCTTCAGATTCCGCACTCTGATGCTCTACTACTGAGCCGCAAAGACTACAGTGAATGATGTCTATTACAAGTTCATATGACAGGTGTCCTACATACTGCTAGGATCAGCAATGTCGATAACATCATGTCTTGGGAATAAAAGGGTTTGTAGAACAAGAAAGATGGTGGAGGAAAAGTAAAAATAGTTGAAACTTAATAGAAGGACCAGGAATCTGTTTCTCTAGAATATGAAATGAATGCTCCTATTTAAAGACGACTGTTAAAATGCAAGAGGAAAGTCCTTATCTGGATATCTTTTCCCACAACTTTCTTCTTGTTACTGTAAGAAACGTCGATTTTACAGTATATTATACAGAAAAGAATTATTCTGAATTATTTCGTTCCGATATAGGTAACCAAATGCAACTAACTCTTCCTCAGAAACAACATATTTATAAAATAAGTTATATTTCAAGCTCAGGATTATAACAAGTAACAAGCTGATCACAAGTAAATGCTGCAAGATAGATAATTATTGTTGTTTGTTTGAGATTAAAACAGGTGTAAATCCACAGGTATACGCTGCCTATTGAGCTACAATCATACCTCACATGCGTGAGAAAAGCGAATCTCCCTTTCAACCATGTTACAAAATTTCCAAAATGCGTCACTACCCACATAGGAATGGTTCCCTTCGATGCATGCGCTGAAATATTATTATTTTGTTAAGTTCGCATCTTTGCTCGCCTTGCGGCCATCTTTGTAACTGCAGTGATCAAAGCAGCGGGTAGTATCTGAATGTTATGCGCAATTATATTTATAACGTATAAACGCTGACCAAAACTATTTTCTTAGTGCCCAAGCCTATTTGGTCGTAATTAGAATGAATTTGACGCCTTGCAAAGTTTGTTGAAATGGTTGGGTGTAATATTCTTGCCCACAGCATTTACCTTTAGTTTAGAGGACAGTGCACTTTGCAAAAATGCATCGCACTTTTTCAACTCATGGTGTGCGATGGCTGCGATCACTGTCCGTAGAATTTCGCCCCTCACGGTCATTACCGAATCGTGCGTTTTTCCTCCCTCTGCGTTCTTGTGGGATCATCTCAGCATATCCATATTGGAGGAGGCAATTTTCCAAACAAAGTGACACTTCAGCTTCGTTAGATGCGGACGATGAACACCCAGAGAGTGCAGAAATATTACAAGATCTTCGAGCTCGTCACCATTACCACCACGACAAAGATGCAGGGAAACTTCATGAAGTTTACGTTTTAGAACCCGATTTTAAATGGGGAAGAAATCGCTTTCGAGCCGTCACAAGCCAGCATCGACTAGATGAAGCATGTGCGCTAGTGGAGTCGATCGAAAGCTGGAAGGTGGCCGGTAGAAGTATAGAATCCGTCAGAAGGATGGACAGAAAAACATTTTTCGGAAAAGGAAAGATTGAGGAGTTAAATGAAAGATTCAAAGAAATGAAAAATTCTTCTTCTCCCTTTGACAGTGTTTTAATCGATGTGGCTCAGCTCAATAATTGGCAGCATACACAATTAGAAGACATTTGGGATGTTAAGGTGTATGATAGGTTTGGTGTGGTGTTGCAAATATTCAAGGAGAGGGCCAAAACAGCAGAGGCAAAGATTCAGGTGGAATTAGCAGAGTTACCATACATCAGGTACATTCAGTCAAAACCACATACACTCAATTTGTAGGACAAAAGGCAGCCTTTATTATGACAAGCTTATTAATGAACTGATTTGGTCAAAAAAACAACCTTTTGTAATTTAATCAAATTAAGCTAATAGATCAAACAACACTTATACACACTGTTAACAGAAAGGCAGCAGAAAACAGAACAGATATGAAAGAACACCACAATGAAATACCAGGAGGCATGGAAGGAAAAGAAAAATGGCTTCTAGGTACACAAATGAGGTGTAATGAGTGTTAATGTGCTAAGCAATTGAATTACTGAACTTAACGCTCTTTGTGATCTTTTCTGAGTACCTAAAGTATGACTGTACTTTTGCTATTACAGTTACAAAATAATACAGTTTTCACAATTAGCCTTTTATGTAGAGGTGTACCGTTTATTAATACCTGGAACTTTAATTATATGGATAGGTCAAGATTGGTACATAGAGGGAGTTTTGATCAGCAGAGAGGTGGAACACACACCATAGGAGGATCTGGAGAAACAATCCTGGAAAAGCAGAGAAGGATTTTATTTGAACGTGAAATAAGACTGAAAAAGAAGTTATACGCTATCAAAAAGCAGCGTGAGCATGTTAGGCATGACCGACAAAAGAGACATGTACCAACCGTGGCAGTTGTAGGTTACACCAATGCAGGTATTGAATGATGTACCATCTTAGTACTTACATGACCAGTCTAAGTGTACCTGGATCAATTCTGAGTTAATTACTCTTTCAAAATTAATATGTATTTGCATCTTCTCCTTTCTCTTGTTTGATTGCGATGGATACACTGTACTTGGAGAGGGTATGCTGAGAACCACCCTTCCTGCATGTACGTGTATACAGTAAATCCTGTAATTATATAGCATTGTGATTGTGGGGTAAAGCCAAACATTCTGATTGATTCTTACTTGGTCAAGATTTTACCACGTGGACTATTTCCATGGAAACTGTCATAAGCCATGTATTTTGTTCACGAAAGCAGGCAAATTCAGCACAAAGGAGGTTGGTCAGAGTGCCATTTAATAAACTACTTGATACTAACTTTGTTTCCTTGAGTGGTGCTGGCCAATATTGTCTCTTGATAGAATTGTATGCACCTTGCTATGCTTGGTCCATACTGATATAGCCTTTGACCAATATTCCCCAGTGTAGCCCTTGCCCTTGTTCAGTAAGAAGTAAGAATTAGTGCCTCTGCTTTACTGGTTGTACTCCCTTTTTCCCATCATTATGGAGAAGTACTGGTATATAGATAACAGAGGATGTTTTAATCGGTCATGCTTAAATTAATATTTTGGTACTTTTTCACATGACAGGCAAAACAACTCTGATTAAGGCGTTAACAGATGAAGCTAAGATGCAGCCTGAAGACAAACTCTTTGCAACTCTTGATGTAACAGCACACCCAGGGAAACTCCCATCTGGCATGACTGTTCTCTTTATTGACACTGTTGGATTTGTGTCCGACCTGCCCCCAGACCTTGTTGAGTCTTTTTCTGCAACATTGGAAGATATTTCAGATTCAGTAGGTTGAACTTTTTTTCTGTAAATGCTATGTGTTTTGTCTATACACTGAGTCAAGTTTTTTGAAATAGCTCTGGAGTAAGTCTGCACTATAAGTGAGCAATATGGCCTTGTGAGCTGGTTCAAGTTTCTGTAGCATGATGATCTCATGAGTATTGCTCATCACCCCCCTCTCCCTCCCCCTGGATAAGATGCTAGTCCATTGTTGTTAACCTACTCCACCCCCAACCCAGCATTTTGCCTTTAGCTTACCTAAGAGTTTACCAGTATCATTGTACACTCTTGGGTGGAAAGATGAAATCAGAAATTAGAGTAATGCATCTTGCTCTAGATCTCAACAAAAGGACAATGAGAAAGGTTATACTGTATTTATTAGTTTAACTGCAACCTCCAAATGAGTGCTCACCTCAAATAAGCACCTTCCCTGTACATAGGTAAAATTAAGTAAGAGCCCAGCCTTGATTAAGTACCCATCTTGGATGCGACCACTTTTCAGGTCCAAAGATCTAACAGGTACCCAGTGCACTTCATCAAATAAAAATGGTGTGTAAAAACTTTTTTATGGTGATGAGAAAAGTTTAAGGTTTCTGGAGCATACTTGTCTTTGATTTATAATTCTCTTAGTTATTGGAAATACATTGTTTTTGTAGCTCCATTTTGTTCCCAATGTGCTGATTGACATGTGTGTGTTATGAGCTTTTTTGTTGATCAGTCAGGACACCAATGGAGTCATTGCATATATATTTATTTATTTATTTATTTTTTGCCATTTAAAGTTATTTTCCACCTCTCCTTTTACACACAGGATTTAGTTGTACATGTGCGCGACGTCAGTCACCCAGAATGTGATGCTCAACTGGATGACGTCATGACAGTTCTTGAGAAACAACTCAGCATTAAGGCACCTTTAATGGAAACCATGATAGAGGCTCAGAATAAGATTGATCTTTGGTACGTGATGGGTGACACGAGTAAGGGAGCGTAGCCAACTCTTGATAAGTGAAAATGAACTCCCTTTTATCTTCTTTTTTTTATTTAATGGGTATGGTAATAGAATTTTGTTATATTTAAGCTTTTTCGAGGGAACACGTAATGAATTTGAATACACCAAACATTTTACTGAAACTGCAAAGAAAATGTAAATTAGAATATAAACAAGAGGTGGCCTGAAGGGAGATGGAATTGACTGAATCAAAGTTGAAGGGTTCAACCTGTTTGGGTTTATTTTTGTTTGAAAGAGAAGTTTAATTTTACAACATTCGAAAAGCTTCTCATTATGCATGCCATTCATGTTTATAAAATGTATCCCAGTGAAAGGGCAAAAGACTTAACTCGAAAATTAATATTATCTGCTTTGATTAAGTGGTCTTTTTCGTAATTACAAACAGTACTATAACTAACTTGCAAATGTCTTAACTTTCGAAAGCGTTCACTTCCATTTTATTGATAAAGTCAAATACTATTATAAATGGATAAACACTTCTCGTAACTATTCTGCTTTTTCTTTCCTTTTCGTTGTTCTAGCAATGATAAAAACTTCCAAGTTAGATCCGGCGTGTTAAGCGACAGGCGGACCAAGATAAGTGCGGTAAACAAAACAGGTTTGAGTGAGCTTCGTGCAATGGTCGAAAAAGGGATCATAGCATCCACAGGGAGACAAGTCAAGAAACTTGTATTTCCTCCAGATGGACCACAGCTTAGGTGAGAAGACAGAAAAGCATTCAGAAATATTCAAACGCAGAGAATTTATTCAGAGCAACGTTAACTTGAAACATGATTGGCAAAATTTGTTATTGATATCTTTTTTTCATGTGATCCTCTGACTTGAGACCAAAGGTTGGTTTGAACTATTGGAATAGCTGTAATAAGTAATTTGAGACTTTCTTTGCGCTTTTGAAAAAGGTCGTTTTCTTTTCACGACTTAAATGGATGCAGATATATCTTTTCTTTTTGACTGTTTATTTTAGCTGGCTTTATCATGAGACAACAGTTCAGGACACATCAGCTGACGAGGATGGAAATATTGTTGCTACAGTCGTCATGGATGAAGCAGCGAGGAAAAAATACCAAGCAAAATTTGGGAAGATTGATTAATGGCCTCTTCCCTGTTTGCAAATCGTTCAACTGAAAAAAAGCAAGGAAGAATTCTACCATGGCTCTAAACCGATAAACTAGCAAAGGAAAACGTAATTGTTTTTCCCCTGCATCCCATTTGAGTTTGTCTGCATATGAGGATCGCCTGTTATTTACCATACGGTCTACAAGCATGGTGGAAAAGTAAACGCGTAATATATATTTGGTAGGAAAAGGTCTGTATTTCATGACGACTAGTTTTCTTCACATGGGACGTAAGAAGCGTCTTCTTTCACCATATCGAGAGAGGAAGGTTGCAAGCACTTCGTAACTTAGAACAGTCTCCTTTCAACAGATGTCACCAGCTACCGAAACCTAGCAAGCGAATTATTCACGATATTGACTGAACAGTGACAACTGACTCACTCCGCTTGAGTCTTGCAGCCAATAGCATCACGGGAAAACTCACAAGTCAATTTTTATAAAGCGGTTTTTCAAGACTTAAATGACGAAAGACTCCATACTTAACTCTGGTGATGACTTTCGCTCAGATTGTCTGACGAACGGGTACTGACGTTATCAACAGTTATTTTCTCGAACTTCCTTCACTTGGACGATCGGACTTCACGATCGAAAGATCCATTTTCGTTTACATAGTATGTTTTTAATGTGTTTTCCTTGAAGGATAATAAAGTGGATTTAGTTATTACATTGCTTCGAAGCATTATTATATTTTGCTGAGAGAGCTCTCCAGATATAAGTCCCGGCTCCTCAGTTCCGCGCGCTAAGTTCCCTGTAAATTTTACAAACCCAAGGCTTGAAATCCTGGGAAAGCCTGCGCTTTTCGTCTGCAGTTCCAAAGATAACTGAGAAAAAGATGTTTGTTTGTGCGCTCTCTAATGATTCATACTGCATGTGATTCATAGGTGCACAGTACTTTCTTATTATCCTCTGAGTAATTTCCAGTGTTGAGAACTAATTACCTGTCCCAGGATCCTCATTTTGACGCGCCACATGCACTTAAACTCTTTGTCAATTTGAAAAATTACTGTTATACTTGTTTTTAAAAGCTAATCACTTTTCTTTTTGATCTGGATAATTTTCAGCGTTGAAAACCAGTGTCTCACTTTGAAGTGGTAAATACACGGGTGCCTTTACGTTCATTTGTTAGATTACTGTCATAACATACATGCGTGTATCGAATATAAGTAAACAAAATAAAATAATCCCATTACTACCTCTTGGTATGAATAATCTTCTCTAAACATAATCAGGCATCTAAAAGTCCAAGCACAGAGCGAAAACAACAAAAATCAGACAATCGCGAGTTACTGCGACGTTCAAATGGAAATTTCTCTACCAGGTTTACTCAAGAGACATTTCAGTCGAGCCATTTTTTTCTTGTGCCCAGGGAAAACAATGGGCGCGCAAGGGAGCAAATTTAGCGTAATTTCCTCCTCCCACAGTCCTTCGCGCACGTGCTCGTCTCAAATTACTCAGAGTTTTCGTACAACACCTAAGTGAGAGGCATGAAGGCGTCGATAGAAAGCAATGTTCACTTGTCTCGAAAACTGTTCCAGGCCCGCATTGAAAGTTTAGTCCTAATTCCTAAACCACGTGTTCCCTTTCAAAATCCTCTCTCTCGGATTCAAAAAGTTTCCTGCAAGAGCCCTCAAGAACGGCCCACAACGAATTTCTGAAATTCCTGCTCACCAACTCGTAAATAATGGGATTACAAGACGAATTGACCACTACTAACAAAATGCACAGATAAACAATGTCAGGGAAAAATGGCATCAGAGCTAAATGAGGCCAGAAGGCCAGAGTTAGGAGCATTAAGTTAAAAGGAAGCATCGTAATGGCGAACATGATGACAACAGGGGTGAGGATGAGCTGGGCTTGCTTGTTTTCTTTTAATCTGCGACAGACTGGTGCGTTACTTGTGCTGCTGAGCTTTGAAAAGATTTGACTTGATGTTGCTGTGAACGAGCTTGAAGATTCCGCACTGATTGTTTTGTAAAAATGTACGATAAATTTTGTGCTTTCTTTGAGTGTCCTCGTTATTGATATGTAGTTGCATAAAATTATGCCCATTGGAACTCCAAACCAGAACAAAAATAACACGACAGAGTGCACTTCGTGGAACATTTCATATTTATCCCAATGGTAGAAGCAAAGTTTGTCATTTCCAGTGTCAATATATTCAACCATAATGTAAAATGGTGTAGAAGTTACCAGAAAGGACGCAATCCAAATGGCTGCAACGACTCGCATTGCATATCCCGATGATTCTATTGTTGATTTAAGTCTAGTCGTCACTATTTTTCGCCATCTTTCCGTGGAAACAGCTGTAACTGCCCATACTGACGCGCCGAAAAATACGTCTGTCAAAGGAAAAATTAATCGGCACACGTACTCACCTAACGGCCAGCTAATCTCACTTCTGATAATTATCATGGGGTAGGCAATAGTGAGAATTCCTATATCAGCCACGGCTAAGCTTATCAGATACTGCTTTATGGGTGATTTGAAGGGTTCGTGTTTGCTCATTAGTGTGACACAGGTGAGAATATTTCCCATAACGCCAACCAGTGCGATGAAACTAGTGGCAGTCAACTGCAGTATTGGTTCCGCGCCAAAGTAAGTCATACGAGCTGAAGTAACGTGTGTCGTGGTGTTGTTCGTCATTCTTTCAAACCATTCCTTTCCGTGAAAAAGTTGTTTTTCTGAGGAGAAAATTATATTTTTCCTGTTTTTAAAACAGCCAGATGTATCTTATCTTAACATGCGCAGAAGAAATGATGTTAACTTTACATGCTATTGATACCACAAAAAATTTACTGCGGTAATAATCTTTATTTTAAAATCCATAAAATATTATTTAAATTACCTTTTTCCATATAAAAAAGTTGATAGTTCAAGCAAAGAAAGAGCGCTGTAAAAACTGAAGGAACATGCGAATTCAATAACTTCTCCGTACGGCCAAAGCGTGTACGTGACACTCGCCTGCAAATATTATTGGATTCCAAATTGACTGAAAAGTTTTTTTTGGGTTTCCTGTTGACGTCGCGGTTTGTAATTAAAATTTTCAAAGACTCCATGATCTACCAAGTACAATTTTCGTTGAAAACTGACACCAAACATATCGCAGTTCCTGTAATCATAATAAATACAAGTTCAGGGTGCGGGCCCGCGTGATTGTTTTTTCCTTTCGTTTGTCAATCTTTCGGTATAACTAGCTGATAAATGTTTGAGCTCTCTAACTGCTTTGATTATTCTTATCCTCGGGCGCTCAACTTGGTAAATCGCGCCATCATTAGTAATGACTCAAACCGCAACTGCATATTTAATTGATAAGATCTGATATGTTAATGACCTTGTTTTGTTAACATCCCTCGTGGCACTAACGAGGCATCGAGCGCGAAACTGCACACTATGCTAAACATTCTTTTAACAAATGCACGAAAAGAGGTAAACGGCGTGGTTTTCAAACTTGGAACAGAATAAAAAGGGGACGGATTGGAAGTTGGCTTTAAACAACTGATGTTCAAAAATTCGTGACTTACACCTAAATTTCGGGTACTTATTCACTGACGGAAAACGTTGGTAATTAATTTACCACGCAGGTCTTTTCATGCGTTTAAAACTTCTCTGCGCCTTTCTGAACATGTATGACCCTTACTATGGAAATTCTGTCTAGTTATATTCACTTCTACAGACATCACCATCCTTTCTTCATTTGATTTACATCTCTATTTCATAGAAAACAAAATCAGAGTCTGCTCAGCTGTATGGCTGCTGTTGCAGCTTTGTGTCAGTAGCCTAGTGGCTCTTAAATGTGGATAGCTCATTGAGTGCGTACTGAATATTGAGATGGTCAAGAACTGACGAGATAGCGAAATACGCTTATACTTGTTGAACTTTATTTGCTGCCAGTAATTATAAGTGCTTAAACAGATCGAATTTGATCGAATCGCACAGCAAGCAAATATAATTCTTCTTCCACGTAAAAATGTCCATAGATTGACGAGAGAATACTGTTAAAGCACAATCTATAAAACCATTTATATTGTTTTAAGCACAAGACCAGGCTTATGCACAGTGGAAACAAACTACTACTATGTTTTCGGAAGATTGAACGAAACGTGATAAAACACTGTACACGTATGTGTCCCAAATATCAACCAAACAAGAAAAATGATACATCACCCTGGTACACGTCATCTGCTCAGAAATTCTTCTTTGAGCTTTAAGTTCGCGTACTTAGCTTAACTGAAAGAAATCAACTGAAAACTTACCGGCCTCAAACTAAATGTAGCGTGTAATGCTAGTTGATAGCTAATCGCGGTCTATCCAGCCACACTGCGCTGTGGGCCAAATGCTGAGCAGCGTCTTCGTTTAAGGTCCAGTTCCCGGATCTAGTGATAATATTTGCACAATTTAAATAATAGCACTTATCATTGTTGATCTGCATTATGATTTGAGATGTGCACATGTCACGGTAAAATCAGAAGTGCTTTGCATTGTTTCATGGAAAACATACACAACAATTAGCATTTATGAGGTAGTACAAAGCCAAAGAATTTTGAGCAGTTTTCTGCTTCCTAAGAAAGTGCCTTTTACGAGCGAGGAACCATGGTCCAATATTAGTTTTTGAACAATAGGTAAACCTGGAGAGAATAGTAAAAAGCAAAGGAACCTGGCCAAATAAACTATGGAAAAGATTAATGCTGATTGACCTTAAAAAAGAAAAAGTCATGTAATCACAGACCTGACACATGGAAAGGATATCGAGGAACATTTACATCAATTGAGCTTTGAAATGCACTAGGGTGATTTAGAATTATCAACGAGTTGATAACATAAATCGGCCGCCGAAAACAGTTTTATAGCTGACGTTTCGAGCGTTAGCCCTTCATCATTCGCTCTGACGAAGGGCTAACGCTCGAAACTTCAGCTTTGAAACCCTTAACGGAGGCCAATTTACGTTATCAATTCAGTTGATAATACTAAGTCACCTATTATACTCCCACCGACGCAGCACCACAGTTTCTTCAGAACTTACTCCTTTATTCATTTGATCACTAGTTCGGTAGACCTCAAAGAACCAATGGCTTAGTTACTTATTTTTTCAAGTCAAACTAAACTTCATTATCTGTAACTAAACGTAACTGAAACAAACTTGTTGGCCCTATTTTTCAAATCATCATTATCAACCAACTTGAACTCAGTTTCCTGAAACTTCCTGCTTACTCAAACTAACTTTAGTTGCCCTCGGCTCAAATTTACCCTGATAGTCACACTTGAAGTTAAAACGTCGGTCGATAAACTTCGAAGTTTCAAACATAGCAAATTCACACGACCCAAAAGTAACCGTGACTGATGCGAACGAAACAAGATTTGTGAAAACGTAATACATCTGCTTAACTTCTCAATCTAATCGCTTTTGATTTTTTAGAAAAAGCTCTTATAAAGCAAACTAACTGTACGAAAATGACTATTGATTGTGCAAGAATGGTAAGAATATGATTCCTTAACAATTATGAACAAGATAGTTGAAGTTTAACACAAAACCGTTTTTCGTTACCCTTAGGCGCCGCGCTCTATTTAGCGAGTTTATTGGGGTCAAGTTTCAAACAGTACTTTAACGGTTTTATCGCGAAAGACACCTGCGAAGGTCTACTGTATGCTCAACACATGTTCTCTTCACTAACATTATCCGAAATGACGCCAGAAATTCTGTATCGATGCTTTATTAATTGTCGATTCATTTTTTTTGTAGATTTGAGTCAAATCAGTCGTGTCTCTTGCCAACAGCCGCAGTCAAATCGTAACACACCGCGGGCTCAAGCTATGTTTGCCATTCCTCGTATGAATTTTAGGCTTCCAGGGTTCATCTAACAACTGTGATTGGCTGGGTAAAATTTGATCGATGAGCTTTCCTATGGTAAAGTTTACTTTCAAAACTTTTCAGCAACTAAACAGAAAAACTTTGAGGAGATCTACTGTGAATATCTTTAACTTTATTATGACCAAACAACAAACAATAGCGTAGAAACAGGGCTAAAAAGCATGAACGTTGGAAAGAACAAACAGATAAATACTCAAATAAAATTGACCAGCCCTACCCACCCCCGCCCTTACAAACATAGGATCTCTTTGCTCGACTATGTTTGCCATGTCGAGAATAATCCCCCGAGCTACACATACCACATTCCTTAGTTACGTAACTCGATTCTAGCAGAAAGCTCAACGAAACACAAAGTAACACGTGCATGTGGAGACGATACGTGAAAAACCTTTGCATGTTTTTAATCAGAAACTCCCAAAATGTATGTTATACAATAACATAATAACCTGACTTCATACCTATCGTGTTTTCCTCTTTCCGTTATGGTTTTTGGGACGATTTTCAGTGAGTCTCGGGGCTAGTTCGGAGCTCCTATTTTTTTCTATAAATCCTATACAGGAACTTAAAACTGCAGCGACGTGAGTCACTTTACTTAAGCCTAATCTGGACATTTTTGTGGTCTTTTAATACAACGGGTTGGTTCTCTTCCACAAATCCCTTTGCGTCATAACAAGCTTGGGCTACCTGTGCCAAAACGTGGAAATAAATAACGGAGTTATGACGGGCTTTTAAGCGAAATCAAGTTGATTAGCCGATCAAACACAGAGTTCCAAACAGAACGACAGCTCTTAGAAAGAAATACACCCATCTCTGTTTGTGGTTCACTATCATGATCAATCATTGCATGCGTCAACAATAAATTCAAAATTAAATATAATATTACAAATCACAACTAGGCTCCTAAAGGTGAACAAGATTTCAAGGTTTTTTTACTTACGCGATGCAACCTAAAGTTTCACCTGGTCACAGTTGAGCTTTAAAGGCGAAGAGAGAGGAAGTTACGGTGATAAACTCTGAATCCTGCCACCTGAATCTTGCTGTAACAACCTTACAATCTGACAGTCGGTAGATATTACAAATATTGCGCAGCGGGAACCTCCATGGAATTTTTTAATCTTTTGCAGTGGGTACATGGTGTTGGTTCAGAAACTAAGATTTCGATTGAAAAGTAAAACACTTATCGTCAGATCATTTTTTCGAGTTTAACTCCTTCTTAACAACTTTGAACATGTCATTTGAATCCTCTTAAAACACCTTGCTTTAGGCCCCCTAAGCCATACTTTCAGACGTCATTGTCGACACGAATACGCAAAATGGTTTCGTTGGCTGTCGTTGATTGAAAGCACTGTTTTCTTTACAAGTGATAACAGAGCGACTGAATGCATGGAAATTCAAGTTCTTTTGGCGAAGAAACAGCTGCTATTTTGAAAAAGTAACTATTGTTGAAAAGTTTCGAATTCCTCCTCGAGGCAGCAATTTAGGAAATTTCAATACGAACTTTGACATGTTTACTTAACCGATCAGCTTGCTTTTTTAGTGAAATTTTAAATCTCTCAAAGCACAGCTTGAACTCGACAAGTAGCTGCGACGAACGTGTTGAAGTTATTTGGTTCAGCCAGGCTCACGGTAGGAGCATTTAAATTTACGTTACAGTCGTTGTCCCTGCGACAAAAAAATTGTCCCCGCATGAATTTTCGCTAACACACACTCCTTTGAATGTTAATGTTGATCACAGCGTTTAAATTAGTAGAAGTGTTTTGAAAACAATAAACGAAGAAGTTTGCGGGGCGCAGAGATCTGTCCGCTGTTAGTTGCC